GGGAAGGAAATGCCATTCGACGATATCGCCAATCTCAGCGACAACGTTATCGGGGGAGAAGTTGAGACCACCAAGGCCAGCAGTAACAGAGTGGGTAACGCCGGTTAATGAGACGGTGGTAGAGGGCGTTGCGCGAATGGTTTGGGTTGGAGCAGCTGATACCAGGCCAGAGGCAAGGAGGCTGGCAGCGAAGATCTTGGTGAAAGCCATTGTGAAATGTTGTGAGCGACGGATGTAGTGATTAGAAGATGGAGAAAAGCGAGACTCTCAATTATTGATTAATTGGAAGATATAATGAAGAGTGTAAAAGTTGAGAAGTTGTTGTTGATTGATGCTGAAGCTGATGCTGATGATGGAAAAGGTTCAATTACATCGCGCAACCTCAACGCCTTATATACTCATTAGTTGCACGCATCTCATGTGAAGCCTCTGGGCGGACTGAAAATAGTTTTGCTGCGCATCGCGACCGCGCCCCCGGGTGTTCCTGCTTCCGAGAAATGCGGCGGCCGATTAGACAGCGCCAATCTGACTTAGATTGATTGAACGGCCCCCAAGTTTGGGGATTTAGAAGGATTGGATGTGTGGCTAGACTTGAGGCGGCATAGTCTCTCCATCCGCCCAGTTACCAAGATAGAATCTACCGGCAGTCGCTAACAGATCTGTCAGTGAGAAGCCTGGGCACAGCCACCAGCGCCGCTTGCTAACGTGTGGCTCACCACACCACCAGCTGCTGCGGATGGCTTTGCCCCTCCTAGCACGTCTAAAAATAGGTGTTCAAGCTATTATTGAAAGAAGACATCCAAGCAAAACTTAATTCCATGCAAAGTGAGCGGTGAAAACCCGACGACTTATTTGATGGAATGACTTTCACTACTCCGGATTTGATGCACAAGGTGATTGATTCCGTAACCCCGCTCGGAGTGTTTATGTTTCTTCGAGTCATACCCTTCGGCGTAGATCCACGTCTCAATCAGGTAAGCGAATATGTGATCGCAAATATGGCGTTTCTCTTACAACGCTTGTGGAGGGGTAGAAATTGCTGTGCTGCTGGAAGAGGAAATCCCTAACTAAAACTACCTGATGACGATTGGTCACTACCTAAGGCAAAAGGAAAATCCTCGCCCAGCACTAACCAGCTGCTTCGTCGTTCTAAGTTGTGGCGTATTACGCTTTCTAATAGAGAATGTTCTTATTACATGGAAGACTTTCTGTTCAAATAATAATGCAAGTCAAAAGATTTGATTCAGACGACTTCACCTTACTGCCCTATCCCAGTCTGGTGAAAGGGTAGGTGCCTGGCAGACATGCTTTTGAAATACGTGGATTGAGACTAAAGTACACCCATGGGGAAAGCAAGGATCTTAATGTGAATACGTATGTCAATTCACCCCTTCCGCTCCAGTTTGAGCGACGCACTGCTATCTACTCTTCTCAAATGAACGTTGTCGAATGAACCTCTCAAATGCAGGCAAAGCTTCCTTGAGGACATCCGGGGTGCCAAGCGTAATCCGCAAGTAACCTTTGAAATCACCATCGTCCTTTTCTCCAAAGCAGTGTCCTCCTGGGACAACACAAATACCTTCCTTCTCTGCCAAGGATTTGCAGAAAGCAAAATCGTCGACTGGCTTGCCGTCTCCATCGAGGACCTTGAGGAATGCCGTTCCCGATCCTGCGGGCGTCACCCCAGTGACATATCCCTGATTTGCCGCCACGAAATCCTCAAGTAGTGCTCGGCTCTCCTTGCAAAGTGAAATATTGCGATGCATAAGGTTCGGAAATACAGAAGGATCCAAGGCGAATGAAGCAACACTATCATCCAGCTGCGACACAGTGACTGTGGTCAAGTCTCGCTTGATAGCTATATTCTTCATCAACTCAGCATCCTCCGTTACTATCCATCCCACTCGGATGCCAGGAAGAGAAAATGCTTTGGACATGGAGCCCGTAACGACGGCCTTCGTGTAGCCAAGCGAAACAACGGATGGGGGCTTGGGGTCGTCGAAAAACATGGGAGAAAAGACCTCATCGCAGAAGACAACGACATCAGATTTGCGGGCGATGCTGATGACTTGCTCAAGGAAATCTCTGCCTAGAACAGCGCCTGTTGGATTGTTTGGATTACTATAATTGTTGTCAGTGATTTGGGCATACGGTTCTGGGCAGTAGTTCAATACTTGAGGATTATTGCCTTGGTGTTTGGCTTGATCAAAGACGAGAGCTCATCGATGTTCAATTGCCACTCATTTTCCTCATTCATCTTCCAAAGTTCAACGTCAACACCGTTGTACTTTGGGACGAGATATAGCTGGCCAAATGTAGGATACTGGCAAATTACATGATCCCCTGGGCCGCATATGGTGTCCAGGAGCAGGAAATTTGCCATAATTGACCCTGGTGTGAGGAGAACATGATCGGCGGTAAGTTGCTTCTCGTTGGAGGAATGTAATTTGGCGATCTGTTGGCGAAGCTTCACCGAACCGCGTGAAACTCCATATGTTAGCTTGAGATTAGAATCAATTACTTCTAGATCAGGGTCTGCTGAAAGATTCTTCAAGTCCTGCACTGAAAGAGCAGAGGTGAAGGATCCTGTAGACATAATTAATCTCTCAGTACTATGTTTCCGGCGTGGGGTTCTTACCCGCAAGTCCATATTTACTCGACGGCTCAACTGAAAGTTAGCAAAGTCGTGGGTTTCGAGGAGAAGGTTTGGGCATACACCATGAGATCGAACTGCTCGGGTGTTAGTATATGCACCAGCTAAAATAAAAAGGAGGAGCTTTGGTTTGTAGCGGACGCACTCCATTCATCAATCTTAAACTCCTGCACGTTTTTCATTTTGAGATTGATTTTGAAAAACCTGGTATCTTTGTGTCTTGGGGTTGGGAATAAATCTGGAAAGTGATATTTTCTCCGTATTATTGTATTATAACCCGAGAAGGCCGGTTAGAGGCGGCTCCCCTCCTCGGATGAGTCAGATAGCATGTGTGACCGCTTCTATGAGTCTGCTCCAAAAGACTTGACTCCAGTCTATTCAAAGAGTCTACTCCAGAGTCTACTCCGACGATGCCGAGAACGGCGAGCAGTGTAACCACGCCGATTGGATTATTTCCGATTCCCAGTATCTTTCATCCTCTGATGCAACGTTCTCAGCCAATGATTAGCTTGATCTGCAGCAACTTGTTTGATCACCTCCTGTTGACTCGCTTATAAATCCAACCACGCCCTTCACGGGCCGATGATCGGCCGTCGTGTCATTTGTGCTCAGTGTGTCTAGATAAAGTTCCGATTGATCTGCAATAAACAAATTTTCTATACAATTGGATATATTTTCAATCATTCTGGAACCAGATTATCTTCGCCACGTCGCAAACTCATCTCACGATTCAAAATGTCTGCCAGTGCAGAGCGTAAAGTAGAGCAGGTCTCGACAACTGCTGCCCCCGCGCCTCTACCCCAGTTTTCTCAGGCTATCAAATTCAATGGAATGATTTACTGCTCTGGAAACATTGGAGCCATTCCCGGCACGAATCTCCAGCTCGTCGAGGGCACTGCCAAGGATCGCACCGTAAGTTACCATTATCTCGGCACTTGGCCTGTATATATTTATTCGATTAAGAAATATTCTTCTAACTTTGACTTAGAGGCAAACGTTGAAAAACATCACTGCTGTGCTGGAAGCCGGCGGTAGCAGCTTGCGCAATGTCGTCAAAGTGAATATCTTCATCACTGACATGGCAAACTTCTCATTGATCAACGAGGCGTACGATGAGTTTTTCACCTGGTCTCCGAAGCCTGTATGTTGATATCTTAATTGCCGCCTGACACTTAGCGCCATCTACTGACAAGAATACTCGCAGGCACGGACATGTGTAGCTGTTCACCAGCTGCCATTGGGTACCGATGTCGAGATTGAATGTACTGCATTTGTTAATTAAATAAGTCTCATATGGATACTCCAATTTAATTTATGCAGTAATCCAAAGATATTCGACCTTTGAGCCATCCATTGCTGAATGAAGCCCCGGAACCTCCACAATGACTGTCAATCGTACATTCGATTTTGGATTCGTGTCAGTCGACCTGCTTTTGGATAAAGGGGTGAAGTCTACATTTCCGTCTCTTCTGATTGGTTTTAGGCAACTGTTAATCTAAAGTATTGGCTGCCTAATTATCCCAAGGGACACCGGCTGGACAGCGCCGACCATTGGGTCCAGCGACTCTCACCGCGATTGCTAAATACCTACCACGTGTAGATCAAACCGTGCATGTGTATAAGATAGTCACCAGATAGTACGCAATTTTAGGCTTGCGACGACTATGAGAAGTAGATGAGGGATTTTGAAGCTGTTTGGCTATTCCGTTGAGCTTTTGTGATTATAGTTCGATATTTGGCCGTCTGGCTATACTTATATCTACCTAGGCTTCAAGAGGGGCTGGGAGTCAGCGTGCCGGATCAGCCGGACTCAACGGGGCGAAGACGAATTTCATGGGTGAACAGAGTGGAATTATCGACGGAGTGGCCCAAGCCACGCCTGAAGTGTACGTGTTCAGTCGTACAGAATGTGCCTAGAAGACGGTAAATATCACTATTGCTTGGTTCAGTCAGCGGCTTATACAAGTACCTCCAACGGTATTCTAGGCCCTAAAGGCCTTGGTGACGTGTGCTGATCAAAGAGAGGCATGGGCTCAGCCAGATATTGTGGGTAATTTCCATAAGGCACAGAGTTCCAAGGCTTAAGTCGTCAGCATGAGGTCCGCTGCGCCACCCACCACATGGGAAAAGCTATGGCTAACACGGCATTGAATCGTCCCATCCATCCGCCTGGAAGGAGTGGCAGAATGAGCCCTTCACATCGTGAGTGGCAAAGATAATAAATACGAACTATTTCCCTACCTATGCTCTCCCAAGTTGCTACTCTCCTGTTCATACCACACAACTAGCTAAAGCCATCAACTTTATATATTCACTCTCGCTCAACATCAAATACACCAGTGTCTTCATGTCGAACCAGGGCTATTACGGGCACACCTACACTCAGGTCCAGCCCCAGAGGGTGGGGAATACTCTCTCTTCCAATGTATCTCGTTTTTGATCACATCCGCTAACATCTACGCTTCCCAGAGTCCATCCTCTCTGGGAAACAGCCCTTACAGCCATGGCCAGGGTGGATATATTCCTCCTTACCACCAACAAGCCGACTATTACCGTGCCCCGGCTCCCGGATTTTATCAGACTCAGAATGAAATGGCCGGAGCCGAAGGCGAACGAGGTCTCGGTGCTACCGTCGTCGGCGGTGGTGCTGCCGGCTGGGCTGCCCACAAGGCAGGCTCCGGTATGCTCGGCAGTCTTGCTAGCGCTGCTGCTGGCGCAATAGGAGCCAATTTCCTCGAGAGCAAGTTGAAGAAGTGAGTCTTTTGGTGGTTTCTGTCTAGTAGAATGCAGGGGCAAGAATATTTGGCTGACGTCCCCCATCTAGGCACCGCAGCAAGAAGCACGACAAACACTAGCGAACCTCGCATTGGGTGATGCCCTATTCTTTAAGTTTGTTTTTTTCCTGTTCGGTCACATTAATGATATTGCGAGGCGTTGGTCAGGGTGCGGGCATAGCATATTTCACAGTTTTATGATTGAAGTACTTCAGTACTTCAGTCTCTATAATTAGGTGGTTCATATCAACATCATACACATTAGTGTTCCTCAATGATATCCAAATACTCTCGAATAAAAAATTCATCAAATTTGGTGACTTCTACGCCTTTTCTCACCTTGGGTCAAAGAGGCGCATATCAGAGTTGTCGTTGCAGCCTCGGCTTAGGTGAAATGACACACAAAATTAACATATACATATGTTCATTTGAAGAATGAAAAAAGATATTGGATTTGGACTTTTAAGAAAGAAAACTGCCCTTTGTTTTCTGGACAATGGCGTTGTACTCGGGTAGAAACTGCATATACATGCAGGCTGGGGACCCAGAGCATTTCTTCGTGTAAGCTGCCTCTTCATCACCAACATATTTCTTTGGAAGGCCGTTTGCCGCTGCGGCTTCGACCAGGAGTTGTGCTTGACAAGCCCTCTCGAGAGCCACAAAGAAAGCAGCCGCCTCTCCTATAGTTTCTCCACATGTAAGAAGACTGACAAAGCCAGTCAGCTAGGTCAGCACCTGAGAATTAAGAAGGTCTGGATTTCAATCATACCCGTGGTTCTGGAGGATAGCATTCTTCTTCACCGGGCCGAGAGCATTGGCGATATGTTGGCCTTCTTCTTTGGCTAAAACAATTCCTCCGAACCCTTCGTAAACGGCGAGATCATTATAAAACATGCATGAGTCTGAGACGATTAGTTCACAGTCTCTGCATCGTGGTTATGACATTGAGTCCACAGCACCTTGATTCAGCATTTCAATAGGTCTGCCAAAAGTAGACCAGGCGCGGCCATGAGGTGAGTGCAGGTGGCACGCTGCATTGATATCCGGTCGTGCTTTGTGGATGCTAGAGTGAATAATAAAGCCGGCAGCGTTGACTTTATGCGGGCTTGGTTCAACCGGCCTGCCTTCCTCATCTACCAGGACTAAATCACTCGCTTTGATTGTAGAGAAGTGCATGGCGTATGGATCTGCCATCTCACGCTGGTTATTACGCATGCATATTGATGATCATGGGGGTAAGACTTACTGAGCCAGAAACAGTCCGGCCGTACGGGATCTGAAATATAACTTTAGTACCTTCTCGGCTTGGATTTGTTCATTGTTCACCCACCTCGAAGGCTGATGTGTCCGGACGCGCCATCGGCCCAACCCAGCTTGGCAAAAATCCGAAAGGCACCAGCCATCTGCTGCTTGGCCCATGTGCGCTCTTCATACTTGTCGGTGAATGTGGGAACCTCATGTAAACGGATCGGAGCGTCCCCGTCCACAATCGTGTTCAGAGCATTTCCTGCTTCTTTGTGCCTGGGGGCCTCGACGCCTATTTGAAGCGGGGTTACTTGAGACGTTGTCGTGGTAGACATGTTAGTAATTGGGGGGACTTGATTCGGATGAGTGTCTTGGTGTAAGTAGCAAGGTATGGTTCTTCATGTAATAGTGACCAGCCCTCATGCGCACCCGAGGTAGTAATTTAGGCTTAAAAAACGGCGAGAATGAGAAAGCAATGTTGGAGTCCGAGTGGTGGAACGGAGATGACATGATATCCATTTCCGATGATTCAATCGGCTGGTGCCGCAATCGGCCACGGGATCGGCACGGAAAAGGGTCCGCATTGTCGTCCAGGAAGATGAGAGAAGAGGGAGATAAACGATAATGCACGAGGTAAAATACCCGTCGACCAGTACCTCCTGGTTCGAATGATTTTCAATTTGGCATCATACAAACCCCCCCCTGAAATTTCTCCTTATTTTGAATTCGCCAATATGTCATATCGTACAAGATGCAATGATCTTCTCCGTGCGTTTGCAACTGTTTTGACCTAAGTGGGAGACTAATGCTGCCTTCATATGGGCAATCAGTTAGCTTTCATTTACTTACTAACATGTCAGCTTGAGATCAAGGGCTGGCATAAAGATGAAGATAGTGATGCTAAGATTTGCCGGACTACGTTTTAGAGAATATTATTCAGATTTCTGCCTTAGGAACTCTCATATCATACATCCGGACTAAACATACGAACCCGACCGGAACCGCTTCACCAACCTGGAGACTATCTGTCGCAATGAGAATGACTTCTTCTCGACACTCGGCTCTTTTGGTTTCGCTGAAGCAAATTTCTGGTAGTCCGTATATCCAATCGTAGGGTCTTCAAACGGACCATAAAACCTTGATCGATCGTATGGGGCAAGTGGCCATCCGTTGCGCAGCCTGTCCACCAAGTCTGGATTGCTGGTGAAGAAACGACCATACGCCAAAGCGTCGTATTTCCCACTCTCCAACACACCCCAGGAGTTGGTGTCATTCCACCCGCCCGCGGAAAAGAACGGCGTGTCACCAAAGATGTTACGAAAAATGGAAAGCTCAACCGTTGCAAGACCCCAAGACGCAAGGAACTCGTCCTTCTCCTCGGGAGAGAAGATTTGCTCAAAGCGCGGCTCGATGAAGCTGACGTACGACAAGTGAGGAAGACGAACCTTGAGCTCACGGCACAAGTGGCTCCATGTCTCGACACGCTCGCTCCCTCGGGACTGGTTGAAAAGCCCGAACGGAGACAGGCGAATGGCAAGATTCTCCTGCCCAACCGTCTCTGAGAGGGCTTCCATCAGTTCTAGGGGGAATTTACATCGCTTTTCTACTGTTCCGCCGTAGTCATCTGTCCGCTTATTGGCGTTGGTGGAGAGAAATTGTTCGGGAAGGTAGCCATTTCCTCCGTGAACCTCAACGCCGTCGAACCCAGCGTCCATCGCTCTCTGCGCGGCATCGCAATAGTCTTTGATCGTTCGTTGGATGTGCTCCACAGTCAACTCGATCGGCGGGTTCTCGGACAATTTGACCCGGGTTGTGCTGTGTGGTGGCGGGTACGCGAAACACTCCTCTGGATCGTCCCACGTCACTGCGGAAGGGGCCACGATGGGGGTCCCCGTGAGCTGCGGGATGTTGGCCCGGCCCGAGTGCCAAAGCTGGGCGTAGATGTAGCCGCGTCGGGAGTGGACGGCATCGACGATTCGCTTCCATCCATCAGCTTGTTCGGGTAGGAAGATCCCAGGGACGCCGGGCATAGCGTTTCCCTGGAAAGGAAAGTATTAGTGACGATTCCATGCTCCTTTCTTTTGTTGCAAGTGTTGTCACAAAAAGGGTGAAAAAAGAAAGCATAGGGTCGACGAATGAACGCTCACCTCAAGCGAGGGGGGTAGACCCTCGGAAATGATGAGACCACCATCGCTTGCGCGCTGCGTGTAGTACTCTACCATTAAGTCATTGGGAACCCAGACGCGGTTTGGGTCTTCGGGTGTAGATTTAGGGTTGAGTGGCGTTCCTCGATTTCTTGTCAAGGGCGCAAAGATGACTCGATGCTTGAGAGTGATGTTTCCATTAGCGATCGTCAGGGGCTCAAAGAGCTTGGACTCGGCTCTCGTTGGAATAGACTGGCTCATGGCGGCTGCGGTGGATCCGGATGCGTCCTAGGCAGACCTCTGCTGCGGCTACAAATGCACGACTGATTTGTAAAGGGCGAGTGGGACTTGTCTGTACGTCTAGGAGGCAAGACAAAAGAAACGAGGATGGATCTGCCGGTTCAGCTGCTAGTGTACGTATGCATATATTACAGATGTTTCGAGCCGTCAAGGAAGAGTAGAAACACCACAGACGTCAAAATCGTGAGCTCTAGCTTCTATATGAAAGTATTTCCGGTTAGGTCTCCTTCTGAAGCGGGCCATTATCCAATACATAGATTCTTAACTGGATAAGCAACTGGGGCACGCATTGGACTGTACGATTACGGAGGAGAAATGGAGATATAAAGATCAGATCATGTTATAATACCAGGTCTCCATCCCGGGCCGGGCACTGAGCCAACTGTCTGCAATAATTCCCCTGTCCGCCTGGCAGAAGAGTGGAGGATCTGAGAAGTGAGGGCTGCACGTAATGCCCCCCAACGGCTACTTCCCCCCTGCCTCCATCACACGCAACCCTGGAACCTGGCGGGTGATTTTCGTTGTCAGTACGAGAGGCTGACAGAAGATGGTGATGGTGGGTTTGGTGCCACACACACTGCTGCAGCTAGTCACCTTGACAGTTAACGTCGTGTGCGGAATTATTGTCTCATGCATGCATCATATGAGACCCACAAGCCTCTCAGAACCTGAATGGTCGATGTCAATTGACATTGCCACTAATGTCGCATCATGTTGCCGTCCGTCGACCCCATAACCGGTTGTGGTTGGTCATCAAGTTGTATTGGGGTGGTTTCTTTTCTTATTGTCATATAGTTTTGCTTTTTTGAGTGACCCGTCTTGCATCTGCAGGCTACCCACCATCAACCACAAGGACCAACCAGCAGAAGGTATAAGACGCTGCATGAATTAGGAGACGCACGAAGAAAAACAGCTATGGCTGCATGACACCGGTGGGCCTTTCACAATGACAGTTTTGGAAACTCCCCGGCTTGTCCTTTTGAAATGAAAATCTCCATGAGCTGGAATGCATTTTCTTTCCCATTTTCCTTTTTCCTGGAGGAAAATCATACGAGGGTGCCAAGCACGATGGTGACTAGGTTTGGATGCAAGTTGGTAGATCCCGCTGCCGTCATCAGGGAGGCGCTCGCTTGTCCGCAAGCCATCGAACATTTATTAAGGTAGCCTCTAGTTCATTCAATAATTTGCGTCTTCATCATAGTTCACTGCCAGGAGGTTTCAAGACTTCGCTGCTACCACTGAGTGAGTGACTATGAGCTTCCCTGGTGCCGGCGCACCTCCAGAAGGCGTTGAGCCAGACCTAGAAAACCCCGAAGACGTTCTTTGGACATGTAACTTCGTGACCCAGGGACTCACCATATTTCTTGTCACTATTTTCGCTCTGGTTCGACTGTACGCCAAACACAAGCTGTTTGGCGGCAAGTTTACATGGGATGACTGTATGTGTGACCTTCACTGGGTACTGGCTGATCGAAGTTGACTGACGTATTGATTTTGCAGACGCTACATACTTTGCCTACGTATGCCTTCCAAAAAAAAACAAATCATGCAATTAATAAGACTGACTGAGAAGCAGATTCTTTTAGTTGGCTACTGTGTCACATCGTGCCTCGGTAAGTTACCGGACCCCATCTAGCCCCTGCACGAAGATCATCACACTGACTTTCCACTGCATTAGCCGGAGTATATGGCGCGGGCCATAACCAGTGGGAGGTGAGGAAGGAGGAAATAGAGAATTTCTACAAAGTAAGATGAATTTGGCGCTTCCGAGCCCCAACTCGTGCATATTCTACATCAACTAACCCCGTGAACCGACGAATTAGGCAGGATACGCAGCCACCATATTCTATGCGCCCATGACTCTTTGCGTCAAACTTTCGCTTTTACTCCTCATTGCCCGCGTCTTCGGCAGTGTTCATAAGAAGACAATGTGGGGAATCCGCATTCTCATTGGGGGAATCGTGGCCTACTACGTCTCGGGCGTTTTCATCAAGATCTTCATATGCTGGCCCATCAGTGCATACTGGCGTGGTGAACGGGAGAAATGCATGAATCAGAGTGCCATCATCACTGCAGACGCCATCATTAGCGCGATAAGTGACTTGGCTATCCTTCTGCTCCCTACACCCCTCACCTGGTCCCTGCAGCTTGCATTGAAGAAGAGGCTTCGAGTAATTGCTATGCTGTGCGCCGGGGGCGTTGCAACTGCATTTAGTCTCTATCGATTGGTTCTCATCCTTTCTGAGGCGAACTCCCAGAACCAAAGCATTGTTTTTACCAAGGTCATTCTCTCAGGGTGAGTCCTCTCCAGCGGTCTACTATGATCTTGGCATTCTAACTGATGATGTATGCATAGCAATGCTGAAGTTGGCCTCGGGCTCATATGCTCGTGTTTACCAGCCGTCAATGCCCTTTATATTAAAAGAGTCAAAGGGTCATCGTATTTTGCACGACATGAGTATCAAAACCAGTATCACCGCTCCGCCCACAATGAGCCTGGTCGTGGCGACATCCTGATGACGAGGACAATCCGAATCAACACCTCGTCTAAACAAAGAGGCGATGGCGAAAGTATATTAACTGCCGGCTGTGATGATGCCGCACTGATTGCAGAAGCGCAGCAAGCGCCCCGAACGGACACACCAAGCAGAAAATCGGATTCAATCGTATGAGTCTAACTGTACAGAAATACTCATCCTGTTCTGTCTTTCTTTGTCCAGGCTTTGCCATCATTCGGCGAAATGACCAATGATATTAACGAATCGGGTATACGGAGCTTGTCGGATTTTTGGAAAACTTGGAAATTAGTGAGTAAACAACTCACGTCTTCAACTGGGAGGGAGACATGGAGTCAAACGGATGGATCACTATGGATAGATATGAGGAACTAACGGCAGGCGAAATCATGTAATGGCTTTACTTTTTTCTCCATGCTGGCCATGGTAAAATACTTTCATTATGCCCCTACTCAAGTCTCTGAATTAAAAATTCTGTCTCATCCTTGTCACGGCTCCATGTTGACATCACCCTCGTTTCCAATCTAATACTGGCCCCGTATCCAACTCATCCACAGTCACTGTTTGTGGTTATAGAACTCATATTGCGAGTCTTTTTGCAAGAAGTTCACGGTAAAGGGAATTAATTTACATCACATCTTTTACTTCCAGCACTCCCTATGGCAGCTATTGACCCAATACGTGGGTGTCTGACTCCGGTGCAGGGTAGGCCAACGATGTGAAACCGAGGCACCTTCACCAGGGAGACAAGATGAGCCGGCAAAGGCCGAGTATCGGCCTGAATGGATTCTAAACATATCGTATCGGTCTTGAGTAAATAATATTGGGTAGGCTACGAGAATCAGAGAAGGTGAGTTCAGAGAAGGTGAGTTCAATTGAATTGCCGTATTGGCTGAAAGCACGTTGTTTTCATGTACCTACATCTTGATCGATGGAAGACGGCTTTAAAATACTGGATGTATATTGTCCCGTTGCTTGGGGATGGGCTCTTTAAAAAGAGCAACCAGCCAGTGAGCGACGAGTTTGAGAGAACGTGGGGAGCCCACCCAAAGAATGCCTTAATTAAGAATGGCTGATCTCTGTCAAGGAGCGGGAGAGGCGTTTTCAATGGGCCATGGCATTATGACAGATGCAGGGCTCTCGAAAGCGGCGATGCGTGTGTCGGGCTGTTTGGCTTCGCCACTGCGGAAGTGCTGCCGTTCTTATCTTGCCAACAGGGTCCCTTTCTTGGTATTTCGTGTGAATACCAACAAGTGGATGCCGGGTTTTGTACTGATCAAGGAAGGATGTGCAGTCAGGCCAGTGGGGATTTAATTAACGACGGCGTTCCTGCAGAAAAGAAGGTCTTCTGGGGCTGTACAACGCGCCCGGTTTTGGCGGAAAGTTGACAGACACCCGTTAATCCCACATTAATTCCGCCTTAGCTGAGGCTGTTGCCCTCGAGGATCCTCCTGCGCTTCTTTGTATATATATGGGAGGTTGACACTGGGCCGCTGCTTCGCGGCATTTGACGGATTTACCTGGAGCTTTCATTTAGCATAGCCAGTGCCGCGTTCTCAAGTTAATCTCTGACGCCGAGCTCTTCCCATAAGCCATGGGGTTGAGGAGGCAGGAAAAGAGCGGCGCGCTCTGTCTGCGTCTCTTCACCTTCAGTGCCCTGATCGCCATGATGGCTTACGGCGCTATGGAACCGAAGCAATTACGCAAAGTCACGGCTGAACTCGTCACCATCATCATCGGTGCCGTCGCAACGGGCGTGCAATTCTACGTCACCGTGGCCAAGTTTCTCTGCCTCCCCTACCACATCTTTGCCGTCATCTTTGCCGACATCATCTGCGCCCTCGGTTTCATTGCCGCCATTGCCATTTTGTCGTACTGGAACATCAACGTCGTCTATATCCCACGAGATAACGACCCTGCCGACTGGTTCAAGTGCGCCAACGCCAGGCAGTGGGATACTGTGCTGACAACCAGCGGCTTCGGAAAGTGGCTCAATATCGTGTGGTGCGACATCGAGGTGGATGGTCAACACCGTTTGGTGGGAAATTGGGCGGCACGGCAGAAGTTGCACGTCATGATTGGCCTGAGCACCGTGTGTTTGGTGTTTACGGCCATGACCATCGTGTACACAGTCTTTCGTGCCATATATTTGGGACATATTCGTTCCCCAAAGATCTACGCTAAACTTAGGGAAACATTTCATTGAATTTGAGGGTTTTTTGCTACTGGAGTTTAAAATAGGTTGAATAAATTCCCATCAACGATGTGACCTAGTAAACGAAGTACTATACTCGAAGAGGCGTACGTAACTCCAATCTATGGGTTACTAGTATGTTGTGTAGCATGATGCTTTAGATATTGCTCTGTAACCTATCCAAATATACCCAATGACCTGCCAAGTATGATCGAGAAAAGAACACCTATGCCCTGATTTTTTTTGTGGCGAGGTGGAATTCTGGTTTGTCGACAAGAAAGTTATCTTGAGTTCTCTTTAGAGTCCCCAGTTACATAGAGCGTGCTACGAGCTCTTTAAACCGACTCTGTTTATTCCTCTTAGTGCTATACTGGCATTTTATATTAAGCCATCTCAAGTGTGTAATAAATAGCATCTAGGATAGGATACAAGTATGTCCAGGGCACAACGGCGAGTTTATGTTTACATGTATGCTTTGTATCTGTGGACCGCGGTTCATGTCATAGTGTATCTGTTGCAAATGTGGGCGAAATGACGATATCCGACTATTTGATATGTAGACACTTGTCGTTGGCTTGGCCGATGATAGATCTGAATGGAAAGCACGACTCAGCACAAGTGGGTGAAATTGAAGCTTTATATTGACGCATAAGATTTCTTTGTGTGTACCCATTCCATGATGCATCACAATAAGGTAGGCTGCGATCGGAAGCATAGTGAACCACAAAAATTTACCGATATCAATCTTTGAACATAAACTTCAAGATATGTGCTGTTAAGTGTTCTCACACGTCTGTGGATGATTGCTTCATGCATTGATTTTACCCACGCCGCGAAAACTTCAATATGGAGATATGGCGCTGCAGCACGAAGTACGCTGCCCGTGACAACAGAATATAGAGCGAATTAAGGGCCCAGCTTGTAATTTCTCTGGGAATGGAAAAACATTGATGGTTACTGCTGGACTTGCCGTTGGTGCATGGCTTCTCGCTCAGACGAAGAAAAATCTATTTGTTAATGATAGATGTATAGTACTACCGGATTACCATATCAAGTTGAGTGCAAAAATATGAGGGCATTTTTTTTTTACCGCTGACAAAAACAGTCTTTGTGTGGTAGTACCTGCAGCAAGGAAAAGCCGGTCGCGCTTCTAGACTATGAGGTGGTTCTGATCTCTGCGAGTACGGCAGAAGCAAAGCAACGGCTTGGCTTCGGCGGATAAAACGGCGGGCTCCAGGGGAATAAATATCAATTGACGGCGGTTCCGCGGAGCTGGCTCTTGTGGCTTCATGGATCACTTACCGCCAATTGAAGGGTTTGCCGTGAGTGAGCTGGATAAGCATGGGAATCTGGACCGTGTTGGGCTGAAAAAAAAAGAATGGTTTAGTGAGCGATTAAGCCCGAGTTTATTCGGCCTGACCATTATTATGAGCAGAGTAGGGGAAGGGAAATGGGCTGAAAGATGCCGGACCAGCATGAGCCCATACATCCTTCAACATTTATTTCACAACAGCAGCTACTTATTGTAAGACGTTCTAGAACATGGCACCAGCGGTAGCGCCGTTGGTATCAATGGTCATAGTAGGCAAGTGAATGCTGATGATTAGGTAGGTCAGGTACCTAATGCCCCTTGGCATTGGAGGAGAAGCTCCGTCAAGCGATCAGAACAGTGACTTAGGCTCGCCAATCATCTCTTACCTTAAAGAATAGCGGAAGCTACAGCAAGTAACTTACAGGGTAGTGATTGGGTTGATTGAAGTGGGCTAAAAATACTTTGTGCATGCACAGGCTATTTGAGGAGATTCTTCAGGTATCGTTGATCAGTACTCCACGAGGATGAACTTCGCTACACACAAATACCTCGCTGTCGTCTCTCATGCTTCACGGAGCCAGAGGCTCTTCCCCTAGATGCCCCCGTGAATTAATCCCGACCGATATCTCATTTTGAAGAGACTAAAGCACAACCCAAAGAGCCAGCTTGGCTTGGGGGATGTATTCGTGAAGCGGGTAGTCTTATGAGCCAAGACAAAGGTCTAGACCCTGAAAAGTAGACCTAAAAGGCATTTCTCAACCAAATATCGACAACTAACAAATCGATTAGGCAGCCCATCCACACATCATGCGGCTACCCCGCAGCACAGCAGCGGTCTGGACCCTAGAGACAACATGCAACACTTGCATGCTTAGTGAAATCTCTCCGGCGGCGGACCACGGGAGGCTTGTGTATGTCTATATTTTATGGGATTGACTCCATACTTATACCAACTAAGCATGCGGAACAGATCACCCGCTTGGTGTTCACACCATGGACTTGAGATGATAAGCTCAACGTGATGCGGAAATTTTTTCCCTATCACAAGTTATCAATTAGCGGTGGCATACATAAAACCTGACGTAGATCCCCCTAAGCAGCATTCTCCCTTGTTGGACGAGGACGCTCTTCCAGGGCAACGGCCATGGTACATGTAGTCACCAGCATTGCCTCATCTACCGGTACTCTTCAAGTTCCAATTTGAACCTGTGCCCCTTCGGCTATTCGCAGATGCAGGGTCCTCCTTATTTGCACGACCCCCCTGAAGAATATGCGGTCCCTCTGCCCTGCGTCATGTGTGCTGCCCAGGGATTCCAGGTTGATGTACCTACTGTCTGCCATTTCACGTGTTTGGGGCGCAGAGAACTGACTACATAGTGCACCGAATGCAATCTCAAGCAACAGATGGCGAGCTGTTCGCAAACGGACTTTTTAACCTTACCAAATCAGCTTCCTCTTGGCCTCGCCACCTTCCAGCAGCCAGCCGCAACTTTATCATATTACGACCCTCTTCTTCTATCGCCGGCACCGATATCTCCTGATGTTCCTGCCCACAACCAAGCATTTCCAATGGCCCCCATTGCAATACTTGGAGGCTCCACCTTGCAACCAAGAGTCCCTTGGTCTCGGAATGTTTTACCAGTAGCAGAACCGAGAATACAGGATGTCACTGTTTCCCTGTGGACATCCGTACCGATTGATACTTTTCTGATGTCCGAACTCTTGGCATCCTACTTTCAGCAAGGCTATCTTATCAGCATACCATTCCAGAAGGATCTCTTCCTTGCGGATCTTGTGTCGGATAGATATCAGCCTGCTGGATACGAGACTAAACACTGCTCACCGTTGCTTGTCAACGCCATTCTCGCAACGGCCGCCGTAAGACTACTCTATAAGGTCTTCACTCATTCTGGGGCCTTTTCATCCATTCTGGCAAAAAGATTATCTTGCTCATACTCTCAAATATGTAGAATAAATACACTAGCGGCCCTCTGATAGCTAAGGGTTTGAAGTTGGCTTCGCTCTCTGAATCATTCCTCACTCAAGCAATGCATGCATGGGAGAGCGAGGTTCTGAATGAGCCCAAGTTGACCACAATCCAAGCTGCACAGATTCTCAGCTTGTATCACGCCACAGCGATGCGAAATGATACTGCGTCCGCTATTCTATCTCGAGCAGTCGCGATGGCTGCGCAATTGGAGCTGTTCACTGCTAGCGATGACGAATGGACAGTCACCGGAATGGCTCGAAAATTCACCTCCTGGAGCCTATTTATCTGGCAAAGGTGAATAAATCTCCCCCATCAATGTACTACCAGGGATAGAGAGGCTGACAGATGATCGTGGGTTTGTTATTAGCACATATTGTTTCTACAATTTCATGCCACCCTTTATCACAGAGCCTCCCATGGCCACCTTGCCAGATTACGCATCTGTGAGTGAGTTGACTGGTGAGATATTCTTGGGGAATCCGGAGATAGAGCCCACTAGGCCACTTTATTTGGGCATGACGTTTAGAGCCGTGGCATTACTTAACGTCATTCTCAACGATATCAATCTCACGGGTTCGGTTAGAGGAACCGAGTATCCCAAGACCAGTACCCTTGCCAAGCAGCAAATCTTGACCTTTTGTGCACGGCTTCGATTCTGGTTTAGCGCTCTCCCCAACGAAATCCAGAACTCAAAGGGTGAAGTAATCCACCACCTTCGCATACAGTAAGCTAATATAGAGCCCTCTAAGCCAACATTCAATGCGTCAGCTGACGGGCCTTGTCTGTTTAGTTTGGCCTATTCTCATATCCAGTTCACCCTGCTTGAGCCATGGGTACGAGACGGCCGACCTTCTCTTACAGAAGATAAGGACACTCACAATCTATACGAATGGGGAATCAAGTCCCAGATGAAAAGGCAACAATTAGTTGAAATATTTCACATCAAGCATGGCAAAATTGGTGCCGGTAATGTCCAATGGCTGCACCCCTTCTTGCTGGGTAGTCTTCCTGGCGGACGCAAGACAAAAGCATTCACTCAGCCATCTGAATATCGGTAAGGCAGCGTTGTCTTTGGAGTCGCGTTGTTTTCGGAGATATATACCCTGGTGCTTTTACTACTGCAAGTTTGAGAATAAATCGCATGTCTAAGAAGATATCCCCGGCTATACCTATGAAAGCCTTGTATTAGGATGGGGAAATAGAATTATAATTGAGTAGACCAGGTAGAGAGCAGGGTGCCTCTACCTACTACCTAAAGAGATGATTTATCTCAATTCATCAGCCGTTGCTGGTTTTATTCACCATTACTAACCGCAAAAAGGCGAAGCCTCTGACACAATCCCATTCACGTCCGGCCACACCGTTCACATATGCTATTTTGCGGCTTCCTACATGACAAGTATCACGGCCCTTGATAAGATAGCCCGGAAATAATTTCCGGTCTGCAGCTTTCATGACTATGTTGGCTTTCTCGAACGATAACCATTAGGGTTGAAGCCGATCTTGCATTTCGTAGAGAAGGCGGATGAGATTGGGAGCAGAGAGCAATCCCAACGTTGGTGAGTGGCCAAACTAGAGCCTGCTTTCGGTTGTGTCGTTTGAAGCTCATTAATGCCGTTCATTGCCTTCCTAGACAGTATCAAATATAAAGTCGCTGCGCTGTGCTGCCTGCATCGCTAGCGAGAATAAACATCAAATTCCTCCCTGCCACTAATGCTGTTGGTAAGAGAGCGGTGATTTAACTTGCATGCACTTTCCCTTAGGGCCGAAGTTAAGTGCTAGTGCTAAATTTGCTAATGCAAGTAAACTTAAATATCAGATCTGAGACATTGTTGTATCAGCCGTAGGCGCATACTCAATAGCCTCAAACATGTCTTATTTATGGGATCAACGAACATATGATACTAAACTACACAATTCCTTGAACTTAAGTAATTGGAAACCTCGAGTAAATTGTAATTTCCAATAGAAATAGCCAACCGCAGTCGTGTTCTCATGGTCTCATTTCTGATTTGACCAATTAGTGCTCCCTTGGATTGGGATTTCCATTCCCCTGAGTAGGTCTATATCCTTACCTCGTTATGATAAGGGCTTATTCGTTTACAATGAATAGCTAGAGACTTTAAAAACGTTGAAACTTCGTTACAAGTCATCGAGATTACAAACGACAACTGGTGCGTGGGGGTAATTGTTTCCCCTACGCTTTCCTAGGCTTTGGTAAGTAAATATGGTAAGTAAATACCATAGCCGTTTTCTATCACTGGTCGATTCTTTGAAGAGTTCGGGAAAATAACATAATTCGAGATGATTAGAGATGCTTTCTTCGTGATTGTTTCTAGTTCAGCTGTCAAATTTACTGTTGGTCTCCGCTGTTTGCTGTCTTTACTATAATAAAAAAAGCAGAGCACTGTCAAGCAAAACCTCGAGGTCGTCTAGTTGGTTTATGGCGCCAGACTGTAATCGCATGAAAGCATATCTGGATGTCAGCGGTTCGACTCCGCTTCTCGAGATTTCTTTTGAGTTTTTTTTTTGAACTCAAATCATCATAATTAAGAACCTACGGGAATAAGATAGTGGAGAAGAAGTGGGGCAACGTCATATCTTTTACTTCCATGCTACCTACAAAGTATACGTAACAAGTCCATATCCGTTTACTTTGATGAAAAGATAAACAACTATAGAAATTACAACAGGAAACATGTAATACAAATCATTTCTCGTCAGTAGCAGTGGATTACCAAACGCTATTTATAATTGTGTACAAGAAATCTAAAGCTTCGCCTTGGTCGGCCTTGGAATACTCTTCGCCAGGTCGACGACATCTTCCGCACAGCCCCACGAGCCCTGATAACCCCAGCCTGCGTGACCGTAATTATGGATGATCCACGTTTGGTCATCCAATTTCTCCTTCTCAATCCTCACACCCCCATGGCGGTACGGCCGCAGGCCAACGGCATGACGAATAACGTCCAGGCCGGCAACGCCTTTGCCACCGGCAATCCCAGGGAGCTGTTTGACTATACGTGACATGATGCGCTGGGCCACATTGGGGTCAGGTTGAGATTCCCAATTGCCAATGTGGTATGTCCCGCCGAGGATTGTTCCTCCTCCAGCGGCCCGAGTCATGACGTAGCATGCATCATGGGGATCGTCGTCCGTTCCAGAAAGGCCCGTCATAGGCGCTTCGTTACGGACAATGACAACCTGCCCTCGGGCAGGCGCCATCTTGGTGTCTTCTACGCCGCCAAGCTTGAGTGATCCGAGGCCGGTAGCGTTGATAATGAGGGAAGCTGGCTTCCCGGTGTGACTGAGACTCTTAGCCTCTTCGATATGGGATAGGTTTGCTCGTTTCAGGACAACCCCGTTCTTCAAAAGTTGCCCGACGAGCCAGGGCAGATAGATGGCGGTGTTGATGCACACATTCGTCCATTCTGAGGCAGAGTCGAATCCGGCGGGGATTTCATTTTTGGGTAGGTCGCGGTAGTCGTCGTAGAGCTCGCGGAACCAGGGGTTAGGATCAAAGAGACCCTCGGGAAATAATTGGTTTTTGTTATCCTTCTCTCGCCGCAATAGTGTGCACTCTTCACGTAGGTGAGCTTCCCTCTCTTCCGATTGTGGGGTGGATTATCATACTTTGAAAATTAATTCCGGCCTCGGGGACAGTTTCACATAGACGTCTCATTTCATACCATGTGCGTGTCTCCCAACTCTTGTCCTTTTTAGTTGCCATGCTGCCAAGGTAAAGTCAGTCTTATGGTTGTTGTTACAGACTGATAGTTTTGCAAATAGACTCACGGTAGGATGTTGGCACCAGCAAACGGGGAGGCATATTCAATATCATAATCTCCGGGCATGTGCTTTGCCACGACCGTTACCTTGTTAGATTTGTCTCTGGATAGGAGCAAGGCAGTTGTCAAGCCCGTAACGCCAGCTCTGTTCACTGTCAGTTAGTCGAGAACCTTCATGTTATCAAATGAAACTCGCCATGCTTCCTGTGGCATAAAATGTCTTCTTACCCTATGACAACAATTGTTTCGCCCATCTTGTGCTTAGTTCTAGTTTAATTATTCCTTGGTTTGAACTGGTGAGCTTCTGATTTGATGAGCTTATATAGCGCCTTTATCCGACTGAATGGCTTGTGTTTGTCTCGCTTCGAAGGTACGTCCTGCTATGCCCCGCAAATATTGGCTGATGTTGCCGGCTCTCACCGATCACGGCCGTCAAAAATGTGCTCCGATATCAGAGTGCTTGATGAATCCCCATCATTATCAGTGGATCTCGAGTCATGCAAGGGACCCAGATGCCGCTTTACCCTAGACGCAGATAAAATAGCATCCGACCCGAACTGGTGGTTTGGGATGGCATGATAGGCAGGGCCTGATAGGGTGTGTTATTGAACTGAATCATTAAACTTCCCGTCATCCTTGCTTGCCAAGAGCTACATTTGCTGAATGATATATTGAGAGATCTAGCGTTGTTTGTTTATTGATAATACAGGAAGCATTGTGAGATTGTTTACTTGCGCTAGCTGGTTGCTGTGATGGCAATTGGAAAATGAAAACATATTAGAAAATTGTTTATAGTAGGATGGGATAGATTGATGGTCGTGAGATACCAAGAGAACAAGGAATGGGAAGGAATGTGTCCATCTAAGTCCGGAGGGAGAGAGTTCCAAGGGTTCAGACCAAGAAGACAGCAACTGGATCTCTATGGTAATGATGAAGAACAGTGATTTGTAACAATGCCTCACTGCATATCAATCTCGATAAAGTTCAATTGAAACCATTTTGTGATTTATTGGTTCGTATCTATTGTTGTGATAGCTCAACCTTGCTCCACCAGAATACCGATTCTTCTTTCATCCAAGTATCATCTAACAGAGCAGCTGGAGGGCCAGAAGCACCGCCAACAAGCTCCTTATTCCCAGCGCCAAACGCGATGGCCTTGGGTGCATCCGGTCGATATTTCTCCCAAACTGGCCGATTTGGGTTTCCTCCCTTGATGGCATTTGGATCTCCCGTGATGATAAAACTTGAGATGTAGTCATTAGTCGTTTGGGCGGTGAGCTTCAGTGACTCGGACCGATCTGCTACGCTGGGGTCGACAGCCTCATATTTCATATTGTCTCCATGACGAGCACCGTCGATTACCCCAGACTCCAATGCCCATTGGTATAGATACACTGGAGCATCGCTTGCAGCAGATGCAAATTCTGCGGTCTGTCGAACTGGCGCTACATATGCGTAGTTGGCATACGCAGCCTCAACTCGCTTGTACTGAGCTCCCACCCCTTCTCTTGTTTCCTTGTAGTATGAGTTTGAATCCTTGGAAGGGTCTGGATAGAGATCCTCTAGGGTTTTGATTTCGGATTCGCTCAGAAGGGGGAGAAGCTCAGCGAAAAATGAAGTGAACTGCGACGGCTCGGACATCTGCTTGTCCACATACAAAGAGCCTTCATTTCTGCAGAAGCCTGTCATTATTGGGACCTTGTGCCACTTCCCTGACTTCCATGTTTCCAAGGGTGGTCGAGGGATTGTGTCTCCATCAATGACAGGTTGCCATGCCCATCGGAGAGACGGGTTGTACGCGTCGAAGACCTTTGTCTGGGCGGCTGTGATGGCGTCGTATGGCACGCTTCTTAAGAATGGGAGAACTTCATCCTCTGGTGTATCTTTGGGGCATCCTAATTCTTGGAGGAAATCTTCGAATTGCTGAGCGTGAATTGGAGCGTCATATGGACGCACGGCTCTCGAAGTCGGCGCGCCGGATTCGATGACGACGCGGTGGTAAAGAGGCGCCTGACCTTCCTTGAAGTTCATGAGGTGGTGTCCAATCTTCACAGATAAGATTAGTATATCGCATTCAGAACTGTGTTTCTCATGTCCAATTTCAACTAACCGAGTGCGCACCAGCCGAAAGGCCAATGAGGGTGACATTGTTTGGGTCGCCGCCGAAGCTTTTCACGTTGTCTCGCACCCACTCCATCATCACAACTTGATCTTTTAAACCGAGATTGAGCACCCCTTCCTTCGCAGCGACGGTCGAGGGCAGAAACCCCAAGGCACCGATGCGGTAATTGAACGAAATGGCGATGAAAGGCTCTTCGGAGTTGGCAACCATAGATGCAGTATTGTGCATGCTTGCTGTGCCTCGATTGAACGCTCCTCCATGAATGTAGAGCGCCACAGGAAGCAGAGCGCCTTCCTTCACCCCGTGGTGACGGAATACATTGGCAGTGAGGCAGTTTTCGCTATACTCAAGCTTGGGCCCCCCTGCCAACAGAGGCTTCCCGGGCGCTGCTGGGCCATACGCTGAAGCGTCTATTGCTGAATCTGGAATGACTGGCAACTTTGCTGCGGCTCGGAAGCGCCTGTCGCCGGTCGGAGGAAGACAGTATGGGACACCACGGAACGAATCGACCGCGCGAGGCAGGCCATCTTTCAGGGTCAGACCGACAATATAGCCCTGCGGTAGCTGGACCTTGGGGCGATCACTGGCCTGGTCGCTCATGATGGCTGAAGAAGCTGGGGGCTCAGTACGGTAAAGAGCGTGGAAGATGCTGGTGGAGATTGTTGAGGCCTTCAAATGCAAGGAGACGAACCGAGTATTGAAGTTTTCAACACCCAATTGATGAAGTCTTGATGAAATTAAATAAGCGCAGAAAGAGTAATGTAATGTTTGCAATATGCCTCGGACATCTCAGTCGGCATGGAGCCGACAGGGCCCAATGTTCGTTGGAGGAGATGATGCAAGGCCTTGACTTCTCCCACTCCCGGTGTCGGAACGGCTCCGCGGCTAGTCCATCTTGACTGGATACGGCTGTCAGAACTGGCGTCCGAGAGGGGTTGGGACGGGACTGGACTCGGATTCGGCTGCGGGGATAGAACAAGAGGCTTATCTCGCAGCGACTGATAGGTCCTACCAGGACCCTGATTCGTTCTCCAGCCTCACCCATGTTTGTCACTTATCTCTCTGTGAGGGAGATTATCGAGTTCTTAGCATGATGCTGCATTTTCGAGGTGGCGTTTTGGAGAGGCTCTGTCCAACATCTCCGGTCTCTGTGTGTCAATGGGGGATTGAGTACATGTATTCAAGCACGGTACCGGGGACTCGAGAAGGGTGCACTGGGTCATAAACTTGTGAGAACCTCATAGGCTAATTGAACGGCTCCCCCGCATTCTCCAGGTTTCCTTTACGCAACAGCCTCCCCAGACTGTTTCGCCCGGAAACCATTTTCAGTTAACACTGTCCATCAACTCCACATCCGACTTCCAGAGAAACCTGGACGCTGTAGTTTGCCTTATCAAATGCTACGGGGTGTATCATTGTCCCACTCTTATTAGTGCCAGATATCATGATTCGTGTCATCGCCCCAGATAGTTATCTCTGCATACATGTAGTCACCCCTGCTCATGTGCCGTTCGTTCCTTAAACGCGCTCCAGGTACAAAAACTCACAACACCTTCCCAGGTGTCAGACCTTCGGATTCGAGCATCCAACCGTTTTCAACCTCTCACAATCATTCTAAGAAGAATCTTCGAACGATGTCCGACACCAAGGTTGCCACCGCTGAGGCCAAGATCGACACGGGCAAACATGACTTCCCCGACCCCAAGAAGCCCGGATCCATAACCGAGGGGGAAATCCAGAACCTGGATGCTGCTGAAATCTTCTTACGCGAGCACAACTTTAGTGAAGCATACCTAGAGGAGTTGCTCGCCGATGAAGAGAAACAACGAAGACTAGTCCGCAAGGTCGATCTGATGCTCTTGCCGTTGCTTGCGGGCACATATGTTCTCCAATATATCGACAAGCAGGCCATGGGATATGCCGCAGTCTTTGATCTTTTCACCAGCGCCAACATCACACAAACACAATATTCATGGTTTGCTAGTATATTCTATATCGCTTATCTGATTGCCGAGTACCCCTGGGTCTACGTTGCCCAGAAGACGAGAATGGGCAAAGTTGTGGCTGGTTGTGTTTTCACCTGGGGTGCGGTGTTGATGCTCACCGCTGTCTGCAAGGACTTCCCTGGCCTGGCTGCCTGCCGGTTCTTCCTGGGCTGGTTTGAGGCTCCTATCACCACCTGTTTTATGATGATGGTATCTCAGTGGTAAGCGCAACCATGGCCTAGTTTAGTGCAAAATCCTTTGACTGATTCATTATAACCTCGTAGGTATCTGCGACAAGAACAGCCTCTGCGTGCTGGTATCTTCTACTGCTGCAATGGTATTGGCTCTATGCTGGGTGGTATTTTCAGCTACGGAATCGGCCAGATCCATGGATTTCCCGTCTGGAAATGCATCTTCCTTATTTGCGGAGGTATGACTGTTATTTGGGGAGTGATTCTGTTCTTCTTCATGCCCGACAGCATCATGACAGCTAAATACTTTACGCCCGAGGAGAAGGCGCTTCTGGTCGCCCGTGCTCGCCAGTCCCGGACAGGTGTTCTCAACAAGAAGATCAAGTGGTACCAGATCAAGGAGGCATTCATCGACCCCCAAGTCTGGATTCTTTTCCTGTTCATTCTGCTCAACGAAGTCATGAACGGCGGCATTGCCAACTTCGGAAAGCTCATCATTAAGGGCCTCGTCAAGGATCCTCTCCTCACCACCGCTCTGGGTATCCCGCAAGGGGCATTCTTGGCAGGCTTCATCGTTTTCGGGGCGTTCCTTGCTACAAAGATCAAGGACTCCCGGACGATCGTCATGGCCGTGTTCTTGATGCCTACAATCTTGGGTGTCTGCCTGGTTTGGAAGCTGGATAGAAGCAAGCACATGGTTGGCGTGCTCTTTGGGTACTATCTGATGACCGCATTCATTGCATCTCTCGTCCTCGCTTTGCAGATGCCCGCCACGAATCTTGGAGGGTACACCAAGCGAATCACAGCATCAGCCATCTGCTTCAGTGCGTACTGCGCTGGGAACATCATCGGCCCGCACGCCTTCTTGGAAGAGGAAGCTCCGCTCTACGCCACCGGCTGCAAAACCATCCTGTCCTGCTCCGTGGTGCAAATGGTGCTGGCTGTTTTGCTTCGCCTCCTCCTCATCCGCCGAAACAAGCTGCGAGACCAGGCAGCCGCGGAGCTGGGAGCAGAGCTGGGCCCAGAGGATGAAGAGGGTGTTGATCTGACCGATTTTGAGGTGAGTTTCTTGAGACATGTGATACTGGAAATGAGTCGTCCCATAACTAACATCTTCCCTAGAATCCCAAGTTCAGATATGTTCTTTAATTCATATGTGCGTGTTCTTTGGATTTTGCGACGATCGGTTTGTCCTCTGCTCAGCCCCTGAACTAGGTTTCTCCAATAGGAGGGGTTCAGGTATAGTCGTGCAATGGGCTTTACCATGAATATATATTAATAGACCTGGTTCAACTATAATTATCTAATTTTGATGTGCCTTCTTGTAAATATTTGAAACCAGGTAAAATTAAAATCAATGCATTGGGTCTGCTGTCATAACTGCGGCTTCATCGTTTCTGGATATTTGATGGTATGTATTACATATGTACAGGGAGTACTGGCCGTTCAAGAGTAAGATTGAATATCTTATAAGCCAACACGAATATCGATATGGCACCGATGCATAGGGCCAATCATATCATTCTCTCCAACAGATTGATGAACAGAACCAGCGACTCCACCGATGCATTCCCCGAAGAAAGACTGTTTGACACGGCATGCTTCCTCATCTTTATTCTGTCCCTCCAAAGAATGCATCAAGCCATAAACTCCAATCAGAGTTGTAGGGTGGCCTCTCCCAAGTACCTTCTCACACCCTTCGAGACCTTGTCGATAAATCTTCTCTGCATGTTCATACTTTCCTTGGCACATGAGCGTCGCCACAAGACCATAAATGGATGAGAGAGTGTGCGGGTTTTCTGCGCCGAGGGCCCTCGTCTTTCCATCTACGGCACGATTGAGCGTCCTCTCGGACTCTTCAAGGTCTCCGGCAAGGCGTAATGTTTCTCCAAGGCCATCGAGGGTCATCAAAGTGTGAAAGTGATCCTTCCCGAGTACCTGTAAACGAGTCGCAAGAGTCTCGCGATGTCGTTGTTCTGCTATAACTCACATCGCACTGGTTATAAGATAAAGCCCTTGTGGCTAGGTTGAGGCTTGCTCCCACTTCATTTATTGACCGTTTCTAGCAAGTCCTCGGTTAGGGGAAAAAATATAAAATATGCACCACTAATAACTAGGTAGGGTTAGATATCACCCTCTGTAACGGTCCTAAGTCCTAATTGTCTTAACGAATCTAGACGGAGACTCTCCTCAGATCCTGAATACCAATTTGCCGTTTTCCCAGTAGTCAGGCTTTCGGGATTTGGGAATGTATTGAACAAAAGAGCAATACCATCGTATATAGGATTTACATCATGATACTTCTTCATCCAGTCCTCGCAATCAAGACATTCCCGAAAGACATCAAATGTTACTTCCTCTTGCGTCTCTAGTTTAGTTCGAGCAGCCTCCAGCTGCTCCTTAACACTTGCAGAGCAGGAGGTATTATTTTCGAATTGACTAGCGTGCTGAAGAAGCGGAATAGCCAGTTCTAGAATCTCTCTAAGCCTCTCCCCAGTAGCTGGGATAATGAGCTCTGATAATTCAGGGGGAGTTGGTGGAGATAACCGATCAGCTGTAGGAACCAGCTCCGCGCGAGTGAGATTTTCTGTCCTGTGGTTTAGAAATGGTTGAGATACACTCAAAATGTCGAGGACATCACGATGGGATGACAATTTAGCGGTTTCTTGAGGAGGCGGAGCTGATCTTGGTTGGCGCTCTGATGGTCGGGTAGTAGCCAAAGCCCGGAAGATGTATTCCAGTACTATCTGATCTGTGGTGTGATTGAAAACTTGATCTTGGCCTTCCCAGTTCACAATCATCCTGTTGTGCCTGCCACAGAGGAAGGCGATGGCGCGAACAAAGGCGGGGAACGTCAGGCGAGTTGTCAAGCCGGGTGAGGTGTTGAAAGGCCATTGAGCGAAGTAGATAGTTAAGGCCCAGAGGGACGGCATACAATTCCTCAGAAGCATTTTATAATCTCCCTCTTGAGGGAGCTGAGTGAGAAGGTACGATTCTAGTGATTCTTGATCCCAGCCTACATTAATCAGTTAATAGAAGTATTTTTGATAGCCCTATAAGGCGAGAGGTAGTAGCACGTAGTAAGAAGCTTACAATCATCTGACTTGGAATAACTAGAAAATATTTTTTCTAAGGCCTTACTTTCTGTCTTGTTCAATACTCGCCCTGGATAAGTATGGCCGTGTTGGAGATATTTAGTGAAGTCGGCCAGCACTAAGTCTATCAACCAACCAAAACATAATCAGTTTTTATGAGATTCATGAGGTTATTTCATTAGAAGGCCGAGTTGGGGTGTTCTACTAACCTCGGGTGCAGGTTTCTTGCCATTTTTCTCGGTCTGCTTCAAATTCGGGAGTATTTCCCTCGATGTAGGGACTGGCCAAAAACGCGACAAAACTGACGCATTCATAGAGGAAGCTTTTGATACGTTGCATTATGGGGGATAAGAGCGCAAGCAACTTCAAGTCAATTAACTGTGCTATAGAGGCGCCAACTCTGCTTGTGATCGTATTATATTTAATGTTGGTGGATGAATGAAGGAGAATGTCTTTGGCATGAAAAATGTTAGGTGATGGTGACGTGGTAAAATGTTCCCACTTTAGGCTGCAGCGCGTGCTCACAAAGCCTCCGACCAACAAGCCTGCCTCGAAGAAGTCTGCCCTGAAGAAGTCTGCCTTGAAGAAGTCTGCCCTGAAGAAGTCTGTCTTGAAGAAGCCTATCCCAAAGAAGCCTACCTCGAAGAAGACTGCCACCAAGCAGGCTCTAGTTAAAGGAAAGGCCTCTCTCAAGGGCAAGGCCGCCAAGGGCAAGGTTCCTTCCAAGGGAACAAAGGGAAAAGCGACTTCAAAAGGCAAGATTACCGCCAGTAGAAAGCTCCTCCCAAGGGAAAGGCTCAGGGCAAGGGCAAGACTATTCTTAGGGGAAAGAGCATAAAGGGCAAGACTATTGCTAAAGGAGAAGCTCCTTCTAGAGGAAAGACTCAGAGAAAGGGCAAGACTTCATCCAAGGGAAAATTTGTTCCTAAAGGGAAACCTAATACGAAGGGGAGGGGTTACTTCCAAGGGAAACACTCGCGGCAAGAGCAAAGCTACTGCCAAAGCAAAGGCTGTTTCAAAGGGCAACACTGGTTTTAAAGAAAGGACAGGCGCCAGGGGAAAAATTGCCGCTAAGGGAAAGGCTGGTGGTAACGGGATGGTTGGCGCCAAGGGCGAAGCTGTGTCCAAGGATAAATCTTCACCCAATGAAGACACTGCCACCAGCCTTGTCTGTAATTTGAAACGTGGTGCGACCCAATAATCCCACTCGTCGTGCCAGAGACCGGCCAGTCCCGAGAACAACGGGCAGGACGTGGAGCCATGGGGTGGACGTGGTAAACCGGAGGAAAGGAAAACAGGCACCTTTGAAGTCCTCAAGAAAGCGGCCGGAAACATGCAGCTAGAAGAGAACCAGAAATACGCGTTCTGCGAAGATACCCGGAAGAATATCGAGTGCCACCGACGTCTCGTTCACGGGACCTACAAGGCCACGTATAATCCAGTTCTCAACCGAATCACGCACGACATTCCCGATATGAAATTCTCTGAAGTTACCTACGAGAAAGAAGACCCGTCAAAGAGTAAGCTAAAGGTTGACCAGGGATATCGAGCGGATAACAACCCCTTTGAAGACCCAAACAAGTACACCTACGAAATATGGGGCAAGGCTGGTCCTAGACCCGAGAAGTGAAGAGCAGCAACCAATTCTTACCCAACACCAGCAGGGCCAAAGAGCGCTACCCGAGTCAAAGACCGCGCAAATTTCTGCCTTAGCCATGTGATAATTTCTGGGCGCTTAACGAATTTAGCGTCTGGGGGAGGAGGGAGTGTTGAGAAGACCTCAACCGGCTGGCGATTGTGAAGTGGAAGATGGACCTCTTCGGCAGCGTTGTTGTTCGTTTTACCCCAAAACGGGTTGATTGACTTCCCCTTCAAACTAACGCAATTAGAGATATTTGGTTCCATGCTGGATACATAAAGCCAGTTTCAGCTGCAAATTTCGAGGGTATGAATTTTTGAAAATCGTATTGAAAGACAGAAGTAGAATTTAAGAGTTTTGCAACAGGGTCCCATGACTGGGATGGCTCGCGGCCTTGCTAATAGGCGATCATTTAGTCCCTTAAAATCATATACCTCAAGAATCCAAATACAACGAAGAACTTTATTCGTTCAAGTGGGCTGTGTTTATGTGGATGCCTAGTAGAGTGAAGTGGTGACGTGGACTTCGTACGCGCAGGCTTCTCGAACTGGATTAGGTTTCTACTTCAACCATTCTTCATTCTTGTTTCCCCATCGTTTCCATACTCTCATCCGAAATTTCAAGCTTGCCCATATTCTCCGGATAAGTTTACGATTGAGGTCTGTGATTGTGATCAAGCTGCGATGAGATACTACCACGTGCCGGACGATGGGAGTCATCCCGGCTAGTGATCTGACCTAACCCTGTTAATTCCAAAGGCGTAGTAATTAGACCTGCCTATTGGGTAGGCAGTGGCGAGGAAAAAGATACCTAGAGCCCTAATTAATCAGCGTTTTCTCCTCCACGCCCAACGAGATGTCTTCTCGTCGTCTTACGCCCTTCAATTACATGACCAGGATACAATGGACGAAAAAATTGCCTAATAGAGTATCTGCCTCAGTGATCCAGCGGCCGATTTGCGGGCCTCATCGAAGCTATTAGATACTTGGCTTCACCTATATAGATTACAGCATTTGATGGGTGTTGCCATCGACAAATCCCTCCGCTCGCAGATAGACCGCAATTGTCTCAGTACAACTGTCCATGTCAGAAAGCCCATTATGAACTTCGGATCCGATAACTTTGCCGGTGCGCACCCGGATATTGCAGCCAACCTTTCTGCACACGCAACGGGATATGCCGTCCCCTACGGAGCCTCCAACCTTGACCAAGCAGTACAGCAACGCCTGGGCGAGGTTTTCGAGCGCCCGCTCGCAGCCTTCTATGTCGCGACAGGCACTGCAGCCAACGCACTGGCTCTCACCTCGGTCGCGAAGCCCGGTGGTATGGTTCTAGCCCATCACGAGGCTCACATTGTTGTGGATGAATGCGGTGCGCCCGAGTATCTCTCAGGACAACTGAGACTGGTTCCTGTTGATGGGCCTGATGGGAAGATGGACATTGCGGCCCTGCGTAGGCAGGCTGAGAGAATAGCTCGTCTGGATGTGCACGGGGGGCGTCTCAGCGCCATTTCCGTCACGCAGCCCACAGAGAGCGGGACTGTCTACTCCCTCGAGGAGCTGGATGCGATCTCTGCCATCGCCAAGGAGTACAATGTGCCTCTGCACATGGATGGGGCGCGGTTTGCCAATGGGCTCGTTTCCGTAGGGTGCCGGCCTGCCGACATGACTTGGAGGAGAGGAGTTGATATTCTCTCCTTTGGCGGAACCAAGAACGGGTGTTGGTGTGCAGAAGCCGTTATCCTTTTCGACCCTGGTAAAGCGCATGAGTTCTCCTTCATCCAGAAACGGGCAGCCCAGCTTTTCTCCAAGTCACGATTCGTCTCCGCGCAGTTCGAGGCCTATCTACGGGACGAGTTGTGGCTCAAGCTTGCGCTACATGCAAACCGGACCGCTGCTGACCTGGCGGCGGTGCTTGACCGGTCAGGATCTGCCCGCCTCCTCAGGAGGCCCCAAACCAACGAGGTCTTTGCAGTGTTAAAGAAGAGGCTGGTGGAGGAGCTGGAATCGGCACAGGTCGTGTTCTCTGAGTGGCCGGTATCACCAGATCTGCGCATAAGCAACGACGAACAGCTTTGCCGGTTTGTGACTTCCTTTGCAACAAGAGATGAGGATTTGACACGTTTCGGGGGTTTGATTAATTAACATGTGATTTTCTTGGTGCCAGAAGTCACGGCCTGTTTCACACATGAACATACATAGTCCAGACCTGCTATTGGCAGATCTGCTCCCGTTGGGTACAGTGCATATACAACCTACATATAGATTTGGAAATACCTAACCAATTAGATCTAGATATGTATATAGAGCTAAGCTCTCCATAGACTGAAGGATATACTCTTTATTGTGCAATCGCAAGCCAAACTTAGGCAAGTATGATTATCATAGTTATTGGTTCACCTACAAAGCTGCCTCTCTACTTGTTATAACGATAGATTGATTGAATTTCATGGCGACAACGGGTCTCTTATGAGGGAATTCCGACGCAACACATAGTTGACTCTTCACAAATGAGCCCAAAGCCTAAAGATATGAAGACGATTGCATCGCACTATCGTTCGTTGAGGTGGGTCTTGGCAGAATTGCCTCCACGACTGGTGACAAGTAAGGTATATGACGAGAGGGGGAAAATGAAAGCCGTGCCAATGTTTCTTGAGCAAAATACAATACAAAGATCACACATTCCTAACTCTTGGAGGTGTGTAGCTTCCTTGTATTTCGCAGCTCACCTGTTCTCTGGATGTGATTAGAGTTACTAGACTAAAGGTTTCCCAAGGCGCTGAATGCCAATTAGCTCACAAAAAGAGGGAGAAAGAAAACCAAATGAAAGACGTTACGTCCCTCAATAACGTAGATGAATATATTATACACGGTAATAAGGAGAGAGAAGAGTTTAGAATACAAATTAGGAAGCACCATATGAACATCTTGTTCGGGACTCGATCACGATGTATTTAGGTCCGAATTTTCTCAACAGAAAAGGATTGGAATGAGTCTGATATCCCTCGGGTGACTGAAAGTGGGGGCTTACAAGGTATCATCCTCGTTTCCAGGATTATCTCGTGTTCTTACTCAGATGTAGCATGATAATCAAGTTCGAGTTCCATCTAAACCTTGGTTTGCATATTATTGGCCGGTATCGGATAATTCGGTTGTATCGGCTCTGGGCCGTTTATATTCCAGCCGTCACGAGCGTGGAAGGCCAGGAGAGAGACTGTGACTGGCCCGGGGGTTGCAAATATTTTGGAATTCTCGCCATGGCCCAACCTGCGTCCAGATTGTACCTATCTTTCTAAATCCAATATTTCGCGTTACCGCTTCGGCTTTACTCTTTCTAGACGGTGCTAGGCAGGTGCTTGACTACTGGTTCCATCTACAATGCAACATGCAGTACAGGGAGCAGAATACGCCACCTTTGCTTACCCGTGTACAAACCGATCATTGTAACCACATAGCCGACTCAACTCCGATTGTCACCTACCCAAGACGTAATCCTGAGCTATCCGTGGTTATCCTATTGGATATCAAAGCAGCCACGCTGACACGGGTACACCCGATATCTCTATAGGAGTCCGATAACTAAGAAGGTCCCTTGTCTGCCAAGCAAGAAATGAGGAACCCTATGAATTGGTGCGATGAACTATCTGGGATTATCAAAAGAACAAACTAAAAATCTTCAGCATTGGATATTAACCACTGCCCAGGCTGCCCTAGAAACCAACATATTAAACAGCCTACCAGTGGGCGAGATATTACCAACCGAATAAATCGGGTGCAATCGAATCCCCAAGCTCTGCATATTCAAGCCGGCACATCCGGACGCGTTAGAAAGGCAATTATTCTCATGTAAGGATTTAAAAATGTCGTAAAGATTATTAGGGTGGGGGTTCATGCTATGTTCTTTGTGGAATCTCAGAGTAAGCGCGCGCTATACCACCCCTAACGTGATGCAAACCATAAGTTCTTGCACTTCGGGGTGATTCATTAATAAACTCAAGGTTATCGCTCGTTAGGAAGCACTAATCTTTCGGTAATGCGGGCCGTGTTGCGGCTGGATCCATGATTGATAGGGCCACGACGTGGGTTGTAATTTAGGCGTCATCAGACTGATAGATCCTTCAGTTGTTCGTTCCATCGCTCATGCAGGGGTAACATGTTACCGGTAGGGTCCCGACCGGAAGCCTACCGGACACAGGGATTCCTGCAGAAGTGAGCCCAAACGCAGGGTTGGTTCAACCCAGTATGAAGCAAGGATGGCCAGGTGTGTGGTCTATTTCAGCGAGTTGTTGAGAGATAAGATAGGCAGTTGATGACCACAAGTCTAGCGGTCTATTCGTAATGCACAGTAAGAACACACCTGCAGGGCGGTATCGGCTGATGCAAGCACATGGAAAGACTTCGTATGAGAGCTAATACATCGCTCCACTGTTGATTGTAACCGCAATATTGGTCCAGAATGATGTTGAGTTGAGAGGGCCCGGATCACGGTATAGCGGTAGTAAAAATATAAAAAGGATGGACTTTCTCACCCTCATTTGAACTCCTAGCAGGTCAGTAACATCAAGCTTAATTGCAATGCATTTCAATAGGTTTCTCCTGGCCCTGCCTTTGGCAGCTGGCTCGTCCGCGAACTCTTTTCATGTTCGGGATGAGGAAGAACCAGTGCGAGATATCAATATCAACAAGCAGTTCATAATTCAGGTCGAGCCGGTAGGTCTTTACCTCCCAACGTCAGAATCCTTACTCACACAATTACTAGGGAACCAACTTGGAGGGCCTCAAGAAAGAATTGTCCTCAAATAACCAGGCCAAGATCTTGAAGACCTTTGAGTCTGACGTTTTTACTGGAATCACCATCGAATCTGATGGCTTCAACGTAGATACCTTGAACAGCATCGATGCAGTCAAGCAGAGCTGGCCCGTGTCAAAGGTCGAGCTTCCCCCTTTGGAGGATCTCGCTGAGTTGGTCCAAGTCAACGAGGCATCGAATTATTCGATCCACTCCTGGACTGGTGTTGACAAGGCACACCAAGCGGGTATCCTAGGTAAAGGTGTGAAAGTCGCCATTGTGGACACAGGCATTGAGTATACCCACGACGCTGTGAGTTTTCGAGCAGAGATCAGTACGTGTAATCATTGGCTCACATATGCCAGCTTGGCGGCGGCTTTGGCGCCTCATACAAAGTTTCAGGAGGCTACGACTTAGTTGGTGACGGAAGTAAGTCATGATAGTATCGACTTGCAAATTTCATCGACGCTGACCAAGGCATACGATAGATTGGCCTACTGGTGCCCTCGCTCCCGACGACGACCCCATGGACAAGCGAGGTCACGGCACTCACGTTGCGGGTATAGTAGCCGGGAAAACAGATTGGTACATAGTTATTCTTCTAAAAGTCTGGCTCTATATTAACACTATTTCAGGTTCACCGGCGTGGCACCCGAGGCGGAACTGCTCGCATACAAGGTATTTACCACGGAAGTAAGTGTTGTCTAATACACCACGTTACAGCCTCCCCTGCTAACCTGGAGGTCGTTATCATAGAGTAGCACTTATGATAATATTCTTATTGAGGCATTTATCATGGCATACGAAGCTGGCGTAGGTATTCCGAGATCCCCTATTGCTTGCCTCGGAGACTTACGACTACACAGGCCGATATTATCACTTCCAGTGTTGGAGCTGCAGGTGGTTGGTCCAATGGTCCGTGGGCCACAGTTGCATCTAACATTGCCGAAAAAGGTGTCATTGTGACAATTGCGGCAGCGAATTCTGGATCTTATGGCCCATTCTATGCAAACTCTGGCTCGTCTGGCAAGGATGTCCTAGCTATTGCCTCGGCAAAGGCGGGAACGCTCGCCGCCTCACCATTTGAGCTCAGCTTGACCTTGGATGGGAAGACGACGACTTCTCAGGTTGGATACCGCTACAACTACAACCCTTGGACTTTCAAGGGCATGAAAATCTATCCTCTATATAACGACACTACGAGAGTCAATCAGGCGTGTACGACCGAAGACATCCCAGAGAATACCCCCGACCTGTCCAACGTCATTGTGCTGATTAAACGAGGAAAATGCGACTATCTTGAGCAAGAATTCAACTTAATATCACACAATGTGACTCAAATTATGTTCTATAACAATGGAAGCAGTCCTGATGATCCTATCTCGTGGCTTACCCGCTCAAAGGCGTTGGTGGAGAAAGAGGTCGGAGAGGCAATTGTTGAGACAATCAAAGCTGGCGGAGAAGCAACAGTTGACTTTCAGAAGTATGCCGACGCCAAATGGTACATGGGGATGTACAACGGTGTTGGAAACCGACCTAGTTACTTCACCTCATGGGGCGGCTTGTTCGACATGGATCTTAAACCAGATGTCGCTGCTCCTGGCGGAGAGATTCTCAGTTCCTGGATTGGAAACACCTGGCGTATTGCGAGCGGTACATCCATGGCCACTCCATATGCAGCGGGAGTAGCGGCATTGTATTTGAGCAAATTTGGTGGCCGCGGTACCCATGGAGCAGGAGTGTCGAAGACGTTCAACAACAGAGTAATCACTGGAGGCTCTTCAATGCCCTGGTCAATTGTTGATAAGACCTTTCCGGATGATACCGGTTTCTGGGCTCCCACCATCCAAGCAGGAAGTGGACTGTTGAACGCATGGAAGGTGCTGACTTACACTACCACATTAGGATCCTCAAAGTGGCTGCTCAACGACACGGAACACTTCACTGGGACGCACAGTGTAGAAATCACTAATAATGCAGATACTGAGGTCGAATATACATTCAACTTGCAACCTGCAGCAGGTGTCCAAGCTGCACCTTCAAGCGGTGTTGGAGTGGCGCTGCTTAATCAGATCCAACCTGTGGAAATGGTTCCCAGCGTCAGCATGCCCTCGGGTACTTTCAAAGTGGGAGCTGGAGAGACGAAGACGGCCGAGTAAGTAGAGCGCACTTGATCATGCGAGCAAGATCTAATTTATGTACAGGTTTATTTTCGATTATCCACGGGGACTAGACGAGAGCAAGCAACCTCTATACAGTGGCAAAGTCCTGATCAGTTCCTCATTGGACGAGCAGCTTTCAGTCCCTTATTTTGGGGCGGCTTATAGTTTAAGAGAGGCTTACAAGGATATATTCATTGCGGGAACTCCTTACATTCGTTCACCCACCTATGATATTACGCAAAAGTCAAAGTAAGACCGCCTGAGCTGACGAAAGGTTTACGATTCTAATGCCCATATTTCGCAGTTTTACATTCGATGTGAGATTGGATGGCTCTACCAAGCAAGATTATCCGAAAGCTTATGCCTCCTTTGCGTTTGGATGCGACGAGCTTCGTTGGGATGTGAGGATAATCCCCCTTTAGCCATGACTTCCACTCCCCGCTCAAACAGTTTTTTTAAAATATTGAAGTGTTCTCGGCTAATAGCTAAACCCTAGATTTATGAGTCTGGCTGGAAAGAGTCGAGCTGGACTTATCCTCCTGTCGTTGGGGAGGGTGGCTACCTCGGTGCTGCAACCTCGTTCCGTGATGCCGGGATCAAAACGTATTTTGATCCAACGAAGGACGACAAAGAAAACACAGTTCCGTTTCCGATTCGAGCCACTCCGCGCAACATCATATCAGTTCCAATCGCCGGCTATGATCAGTATCGATTTTTCTGGCTAGGGAAGCTGGCAAATGGTTCATACATCAATCCTGGCAAATATGCGTGAGTTTCGACCCCTGGCTTGTTAACCCGTCTTCCATTACATCTTTGGTTCGGATCAAGAAAGCAGTGATTAATGTGTGGATTTTCTAGTATGAGGTTCGCCGCGCTGAGGCCTTTGGGCGACAGGGCAGCGTCGAGTGACTGGGACATCTGGGACACACCAGAGATCACAGTTCTACCACTGTCGGATTAATCCCTTTTGAAGTACGTGGGGGAGAGAGACGTGTTCCTTCTTATGGTCAATCTTTATCCTCCACACGTTGCAAGGCGTGGACAAACCTTTAGATTAAGACTTGGTCATTCTGAGGAAGCTCAAGTTTAGATTTAAGCTTCGTTTCTGCGATGCCACACACTCTATATTTATGTTGATTGCACGATAGCTATGATATAAGAGTTGTTAAAACAAAGCTCGGAACAATACGCCCAGTGTGACCTTGTTGTAGCCCTCAAGCAAAGAACGTGCCCTCTATTCTTAGATCTTCAAACCTCAAATTAAGCAATACTATTCCTGCAATCGCACAAAATATATAAGATTTTTATCTCGCGTTAGAAAATGCCTTTTTTCACTTCCTCATCGCGATAGTTCTTCCAGACTATTGATCCTTATGTCCCGAAGCTGAAGATTATTTCTAGCTTCAAGCTCCAAATTGTAATGAAATCTGGCATTATGTCATTAACGAGAATATCTGCTATAATCGCCAGTGCTAATTTCAGATAATATATTTCAGCGGTTGGAGTGATATGCAAGGTTTCACAAGTATTAATAATCTGCCTGTACTTTTGGGCCGCTTCCTAATAAATTGGCTGCGTCATGCTCGATGCTCTGTCAAATGTGGGGTTATCGAAAAAACCAAACAGATTTCCGTCCGCCTCACACCATCTAGAAATTGACCATCTCTCACTCCGAGCGCTGACCGAAGTTACAAGGCAAGCATGTCAAACTCAGCTAGCCACCAGGCCCCGGCGCTGCCCGAGATCCTGACACCAATCCTTGCCCTTGTGGACGAGGACGACGGCTGCGGCACGCTCGCGGCAGCAGCTCGAGTGAATACAGTGTGGTTCGGCTGTGCCACTGGACTTTTGTGGAAGCAAATCAGCGCACCTGCCCTTGGCTGTGTCCCTGCTCACCGGAGGCAGGTGTACGCTTCTAAGATCGAAGCTTTAGTATTTACGGCCGAGGATGGAGACTTGCACGAGCCATTCAGAGACCTAGACTTTGTCCTCCTAAGGGAGCTCACACTGCACACATATCGTGAAGAGCCAGGGAAGGCAGCGTTATACCATCTCCGCCAGTACTGTAATCCAAGGCTAGATAAATTCTACTTCTTCGGCGGCGAGTTGGATCAAGAATTCATGTCATACCTACAGAATACTTGCCGGGACCTTACAAGATTATGGATCGACCTGCCCGGAGACAACATCACGGCGGATTCACTTTTCGACTTCGTTTCCGGATTCAATTCTCTTGAAGAAATTCATCTCAAGGGTGGAATTGATCATTTACTTTCGGATAAACTTCTCTACCACCTTGCGCGTCAACCAAACCTTCGAGAACTGGACATCGGCGGCCATCTCTCCGCAACGCTTCTCTCCGACATTGCACAGAAAATACCCGGCGCATTTCCAGCTCTTGGAAGCCTTGGGGCCACAATACAATCAGCCTGTGTGCCTGTCATCACCCGCACACTAGAGCATGTCACCTGTCTTGACCTCACCATCCTTGACGCTGACCTCGAAGCCCCAACGGTCCTCGGGTCGACTCCAAGGCTACGGAAAATTAAGATTCGATATGACTGTGGTGTTGAATTTACCACAAGATATTTACTTGCCCTCAAATCTCTCCAGAATCTGGAGAATCTCGTTATTCAGCTGGCTGCTGGCCCCTTCGACATCTCCAATCCCGATATGCCTCTTTTCTCCGATAGTGACTTTCAGGAGCTTGTCTCTGGGTTGTCAAATTTGCGTTGTCTCGAACTAGGAGTTATTGCGGACTTATCAGTTGAGTCCCTTTATTTACTCTCTGCCAGTTGTCCGATGCTGGAAGAACTCAAACTGTTGTCGGCATTCGATCTGCAGACACTCTTGACAAAGGCTGGGGAGGAGCCCATCTTCCCTTATCTCAGGAGATTAGAAATTATTGAGATTCCTGAGCAACTCTTCAAGTCAATAGAGTGAGTTGAACAGTATCATGAATGTGATGTAGTCAACAATCCATACTAACCAGATCGTGCTAGTGATCTAATTATGACAGCAGCGAACGTGTTTACACAGATTGAAATCCACTTTCCTGAATTAGAGACTTTATCTATCGGAACAGGCCATCCATTGGCGCAAATGATAACGGAAATGTTTTATGAGTCGGATGATGAAGAAGAGTCTGAAGCTGGGGAAGAGGAGCTGGCGGAAAACTAAAGGGACATTTGAAGTTGTGATACGCGGCATGTAGTCATATCCTCGCCGAAATACAATCATAAATTAAGCAAGTTATAGGCCGTGATATTGGAATTTGGCCGTTCCTTTATTAAAGACCATAAGGTTGCCTCTATCATGTGAAGGCTGTGCTTTATGGCGAAATAGTCCTCATGCGTTTAGCATAAAATACAACGAAGGGATCTCCCAATCGCCTCCAATAGACCATTCCTATTCACTTGGGCACGGTCAGATGCGCCATTCACCGTAGCACGGTGTTCATGCACCGCGACAATGTCTCTATGATGACCAAACGAGGTGAACGCTAAATCTACGTGATTCAGCAACTAACAAGCTGCATCATGAACGGCATCCGTTTCTGCCATTCTGTAGCTTCCTTCTCGTGTTACTAAGAGAGAGTTGTCAAGAATTCGGGTGCGTGGATCTGCTACACCGAGGATTTCATCGGCCAGACTCAACCAAACGCTGAGATATACCTCCAGTGCCACGTTCGCAGGGAGATATGTGCCATCAGAAGCGCTTACAGTGCCGTAGTGACTTGGGTTCGTCTTCAACTTCAGCATTGTATACCAGTTTCATGCAGGCAAAGACGACATAAGATGGACGTCTTATCGAGGCGTAAGATATAGAACAGGACATGATGTATGGGGGATATGAGAACTCGCTCGTAAGTCGGTAGAACCTAGTCATAGGTGGGTAGAAGACGATATGGCTCATCCAACAGTTTCTTCCACCTCAGTATCTTCAATAAAGCTATGAATATATTTTTTAGGAATGCCAAATGCTATCCAGAAAATAAAAATAAGCTTTCCATTCTTTCTCAGAACAACAATTAAAGGGAAGGATGCTGTGGCGTATCAGTTTGTTGAGAGGAGGAGTTTGGTATGCCCCTATCCCAATTTGGTTCGCTAGATTTGTCGTTTCTCCGAGGCTCATATTTTCTTTTGCTGGAATTACTGGAGTACTTTGTGTGTACTTACTAGAGGAGGCACGGCTACACAATTGACTTTCTCTCATACAGGAACCCTGTGTGAGATGACGGCATTCACAGGGAAGAGACGCTGATCAGGCACCCTTGTATCCATTCTCCCGGCTTTCTCTTCCTTCGCTCCCCGACAGTACTCCGAGAAATGTCTCCATCTCAGTACAGGTGTGCTCGTGGTGGTGCACCAACACTTACGAGTTGGTTGCTGCAGTTCCCGTACTAGCTCCGTCATCGGGACAGCTGGAATCCCATCACCATGTCTCTTTAGCTAGGCGACGCTAGTTACCTCTACTTCATAACATCTTAGAAACTCTGTTTGTGAGGCAGCCCGGACTCTATGGGCCATTCCTCATCAATGACGAGATCCCGACGCAACCGAAAGTCTAGAGGTGGCCATTGACCAAACACCAAACTCTTCCCCCCTCCATTCGCGGATGCTCGGCACCACTGTGTGGTATCCGTCACCAGGTCACATTTCTCCTCATGCCCTCCCTCCAATTCATCGTAATCGGATATGCCCGTCTGGGGAGAATGGGCGGAGGCGCGAGGAGGCGCGAGCTCAGTTACAGCTGATCTCAATAGCCTTTGTAATTTAGCTCCTCGCTCCATACCATGGTTGTGATAAATATTTTCCCTCGGGCCTGCCTACTCTGAGCTTCAATATTTCACCTGTTCACGCATTTCTTGATACTGTGATCCTTGAGACTGCCTAGAAGACACTACTGCCACTCCCACTTGCGGCCCTCACCCGCATTGCCACCTGTCGTGCGCTCGCCATGAGCCACCTTTTTCACCGCAAGAAGAACGGCGGTTCCTCGTCATCGGCTACGCAAGATGTCGAGGCCAGCGCGGCGGATGCGCCGGTGCCCGGTGCCCAAATTGGCCATGAAGACACCCAAGAGAAGCTGAGCGAGTACAGCGCCCTGGATCGCTACATCTCCAACTACCGCGACGACCGAAGCCGCACAGATGAAGAAGAGGATGAGAGCCAGAAGAAGCGACCGAAATGGTGGCAGTTCTGGAAGACCTCGAGCAAGCCTGCCCAGTATAACGAGCCCGCACCGCCAAAGGTCCCAGAGGAATGGCTGGACGAAGATATCCAGACCGGCATCTCCTCCTCAACGGTCCTGGAGCGGAGGAAGATGACTGGGTGGAACGAACTGACGGCTGAGAAGGAGAATATGGTTATGAAGGTTTTGAGCTACTTTAGAGGCCCGATTCTATATGGTAAGCGGACCAATTTTCGTTTGTACATTTATTTTGAGCAATTGAGTACATTGAGGCAGAGTGAGGAATGCTAAGCTGCAAATAGTCATGGAGATTGCGGCGCTGCTGGCACTCGGCTTGAGCGACTGGGTTGATTTCGGCGTCATCGTGGGAATCCTGCTGCTCAACGCCTTTGTCGGTTTCTACCAGGAGAAGCAGGCGGCGGATGTCGTCGCCAGTCTCAAGGGCGATATCGCGATGCGCTGTCAGGCCATACGAGATGGCCGGATGCAAGAGATTCTCGCACGGGAACTGGTTCCAGGGGATGTCGTAAGTTCATAGCCATCATTCTCCTTTCCCACTCCAACCGTTTGCGAGTTCGGCAGCAGCTGATGGCGTACGTGATGACAGATCCTTGTCCAAGAAGGCGATACCGTAGCAGCTGATGCGCGCCTCATCTGCGACTATAACAAGCCCGAGGATCAGGAGATATACAGGCGCCTGCGGGCAGAGGATAAGCTCGGCCATGAAAACGAAGAGTCTGAGAAAGACGACGAACCTGATCAGCAACGTCGCGGGTCAGTCTACGATCATCAGCAGCGCCGCGGATCAGTTTACGACTACCGGATGCACTCCATCGTTGCTGTCGATCAGTCCGCCATCACTGGAGAGTCCCTGGCAGTCGACAAGTACCTGGGCGAGCTCGTCTACTACACCACGGGATGCAAACGCGGTAGAGCCTACGCCGTCGTGGTCGCAACGGCCAAGGACTCGTTTGTCGGTCGCACTGCCGACCTTGTCCAGGGCGCAAAGGACCAGGGCCACTTCAAGGCTGTCATGGACAACATCGGAACAACCTTGCTGGTCTTGGTATTGTTTTGGATCCTCGCGGCATGGATCGGAGGTTTCTTCCGGAACATTGGTATCACGGAGCCAGGCTCGCAGAATCTGCTCCATTACGCTTTGATCCTGCTCATCATCGGTGTGCCCGTCGGTCTGCCTGTCGTGACCACTACAACCCTCGCCGTTGGGGCTGCGTATCTCGCCAAGCAGCGGGCAATTGTGCAGAAACTCACTGCTATTGAATCACTGGCTGTAGGTCTCCCCTTCTCTTTTCCCTCTCCGGGTTCTTCTGGGCTATTAAAAGCTGACCGTATGGACCGCAGGGCGTGGACATTCTTTGCTCCGACAAGACTGGCACCTTGACTGCCAACAAACTCAGCATTCGCGAGCCGTATGTGTCACCAGGTCAGGATGTCAACTGGATGATGGCTGTGGCCGCACTGGCATCATCTCACAATTTGAAATCGCTCGATCCCATAGACAAGGTCACAATCCTCACTCTCAAACGGTACCCGCAAGCCCGTGAGATCATGCAGCAGGGCTGGGTCACTCAGAAGTTCACCCCTTTTGACCCCGTCTCTAAGAGGATCACGACTGAGTGCCGACTGGGAGATGACCGTTTTCTCTGCGCCAAAGGAGCCCCCAGAGCCATCCTCAAATTGGCGAACTGCACCGAGCAGCAAGCACTAGAGTACAACATGGAAGCCAAGGACTTTGCGCGACGTGGCTTCCGATCTCTGGGAGTCGCGTACAAGAAGAATGACGGGGATTGGATTCTTCTAGGCCTACTCTCCATGTTTGACCCGCCGCGAGAGGACACCGCACAGACGATTCTGGAAGCAGCTCAGCTTGGCGTCCCGGTGAAGATGCTGACTGGTGATGCCATTGCCATTGCTAAGGAGACCTGTAAGATGCTCTCCCTCGGCACCAAAGTGTACAATTCTGAGAGACTCATCCACGGTGGTCTGTCTGGAAGTGTTCAGCATGACTTTGTCGAGCGCGCAGATGGCTTCGCCGAAGTGTACCCTGAGCACAAGTACAAGGTCGTCGAGATGCTGCAGCAACGAGGGCATCTTACAGCCATGACGGGCGACGGCGTGAATGACGCCCCGTCTCTGAAGAAGGCCGATTGCGGTATTGCCGTCGAGGGCTCCTCGGAAGCCGCGCAGGCAGCGGCCGACATTGTCTTCCTTGCGCCCGGTCTGAGCACCATTGTCCTGGCCATCAAGACAGCACGGCAGATTTTCCAGCGGATGAAGGCCTATGTCCAGTACCGCATTGCTCTCTGTCTCCATCTTGAGATCTATCTCACCCTGTCGATGATCATCATCAACGAGACCGTGACGGCAGACTTGATCGTTTTCCTCGCGCTGTTCGCCGATCTGGCTACCGTCGCCGTCGCCTATGATAACGCCCACTGGGAACCTCGTCCCGTGGAGTGGCAGCTGCCCAAGATCTGGATCATGAGCATCATCCTTGGCATGCTCCTCGCCGCGGGCACTTGGATCATTCGTGGAACCATGTTTCTCACCAATGGCGGAATCGTTCAAAATTTCGGCTCCGTCCAGGAGATTCTCTTCCTCGAGATTGCCCTTACAGAGAACTGGCTGATTTTCGTCACCAGGGGCGCCAGGACGTGGCCCTCTTGGCAGCTCGTTGGCGCCATCTTCGGCGTCGACGTCATTGCCACCCTCTTCTGCTTGTTCGGCTGGCTGTCCGGGACTCCTGAGATAACCTCTCCTCCCGATAGCTGGGTTCAGAGAGAAGACGGCTGGACCGACATCGTGACTGTCGTCAAGGTGTGGCTCTACTCTTTCGGTGTGACGGTCTTCATCGCCATTATCTACTTTATTCTGAACAAGCTTACCTGGTTGGATAACCTGGGAAGGAAGAATCGCAGCAAGAAGGATACCATGGTTGAGAATGTCCTCGGTCATTTGCAAAAGCTTGCTATTGAACATGAGCAGGATGTCAAGACTGGCAAGAACAGATTCATTCTCATGGAGAAGGCTACCGATAGCGACGACGACATCTGACGAGGTCTACCGAACAATGTTCTCCAGTATTGTCTTGCCGAGCGCTCGCAGAGCGTGATTCTTGAATGAATTTTTAATAACAGGTTTCTTGCATTTCAAGTGAACTCGCTTATTGACCTTTGCCTCTTGTATTTTAGTAGTTATTCAACTTTGTTAATTTAATAGACTAGCTGTCATCACCTGACTGATGCTTGCTGTGAACTCGAATCGACTACGCTAAAGTATTGAGATGTCGGATGCTGAATCTAATCCTTGGGTGTCCGGGAATCCTGTGCTTTGGCTATCAGTTCTCCAGGCAAGGGAAAGAGATATCAGAAGTCTAACGATAACCTGTCTTCCTTGAAGGCATCAGTCAGCTTGTACAACCTAGGTTTAAACATTATGATTCAGTCCTAAGGGGTGCTCTAATATCGAGATGAAACCTGGGAAACTTATTAATCCCGGCCAAATTCAAGACCCTAGCAGTCTTCCTTGTCGATATCAACTTTCTGCACATTACTCAAAAGAGGGAAATATTGCTCTCCTTTACAGCAATGTCCTAGATTGATAACTTGAAATTCTATCTTAGCTCATACTGCCCCAAAAGTTGGACGAGTTGGGTGTCTAACCTACACGTAGTATTAGATGATGTTCAAGTGATGCTATACTGATCTAACGTGATCAAGCATGGAGACCCCAGGGTAAATTTCACTTTGATCGGGTAAAAGCAGCGAACTTAGTTACCTGACGCCCCCATTTTTTCAAGTTCCTCCCATCTAGATATCTGCGATGCTTTCTTTAGTAACCCGCATTTAAGTTATGCATTGTGTCCACTCAAAAGTGCCACCTTTTATGTCATTCCATTTGTCACCATGTACAATCACTTGTCATCTCGCCTTATCGCTATTATCCACATGTATGGTATGCGTAAGTGACATGGGCGGGTTTCCATGTTGAGGGGATATTAGACCACAAGTGACTGACTTCTTCCGAGTAAGGTAGCGCTGTTGCTGGAGCATGCATGCCCTTATCTACCTATGCTGTGGTACCCTCGGCTCAGGCCACAACTGAAAGAACTCCTCGGCCCCTCTATGTCAGTTTCTCGCGCTCTCTTGTAATCGTGCTCCTCCCCAGCTTCTCCGCAAATCCACCCAAGCGGGATTCTCCGGCGGGCTGGGAGGCCCTTTCGAGAACCCAACTTCAAATACAACGCAACAAAACAACAAGCAAAGTCGAAATGAAATTTTAAACAGCCAATTTTGAGTCAACTGTCTAGGAAAGGGTACGAGGAGAGCACATTGCTGTTTTGTTCCGAATCCCATCAAAGTAAATATTCACCGCTTGTTATCCAACCCCTGCCCTGCTATTACAAACCCCTGCATTACTGGAGAACCCTCATCACCATTATCAAGACTTCCGGGGCTTATTATGGAGTCCAAGCGAGTTGGCGTGGATCTAATGATAAAGCCAGGATCCATTACATTTAAGTTAAGTTTGTTAAGCTTATCTTGAGTAGAACCAGAGATACCGGTATCAAAACGTAGTATTCGGATGCCAAGGACTAAAGATCACTTGTTCAAGTCGGCAAGGAGTCTTGGCCAACACTAGCATTGACGATTAGCAATGGGGAACACCAGATGATTGTGATGTGGACCCGGACCCCACGAGTGACATCTATAAAAGTGACAATTCATCTATGCCGATTGAATTACCTCAATTGACTCGTTCCCTGCTATGAGAGACTGACTGAGATAAAGACTGATAACTCTGCAGCTTCCCGACATGCGTCATCTGCTTAGTGTTGTCTCCCTCGTGGCAGGGACGGTTTTACTTTCTGAGGCAAAGGCCTTGAAACCATCAGTGACGTTCATTTCCCCCGTGGAAATCAGCTCTAGGAGTGCCCATAATGTCATCGTTGAGTATTCTGGCGATGTTGATGGCGAGCTGACGATTACATACGGCTCGTGTGATAATGTAGGCATCTCCGATGCAAAGCAACGGCTCGGTACAACTCATGTTGGCAACCATCCTTTATCCACCCGCCATATAGACCACGAGGCCAGACGGCCAGCCAAGTTTGTTTGGTTGACACCTTCTGAGGTGTCGGATGGGTGTCTACACGCGTTCCTGGATGATGAGCTGGTTGGCCAATCAGAAGAGCTCCTGACTTATGATCGTGTGGCTCGCCGTGGCGAGAAAAAAACATTTGCGGATATAGCTGGGGATGATAGCATGTGGTTCGATGGGGTGGCATACTTGAAGCAGAAACAGCCCGACGAGGCCTTTGTCGCTGCGGCCAAGAATAAATCATTTGGTATTCTTGGTGGTGGAATATCCGGACTTGCATCCTCTGTGAGCTCGACCCTTTTTCCTATTTATTGTCATGGTCGAAACTAACTCTTGTCCGCTCAGTTGATGCTAGACTCGGTAGGTATTCATAATTGGAAGATCCTTGAATCCTCTGAACGTGTCGGTGGCCGTATCAGGACTGTTTACCTGAACGGTAGCTCCCCCGAGGACGGCCAATACCATGAGCTCGGTCCGATGCGATTCCCGGTCGAAATTACTGATTCTAAGACAAACGAGACTTTCCCTATCATGGACCAGCGCATGGTTTTCCAGCTGGCTGATGTTATGAATGAGCTGAACGCTGGAAATGAGACGTTGCAAGTCAAGTTCTGGGAATGGATCCAGAGCTCTCCGAACACACCTGCCGATACTCCCTTCCGTCGCCCTGATGGAACGATTCCTGGTAAGACGGAGGTAGCGAGCAACCCAGCGTACTACAGTCCGACAGTATATCATAATGCCACAGCTGCCGAAGAGGCTATCCAAGCACTTGACGACTTCAAGGGTCTAACTCCGGAGCGTATTCGAAAGTATGCCACGAACATATTCGCAGCATATAAGCAGGCCAAAGAAGATGGCATGTTCGACTACTCTGAGGTCTCTTATCTTCGACATGTCATGAAAACCGACCTTAACACCACTGATGAGGTCTCGCCATCTCAAAACTATTGGCCCATGTGGGAGTATGAGACGGTATATTTCCTTGCAAGCAAATGGGTCACAATCCAAGGCGGCCTTAGTCGGCTGCCCGCTGCTTTTGAGCCACATATCAAAGACAGGATACAGTATGGTGCCAAAGTGAACGGCTTGCACTATAACAAGGACAACGATACTCTTTCGGTGACATGGAGGCCGACAGGATCTAAGCCTTTCTCGACTCCCAACGAGGTCACCAACTTTGACTATGTTCTCAATAGTGTCCCGCTCAACTTGATGAAGTTCTGGAAGATGCCGCCTTACTCAAGTCTCCTGAAGCGAAGCATTGACAGGACTCTCTATGCCAACGCCTGCAAGGTTGCAGTACAGTTCAAGACACGGTTCTGGGAGCATCTAGAGAGGCCTGTTCTTGGGGGCTGTACTCGCCTCTACAGCCCACAACTAGGCCAAGTCTGCTACCCATCGTGGCATCTTAATGCAACAGGTCCTGGCACCATGCTGGCATCTTACCTGTCCGACTACGAAGCCACCGTTGCCTGCGCCATGTCTGAAGATGAGCACATGGCCTACATCAAGAGGGCTTTTAGCGAGATCCACGGTAGCGAAATCGTTGAGGAGAACTGGACGGGTAACTATGCCCGCCAGTGCTGGGAACAGGATGAGCACCACGCCGGCGCCTTCACGATGCAGATTTTCTCTCAGCAGCACCTGTATCTGCCTGCCTTCTACCGAACCGAGTTCAAGACGGTTTTCATTGGGGAGGCTGCGACATTCACTCACACCTGGCTCTTTAGCGCTTTGGAGAGTGCGACCAGAGGCACGGTCCAGTTATTGTTGGACATGGGACTCGTGGATGAGGCCAAACAGATTACGAATACATGGATGGCGCGGTGGATAGATCTGTAAAAGGCGAGTGATTCCCTTGCCAGGAGGGCAATGCGGGTGATAGTTGGCGCATGGCACTTCTCCATGAGGTACAACCCTTCGTATTTTGTATATAGAATTTGTCTAAATTCTTCCAAAAACCATTCGGTGATTATGATGGGTAACAATCTACCGTGGCTCATAGCAGAGATTATGAAGTTGTCCTTGATTTTCCTCCACGTACCACTGAAGCTCTACTTCTTCACATCCCTCCACGTAAAAATAGCAAACGAATAAGAATAGCAAGGGGCGTCTTGATAAGATCACATTCTCTGATTCCATTAACTCAATAAGGGTTCTTAATCGACCGGAAATGTTTTTTCTTGGGAGATGAGTCCACTTGGTAAAATGTCTCAAACAGCCCGGGGTTATGGCATGCTGCACTATGGGCATGTTTTCGGTATGATCGTCGCATCGCATCATTAGAACGCAAAAGCTCGCGATAACGTTACAAGCCGGTCTCGCAGTCAACTTCAATGTGTGTAGATGCAGTGCCCATGTTCACACGATGCCGTTATTTTCACATCGCCTTCTTCTACATTACACTTTTGTCATCTAAAATGCCGGCGCGATGTAAACAATCGGGCAAATTCATCTACTGCAGTTCTAGGGCCACTCTCTCGCTCCGGTCACAAAACCATAGATAGGTCCCAAGCTTAAATAGCGTTCTTTTGGGGGTGAAAGGCATCTAGAAACATTCGTAGTCCGGTCTAGGAAGACCACTCTGATAAGCATAATGAAACCTCAAGGGTCTTTCTACCCACCCAACGCAATATGATGGAGTGAAGATGTGACAAAACTGGGTCTCTGATGTGCCGAAATCCCGAATACCAAGAACACAGAATAAGTGATGATGAAAGTAATAAGGCGTTGGTAAAATACTGTGAGTCTTCCCACCGCGCCATGCTTATAACTCAGCGCATCGGACTCGTCGTATTTCAACATCATGCCAAGTGCATCTAGATTATTACTCACTCACAATAGAAGAAACCTTTCGTCATGTCGGTTCAACTAGGTGTGCAGGGGGTGACCCTGATATCTCAGGGCACCGGGTATGGTATGCTCATTGGCCTTGGGGTTGGCTTCTGTGGTGTCATTCTGGCTGCAGTGAAGATCCAGAAAGCATATCTTTCAGAGGATTCAGGGACATCTGAGATGTTCATGGTTGCCAACCGTTCGGTGGGGAGGGGTCTGACAGCATCTGCAGTCTTCTCATCGTGGATGTGGATCAATGAAACCGTCTTCTCTGCAGCCTTTTGCTACAAGTTTGGGCTTGCTGTGCCATTTGTAAGTCGCTGCATAAACTCTGGAGCTTGTATGAATCTTAGACGGCATCTAACACTTATTAGTGGTGGTCGACTGGGCTTTGTTTCCAAATTGCACTGATGGCCGCGCTCGGTGTCCTCGCCAAGATTCGAGTCCCTTTTGCCCACACGTCGTTAGAGATTATCCGAATGCGGTACGGATGGATAGGCCATGTTGTTTTCATTATTCTCAACATCACGAATAATGTCTTTGGCTGTGCTTCTATGATTCTTACCGGCTCTCAACTTATCTATGGCATCTCGGGAATGCACTTCGTTGCCGCCACGATTCTGATCCCACTCGGAGGTGCGCATTTCCAACGTCAAAGAATTTTATCTCAAAATGGATTAAATACTAATCGCTTTCTGATTAGTTGTACTGTATACCGCAGTCGGTGGTCTAAAGGCTACTTTCCTCACAGACTATCTTCATACTCTAGTTGCATTGATTCTTATCATCTACTTCACTTTGAGCACGCTCACACATGAGGCTGTCGGCGGCCTTGGAGGTCTATATGACAAGATTATAGCCACTGCATCAGAGAATCAGATCTCAGGTAACTATAATGGATCTCTCCTGACTATGAAGTCACGGGACGCCATTATTTGGGGCCTCATCCTCAAATTTGGTAACCTGGCCCTCGTTGTGATGGTACGTTGCTATTAAGCATCCAGTTCCCTCATCACAGGCTAACAGATGCACTCTTCAAGGATACCGCATTCTGGCAGAAGTCGTTTGCTACCGAAGTAAAAGCCACTGTTCCTGGATATAATCTGGCCGCAGCAGCTATCTTTGGTATTCCCTGGGGGCTGGGCACAGTTATTGGCCTTACCGGCCGAGCTCTACATAACACCCCAATCTGGCCGGCATATCCAGAAGAATTCACTATGGACAAGGTGAATGCGGGTTTAGTCATGCCATACGTTATCCAGGCCTTGATAGGGGAGCGAGGTATTGACGCATTCTTGGTACTACTTTTCATGGCCCTGACGAGCACCGTCTCGTCGTCTATGATCGCTGTCAGCAGTATCCTCTCCTTCGACGTGTACAAGACATACATCAACCCGAAGGCTTCAGATAAGAAGCTCGTCCACGTGAGCCATCTCACCGTGGTGTTTCATGCAATCTTCATCACGGCGGTATCTATTGGGCTGAACTACGGAGGTGCCGACATGACCTGGATCGGCTATTTCAGACCCATTCTATCATGCCCGGGCATCATCCCACTGGCGTTGACCCTTTGCTGGTCTCGACAGACTCGTCTTGCGGCGATTCTGGCACCGATACTGGGATTCTTCACTGGTCTCGCCATCTGGCTGGCTACGGCCAAAACACTCTACGGCGCCATCACTATGAAGACAACCGAGCAAAGTTTGCCAGCCCTGTTTGGAGCCATAGGATCTTTCTTCTCGCCCGCGATATATTCTGTGGTTATCTCTCTTTACAAGCCCTATTCCTTTGACTGGAGGATCTTTCTCGTGGCCGAAACTGCCGAACAGGTTCGACTAAAGAAAGCAGACGAAAAGGAAGCCCAGAGTGCTGTAAATGATAGTTCCTCCACTGACGCTCAGAACACAGACGGGGTTCTCGAATCATCCCCAAAGCGGGAGAACACAGAGCCAAGCTCAGAGAAAGCAGCTGCTTCGAGAGTCCAAAATATCACCTCGGACTCCAGTTCGACAACGTCAGAAAATGTCAATCTTGATGATGTGACCCATCCCTTCGACGACGATACTTTACGAGAGTTGCGCAGGTGGTACCGCATTGCATGGTACATATTCGTTGGGATCGTTCTGGTCACATTCGTGCTGTGGCCAATGCCTTTATATCGCGATTACATCTTCACCAAGACCTTCTTCCAGAGCTGAACGGTGGTCGCCATCATTTGGCAATTTTTCGCATTTTTCGCGGTGGTGGTGTATCCGCTCTATGATGGTAGACACGAGATCTCGAGGGGCGCTCTGGGTGTTTTCCATGCAGGCAAGCGATTGCTGAGCAGAAAGTCTTAAGGATTGAGCAGTACAGGCTAGTCTATCACTTTCAGACTCAGCTTGAAGACTCATACGGAGATATCTTTTCCCTTACTCTAGACCTCATCACACAAAGATTGCCGTCAGGGGCTAAAGCAGAAGTGTATTTCTATCAATGGGTGATACTTGTTAGTGAATTGGATCAAATATGGGACCTTTATGTGATCTAGTTACTCTTCATACATCAATATACATCATACAGTGCTCGGCAGCTCCAATAATCTAGTTGCACCTGCTCGTCGTTCCACGCGCTTCCTTGTGGTTTAAATATCAGGATCCAATAGTATTTGATTCAAATTACTTCGCGCGGACGTGCAGTCTGTGAGTCCTTCTTACAATCATTCCATTGACGGCCTTGGGTACTGAGTAAATAATTAAAATATGAATATCCAAGAGAGGAAGCTCTTACTCACATTCTCACAGAAAGTCTAGCTGTTAGGAGACTCGGTCTAGGCGCCTTGTCCGAATGTTTCAATCATTGACTGTAGGGTACCTTAGTTTCTAGAGCTGGCAGAGTGCAGATCTTCTACAGACGCAACCATCCACTATCAACCATCCAGCCACAGAGCTCGAGACACGACAGCATGCATATCATGGCGGCTTACAGCGCCCGCATCCAGCCGATAGGTTCACATGATCGGTGGGAGAGAGGTCGCAATCTTAAAGCAGCTGATCGGCGCTAATTCTTGTGCAAACACGAATGAGACGCGCCTGTTCCCTATTGCTGGAGCTGGAGCTGTCCCCCACAATGTCCCACGATCCCACCCACCATCAAGCGCCACCAGACTTGGATTCGGAGTGAGAAATGTAAGCAGGCAGAGACGATGTACTCCTCCATCATGCCTTCGAAAATATCGCCGTAGAGAGGGCTCGATGAGGCCAATCCGGCCACCGTGGTTATGCGCCCAAGCTCTGCTGGTTGATCGACGTACCACGTTGGGCTTCAACATCGCCTTTCTTATTGATTCAAAGATGGCGACTATCATGTCCCAGCCATGTACAAATACTCTTCGCTGCCAGCTCTGCATGGTCCCACACGACGGAGGAGAGCTGTGCGTCATGTCATGCGCCCTCATTGCTCTTGGGTGGGATTTATCATGCTGGCTCGCAGCTAGCTGCCTTTCCTCCGAAGCGTGGACTGAATGCCAGCAGCCAGACACCATTGATTGATTCATTTCCTCGCAAGACCTATCTCTTTTGGCTGCAATAATACGGGCGTTATGTTCGGGTCAAGACTATTGGGCGACAACGAGCGCAACACTACATGTACGTAATTGCCTTTGGATGCATACAACCCATCTACCTGCTGGCACTTGACAGCAGTCAAAGCACTGTCCGGATTTCTAAGCAGCGCTGTGGTTTGGACATCAAACCTCGGCCACCGGTTTGAAGTTGCTCGCTACATGGGAGACACTCGCCGTGGGCATGAAGCGTTGGTCTGGTCCGCTTTGAATGGTTCATCGCGTGCCGCTGATGGAGGCGACACTCGCAGGAACATACAGAGGGCTAGCCACACACGTGGGAAAAGAACGACAATGCCGTCATCGCGACTAGGAGCGTTGAATAAACTGAGTGCAAAATAGAGGATTTCTGCGCGTTGCGCGTCGGATGAGCTGGGCAGGCAACACGCCGCATGTCTCAAGGCCAATCCGGCCGTACAGAAGTTGCATTCAGCTGGCCCAGAATCCACAGTCCATTCATCTCAGTTTCTTTCTTTTCTTTTTCCTCGTTTTCACGGCGCCTTATTAGGCGCTACTCATCTGCCCCGTGAAAAAAAAGCAAAGTGTCTGAGGCGAATCAGGTCCAGTTTTGGAACAGCCAATCGTGGAGCCAATTGACATGGGTGTAGGGAAATGGCTCGGCCTTCCGCGCAGCCTGCGTTCTAAAATCCGTTCATGATCCCAAACCTGTGACATGAACCAGGTTTTAGGGGGTGGTGAGCTATCATGGCATGGCGTGAGGGCGCTTGCATGGCTCACTCACCTCTAAATCCGCATCGAGCTGCCCAAAACACCTCTCCGATGATTGCGTTGAGAATGCCCAAGGCGGCATGTCCCACAGCTCAAGCAGGGCTGATGAGCTGTTAGTCAATATGTCGAGGGATGGATGTATAGCAATGATTACCTGCAGCAGGCTGCCGTAGCACTCGCGAGATATTCCGGCTCATTGGGCAACGTGTTATGCAGCAGAAACAATGCAAGACAATCATGCCTCCGGCCAGTTGACGACATTCGCATAAACTTCTCCACCACCCGGGGCCCTTTGCATGATTCCACTGCAGTGTCCAGCGTCGCCTTCGCGGCGGTAACCTGTGGAGTACACGTCGACCCTGGGAAATGATGGGAATTTGTTGTACAATGGACTCTTCCGGGCTCCTCCGGCGCGTACGCGAGATCTGGTGCCCAGTCAGGATCCGAAGTGTATGCTTGGGTAAATGCAAATGATGCACTGGCAATGCCCCGGATCTTTCTAGAGCATCCACGTTGTCTGCCGCTTCTTTTTTTATATACCCGCAGGGAGCCATCTCGTGCGAGGGCCCGGCCTTGCGTACATTGTATTCAAGCTCCAGTTGTCAAGCAAGGTCTCGAAGACGACTACTCACGGGGTGGTAGCAACCTTTTTTCCCCATGGAAGCCTTTTCATTTTAATCATTTTTCTTGTTTTTCATTTTCCCTTTAGTAGGTTATTTGTTTCAATATTTTCAGCAAGCAAGCAGTCCATAACGAGTGGTTGAGAGAGCCCTTCGGCATCAATCACCATGGCTTCCAAACAATCCCCAACCTTCCGGTTCCAAGCATGGCACATCAGCAAAGATTTCGACGTGGAGAGCTTGGAGGAGAATAGGCAGATGGCATCTTTTGTTGAGAATCATGTTTCCCGTCAATTAAAGGGCCTCATCAGCATCGGGCCCGTGGTTCCGACCCGAGCCTATCCTACTCTGGCTGTAGCTCGTTCGGTAAGTCTTGGTTTATGATACCTCGTCGACACATCAACCTATAGCGACCAGTAGCTAACAAAGGATACAAGATCCGGATCAGGCTCAAGCGCCCGACCATGGACTGGGAGGGAAACATGAGGCAGCTGTCCAAGGTCGAGCTGCCAGCAATCATCAAGCGATACTTCAAAGTGAAGCTCAACAAGACTCTCGACTTCTACAACGCTTTTGCAGAGGAGCTTGCCCCCGACCAGATACCTGAGTATGGGAAGGTGTTGGTATCTGCCGACCTGCAGCGGAAAGTTCGCGATGTGCTATCGAGGGTTCGAGAAGAGGCATGGGGGGATCTTGCGGTGGGAATGTAGGTTCTCCCTCTCTTCTCCGCCCCTTCCCTCTTAGTGATTACTCACTTGGTGCTTGTAGGACTTGTACTGACATCTGATAACAGACAAGACGGAAAGTTCAACGCGGCCAAGTTCATTTCAGAGAGAAGCAGAGGTATGCATTGCATCACCTTGCCGTTACCAGTATCTGCTAACATCATTGCAGCGCCACGAAAGAGACTTAGAGGGGACTATTATAGTCCTAGATCATTGACGCCATCGACAGCGAGCATCCGTTCAGAGTCACCCGCCGACAGTATTTTTGGTATCAAGCCAAACGCAAAGTTGAGAATAGCCACCAAGAACCTCGCCGAGCTTCATCGCCGCCGATCCTCTTCTGTAAGCTCAGCATCTTCTGTTTGCTCTATGTCTCCTGTCGAGCTGGAGAAATCTAAGTCTACCGTGTCGGCAATGTGCGGCACATCTACATTCGACGACGAGAGCGAGACAGATGTCGCCGCCATGTCGTGCGAGACACCCACCACAAGCAATGAGGGCAAGTCCACGTTCTCCTTCGTGTATGACACGCCCCCCAACCAGAGTCAGGGACAACCCAGCTCCAAGGTTTCTGTTGTATGTGGTACCACTAGGACGAAGAACCGAGTTCGGCGGACCAGCTCTGTCTCCTTTGTTTCCTCGCCCTTGGCGACCGAGAAAAACATCGAAACAGAAGAGACGGTTTCCTTGACATTCGATAGCTCGACGAACCAGACACGGGTTCATCGCAGTAGTTCGAGCATCTCCTTTGTGCCCTCGCCGGTGACAGTCGAGGAAGAGATCGAGCCAGAGGATGCCCTGCAGTTGGTACCACACGCTCCCCTGACTAGGAAACTCACTAGGAAGACATCCACGGTCTCCATCGTTCACGAATCCATCACATCTCAGGAGGCCCAAACCCAGCCCACCGTCACCTTTGAAGAAGAAGAAGAAACTCTCCTCGATATCGATCAGGAAATCCACTCTCCACCCGAGTATATTGATGAGTCTCCCCTTGATGAGTCCGAGGATGTTTCTCCAATCTTGAGGTTTGTGGATGAGCTACTCTCGGAGAGCGAGCCAGATTTTGAACCCCCAATCCCTGCCACTCCAGAGCCTGTCAAGGAGATGAAGAAGGTCGACGGCGGGAAGAGTGGCCCTTTCACTACTATAGTTCCTGGGAAAGCAGCCGATGCTGAGAAGGAGCGCATCGTGGAACAAATTGTGGAAGTAGATACCCCTACCTCTATTTCTCCCGAGACCCCCGTAGAGAAGGAGTCAGAGTCCAGCCATCGTCTGAAGGGGGATTCGCACGTGGAAAACACTAAGAAATCTGCCCCTGAGCCTGTTTGGGACGACGAAGAGGGCGAGATTACTTTGGTGGAGGACCCAGAACTGATGGCCTCTACTCCTGTAAAAGCCGTTTCACCCGAAAAGGTCAAGCCAAGGCGATCAGTCACATTCGACCTGGAGCCCAACGTGATCGGAGAACCTGCCATGATCGATGAGGCCAATATCTTCGAGGAGCCTCAGATGATTGAAGAGCCCAAACTCAAGCCAGCTCCTTCCTTTGCTTGCGAGCCTGTCTTGGAACCGAGTGAGGAAGAGCCAGAGTCCTTGGTATATGAAATCCCTCAGAATCTCGTCGAGGAAGAAATCATTGAGACCATCCTACCCCCAGAGGTAGAAGAGGAAGCACCTGACCTGCCAGAGGTGTTCGCCGCCGGCTCCTGCCTCGCATACATCATGCTTCCACAAACGAATCTCGCCATGATTTTCTTCCAGCGCCCTGATGACATGATCCAGTTCGGTCTGCTGTCAAAGTCAGACATTGGCCGTCACGACGTGAGCCTTTGCATTGGCTCGCCCATCACTAGGGCAGCTCCCAACTCCCCCCTTCAAGCCTTGAAGAAGGATGGCACCATCGCGCTCTACTTCCAGAGGCCCATCGACTTCCCCCACCAGCGCCCGATCATTGCGGAGTGCAAGATGGTTCAGGATGGCGACATGATCACCTGGGAGGTCAGGAACATTGATCTCAAGATGTCCGCTACGCTACAACCAAGATCGGATATTGGATACAAGAGGGTACTCTTCCTCGAATCCGAGTCCCGGCCGGGGGAGGTCGTCGCCGCCTCATGCTCTCAAGACAACAAATGGAGAGTTGCACACACGCCCATCACCATGCCGATTTCCACGGGAAGCTTCTCGTTCACTACAGCTGGCATCTCAGGCGTTGGCGGAAACGTGAGTGACTTCTTCCGTATCCGGTCCTTGAACGAGAAGGAGGTAGTCCAGTGTGAGATTGAGGGCCTCCGAAGCTGGCCTGGCTTGGGAGACCAGGAGATCAGTGAGGCCAAGATCCAGGTTGCCCGGAAGCCTCTCAATTGGCATGGCAAGACGCCGTGTGCATTTCCTCTCTCATGTGCATTGGTTGAGGGTAACAAGGCTGCTCTCATCGGCGTCCTCTGCAGGACAGACGATAATGGACTTCAGCTGTACCGTGGGCATCCCTGGTGGGACGAGTTCAAGAAGCCCGAGCTGATCTGCAAGGTCAAGAACGGATCCAACTTTCTGTATATCAAGGATTGGGGTGACATTCTGTATCTCACACCCGATGGTGACATGAGTCGCGCACACGTCACTCTGCACAGAAACAACAGCGTCACGGTCAACATCCATTCTGCTCTCCAGATTAGCGATGCCATGTCTGTTATGCTGGGCGAAGACTTTTTCGCGTAACCAGTTTTGCTCTTTTCTGATTTCTAGTTGTTTTCTTACACTCGTTTCGAGTAACAGACAATATTGTCTTTCGTCGCCGGATAGCAGACTTGTTAGTCTAAGGATGGTCTTTTTACTTCTTGCCCTTCGCTAGGATACCTATCTGTTTTGACTTGTGGTTTATTTATTGTTCTTTCTTGATTCTTTTAAAAAGCCAGCCTGTTTGTATTTACTGTGGAATTTGTTGAGAATGCTGTTGGATCTTATTGGGTCTTGTTGCTTGGACTTGCTGGGAAACGAGCGCAGCGTCGTATTGTAGTTAGTCGTGTATTTCTTGCTTGGGATTGTTTTGCTTTATGTTGTTTAGAACCAGAATGACTCGCAACACTAAAGACAAATATACCTTATTAAACTCCCAATATGAGTTCCGTGAAACTCCCAACATAACGACCTTACTTTGGAGATGTCAATGTAACCTCAGCCGAGGTGGCGGCCTTGACGTTGGAACATTGGAAGTGGATCACCAACATGACATGCATGCGTAATGTCGTGATCTGCACCTGCAGCTATCAGTGCATCAGCATCACGCCGTGGAGGCTATTATGGCGTAATCTCGTATGTCAAAACGTCGACAAAAACAGACATTTTTTACGGTGCAAGATTTATCCCATCGGTTCCGCTCCCCCGAATCTGATTAGTATAACCAGCGCTCTTGGTTTCCAGAGCACATCCCGGGCACATCACAACACACAAGGCTCTCGTTGGCTTCCCGTTTCAGTCTGCCGACAGTATCAAAAATGGCTGACCCAAACCAGACGCTCAACAGCGCGGCTGCCAAGAAAAAGCTGATCATTAATGCGTTCGTAGAGTCGTGCAGTGGCCATCAGTCTCCGGGACTTTGGAGGCACCCCCGGGACCAATCCACCAACTTCAATAGCATTTCTCACTGGGTTGAGCTGGCGAAGAAGCTAGAGAAGGGGAAGTTCCATGGGATCTTCATCGCCGACGTTCTCGTATGTTCCCTTTAAAACCGCTATATCTAAACTCCTCATTCCGGTTATCAACATCGGATAGCCTGCTAACACTCTTCACTAGGGTGCTTATGACGTGTACAAGGGACCTCGCAATCCCGACCCGGCTGTGATTTCAGGAGCTCAATGGCCCGTCAATGAGCCGTTGGTGACTGTGCCTGCCATGGCGGCCGCTACAAAGAGCATTGGGTTTGGCGTCACGGTTGCCACAACGTACGAGCAGCCATATCATCTCGCTCGCCGGCTCAGTACCGTGGATCACCTCAGCGGCGGCAGGCTGGGCTGGAACATTGTCACCGGGTATCTTGACTCGGCGGCAAGGAACCTTGGTCATACAGAACAGCCGGCCCACGATGAGCGTTACAACATCGCCGAGGAATATGTTGACGTTACATATAAGCTCTGGTAAGCCCCTTCTCAAATGATTCTCATCAATTGGTCTATTTTGCTTATGGTGTCCAATTCAAGGCAATCTTCTTGGCGTGATGATGCCGTCAAACACGACCGGGAAAAGGGCGTCTACACCGATCCAGCTCTGGTCCGCACCATTGACCACGTCGGGAAATATTACACCGTCCCAGGACCGCATATCTGCCAGCCATCACCGCAACGGACTCCGGTCATCCTGCAAGCCGGCACGTCCAAGTCCGGTAAGAGGTTTTCCGCAAAGCACGCCGAGGCTGTCTTCGTCGCCGGGCACAGCCCTGCCGTCGTGGCCAAGAACATCGCAGAGATCCGCGAGACCGCCGAGAAGGAGTTCCATCGCGACCCAAAGTCCATTAAGTTTCTGGCGATGCTTTGCCCCATTATTGGAAAGTCTCAAGAAGAGGCCGAGGCCAAGTATGCGGAGTATATCAGCTACGGTTCGGAGGATGGCGCTCTCGCTCTCTTTGGCGGCTGGACGGGTATCGATCTGAGCAAATATGGCGATGACGAGGAGCTTCGCCATGTTGAGTCCAACGCCATCCGATCAGCGGTTGAGTCGTGGTCCAAGTCCCTCCCTGGCGTTCCCAAATGGACTAAGCACACTGTGGCCAACCATATCAAAGTGGGTGGCCTGGGTGCCACGGTGGTTGGAACACCTGAGAGGGTGGCCGACGAGTTCGAGAGATGGGTGTCTGAGGCTGATGTCGATGGATTCAACCTCGCCTACGCTTTATTTCCCGATACTTTCGACGACGTGATTGAATATCTCCTGCCCGAACTGAACAGGCGAGGTCTCTTCTGGGATGATTATGCGGTAGAGGGTGGGACATATCGAGAGAACTTGTATGGGCAGAAAGGCGTCTCAAAGCCACCAGCTGATCATCCCGCCGCTCAGTATCATTGGAAGGCTGAGTGAATGGTGTTCAGTAGCCTCTCAAGGGGAACCAGTTTGACTGATACGTATAATTTCAATCAACAAGCTTTGCTTTGCTTTTAATATTATACTATGCTACAAAGGCTCATCACACTCGGTGGAGATACGATGCCTCAAAGATAGTTAACTTTACTATACACAACTAAGATGCTGCCAAATACGAAAAAGAAAATCTCGTTTCATTGACCTTGACACCATGCTCACAACTCGAGGGAGTTTGAAAATAATGGGTATGTGGATTGGCTATCCAAGGCTAGTTTCCCTCAACTGGGTAGAAACCTATGTTTCTTGTTCATAAACCAGATTTATGTTTCCATTCAAAGACTATCCGATGGACGATGTAGCAGGGGACGATATCATGGAAATTATTTGACACTAAACGAGTACCTAAAAGCTCCGCAAGCTCCAAAAGCAACAACGAGGGCCTCCAAACACCTTGCCTAGTCAAAGAGTTTAAGAAGGATCAACGCAGTCAATAGAATGCTTCAAAGCCCGTAGCTATCAAACTTTTCGATTAATTCCCACATGATTTCGTAGAGCCGCAACTGTAACATCACCTGATGAGGAGCAACGTCAGGTTTTGTTAGAAGCCCTTTCTTGCCCAGCTTTCTTGACAATACATAGATGCCAGAACGTTCTAACACCATTCCCTATTAAACTTCTCTTATCATGGCAAGCTTCCTAGCAACTTAGACTGACGATATCCATCTTCAGGGGGGACCAAACCGAAGACGAGATTGATGAGTCAACAGCCGTAATAGCTCAGCAAATCACCTTTACGCATATCATCTCTCACTTCTGAATAATATGAGGCTACAACTCACTGTATACAGTGACTTTTCATTATTTTCTCTGCCTCTAGCAAACCCTATCGACAAAGTTACGTGGGACGGTTTCAAATGTAACACCAGGAGAAAGTCATCGTAGTCCTGTTCACTCATTCATTTTATTCTCAGGGTACACAAAAATCGTTGCTCCATCAGAGCGCTAAACCTGAACGAAGCGGCGTTTAGCATCAAACGAATGGAGAAACCTGTCGTCTGTCTCAGCTTGCTCTTCCTCCTCCGTTTCTGTGTTCTCCTCGGTATCTGAATCAAACTGTCCACCCATTTCCCATTTCCGCTTCGCCGGCATCCTTGTTTCTGGAGTCATGGGTAATGTCCCAGTTTCATAGACTACGGGATTTTCAAGTTTATTAGCCGCATTCAGCTCATCTCGGTTTTCCTCGTAAACTTCGTCTTCGGAGTCTTGAGAGACGCTAGAAAGACGCGCTTCCTGCGATGCAGATTGCGTTGAGTTGAGGCTAGTCTCGATTTCAAGTCGAGGGTATGCCCAATTCACACCAGCTTCGTTGCCAGCTAGGACGTGCATAAACCATAAAGCCAGGTTAATGGTCCAAGTGTTGCAAGCATCTGGCCTTTCCTCGAAATGAGTCTCCTAAGGGATAGAAACATACTCCAGAAGGCCATTTTTAGCTAATTCAGCTCTCACTGGATCAGAACTTTGCGAAACTTAAGATTATCAGCTGTGTCCTAAATGTCCTGATCTCCAGATCAGCCATTGGTTCGAGAACTCACTGGAGCTTTCCGCGATAGGCCTTACTCGGAAGATGAATGCCTCTTCGCAAGTGAGGATGCATCCGTAACGACACATATTCTGAACGCAGTAGGTGAATGTCTGTATGACTGGCAGCCCGGCAGGATTCCTGCGACTCATTTCCTTGTTCCATTTCCCAGATTCATTGACCAATCCCCTTTCATGAATCCAACTGCTTTTCCATTTAGTTGCCACTTTGTATTCCTTGACGAATTTCTCCTTCCTTGCATCCTTTTCCGATGTTGGGTTGCTCGAAACAGATCCAGAGTCGGGCTTGAATTTTGCATACGAATGTTTACGACGCGGCGTACGCTTTGCGATACACTTTCGGCCTGGCTGTTCTCGCTGCTTCTCTGGCGGCTCCGGTGATTCGTACTCGCAATCAGCGTCGTCAGGAGCTTCCCCCTTATCCCAAATTACCGGGTGGAATCGGCCACGTATGGGATGTATCGCCGACATGACAACCTCCTGGTTCCACTTTTCAATCAATTGTCGAACCTTGGGCTCATCGCTCTCAAGCCGAATATTGTCCCTATCACGAATAAAGGGAGGATGCAGCTTTCTTGCCTGGAGAGCCTCTTTTAGTAGCTCCCCCCCAAAGACCTTCCCCAGCACATCAAAGTCCTGAAATTCTTCCCATTCTTTAACCTGCGTGGGGAAATGGTAGTGCGGGTTTCTGGTGTTGGTCCTGCTTTTAGGTCCAGTATGATGGACGGTTGGGTTAGCACAGGTCAGCAATTCCAGGATCGAGTCAACTGGCTCCCTAATGTTGCTCATGGTCAGGGTATGAGACAAAAAGTGGGAAAATATATGGTATCAAAATAGCACCAGCCAATAGCAGAGTAACACAAGTGAGGATGCGCCTGGCGAATCAGAGTTGCACGGACTGCGAATGCATTGATGGAAATATTTTGTGCCACTCCCTGATCAGTGGGCGATTCCCCCGAAATATATTGGCGGGAGCCGCGGCAAACAAGGTTCTGCGATTCGACTACAACAAGATAACTCAGCTGGTTGCCTCCTGCAGCTTGGGTTGCATATGCATGTTGGTGACTCTGATGCACCGCAGTGGCGCACCTGTTGGCTCGTGACTCGACTCATCACACCCTCATTCCTGATCCTGTCGGCCCAATTCGCGGCGGCCGACATACGGAGGATCGCCTGCAGAAGGGATCGGCTGGAGTTATAAAGCGATCACCGAGAGAACAGAGCCCCATACTCCATCACTGTTTGACCGGACACAATTCATTTTGCCCTGAGACCATGGCGAGGAAGCGTCATGTTCCCCCTGTTCCCGAAGAACTGCCACCCTGCGATGGCCCAAAACTTCCCCTATTCGAGCATCACAATTCCAAAATCGAATGGCTTGAACGGCTTGGAGATGGTGAGGAGACATCACACGAGGGTTATGTCTTTCGTGTTAAAATCAAACGAGCCGAGTACGCAATTAAAGTGGTAAGACCTTCTGATAGAATCAGCTCTATACGAAGTTCGACATAAGATTTCTAGCTAATACGACAGGGCTTGCAGTTCAAATTCTACGACCCGATGGAAAGCGAATACTTCTGGGAACCTCTCATCGGGGACGTGTCCCTGAATACGGCCGCCTATTATACCGATCCATTCTACGCTGAATGCCGCGCGTACGGTCGAATTCGAGAAGCCACAAAGAAGAGACCCAAGATATCCGACGCGGCAACTCGTTGCTACGGGTTCCTTTTTCTCAGTGATAGAGATCAAAGATATCTGGAAGGGAAGAAGTGTGACTTGGGACTGGAGGAGGTTGATCTGGCGTACCAGCGACAGACACCCGGGGGCGTCAGACCACGGGCGATTGTGAAAAGCCTTGCATCATCAGATCATGGCATCACCGAGCTCAATCTGAGAAAGATTCTTGATCGTATCCATATGTTGAACCGAGAGAGAATATACAATATGGATATTCGATTAGATAACATCAGAGATGGGAAGCTCGTAGACTTTGGATCATCATGGACTGAGCCACATAAACTTCTAGATGCGCTGGATGCTGGCACATCCTACAGCTATAGAACAACAGATCGAGCTATGTTTGATGAGATGGTGGTGGATGAAAGCCTCCCAAACCCTAAGCATATTGTAGCTATGCACTTCATGACGCTGCGACCAAGATATAACTAATTTAACAAACAATTGCGAAAGAGATTTATTTTGGTTAATGCATTATCATGTTTCTTTCTTAATGCATCTATAATACATTGAAATGTCCGCTAAACCCATCTCTGTAGAGGTGTTGATTAGTTCGCACTGTTTTTCGCACTTCGAGCGGCTTGCAATACGACAGCCCAAGGCTTCTCGGCCAAGCCTCAGTTCGTAACACCGGTGTTTTCCTGTGCCCAGTTCCTAAAAGGATCGGGATGTAGTACCATCACACCTTCTTACCTTGTATCATGCAACTAAGCGCCTCATGCTATCTGCAGTAAGATGGGGGCCAACCTGAATCACTCGCGCACGTCATTGGAGCCTCCAACGTGCATATCCCTGAACCCATGAACGATTGCCACGTATAGCGAACCAATCAGCAAAACGCACCGGTGAAGCTCCTACAGCTTACCGTTGCATATCGTGCCGCATCTTGATAGCGAAAGGGGGATAGCGAAGGGTAACAGGTCTGAAAACAGGGGGCCTCGGAAAGCCGGAGCGGCTCAATACCGCACTCTTAGGATTGTGATTGCATTGCATATTCCTCAGGGCCCTCATCACAATTAGAACGGGGGTGCATTGCGGCTGAATGCATCGGCCATCCATCGTAGAGCTTCTCCACAGAAGCCGGATCAGTATCAGTCCTTGTACAGATTGCGTCGTCACGCCAAGGGAAGGTCAATTCTTGCAATTCTTTAGCTAGGCTTAGAGTAGCGCGAAATTTTCCGACAAACTCGCTCAAGAGTCCTTCAAACCCCCCAAATCTCATATCAACGAACTTTGCATGCCCTACGGCACGGAAGCCCATCGAGCACCACTTCGAAAGCCGGGATGTCTTGAATTACCTCTTTAAACTTCCATTGGCATGCTCATGCTCCCTGTGGTTTGTAATAACAATTTAAGAAAGACGTAGAACAAATGGCCCACCTACCATGAAATCTCGCTCCATATCACCCGTGAACGAATCTTTCAATCTGAACAACCAGGCACAGAACTTCATTCCGGTCAGATTCATTAGCAGTCTAAATTTCAAATTTTCACATTTCTAATCTATAGGCTATTCAATAGCTCAGTCTTCACTTCCCACAGGGCGGCAAGCCGTAATCTTGAAGGGGAACTGATGTAAGCCTAACATGGCCCGACCTCGTCAATTTACAATTAACTTAATAATTTAATGACAATGCCGGAGTTTCAAGCCCAAAGGTTCCTCTGCTTTGATACGCGGTCGCGCCATGTCTGGCTCTGTCGGATATTGTTCATTGAACCTTTCGATGTGGCTTGAGGATCTAACCGCCGCTATTTTGAGTTACGACGATTTCACGATGCGGACTATTAACATAATAACATAGTCAATTTCCTATCTTGGATAGTACCTAAGGTAGGGGGTATCTAAATACATTGATTGAAAGAAATTATACATTGACTTGTCCGGTAAAACCTCACCCACTTCGCGATACCCAGCGGACTATTAAAGTTAGAAGTAAAGATATAGCAGATTCCTTACAGATATTTCAGATAGTACTAGAGCACGTTAATAAGCTTGACGGCCACTAGAGTCGTTTAAAGGCGATGTCTTGTCGGCCCCTTTTTTTTAAGCTACATCAAATATCAACGAAGTAATTTTTTATCTTCAATCTCTCGTCATTTCAATATGCTGGTTGTTTCCATTTGGCCTAACCAGTGGTCACGAATGCCAGTTCGGCCAGGAAAGGTTCGCAGAATCTACGAGCCAATGTCCACAACTTTAGGGGAGCCTGGGCATGTATATGCTAACTAGTCCAGCAAATTTTTAATCAAGTGCTGCAATTTGATAAAGAACCGGAGCAGGCAACTCTTTCGCAATGTGGAGATGATTCTAGGAACTTGACGACTGATGGTCTACAGGGAACCAACAAAATCTACGGGTCACTGTGAATTAGAATCACATTGGCTTGTCTGTCGTACTAAAGTGACTGGTCGTTCACTATAAGATATTGTGAATCAAGTTAGCCCGGCTTAATTGTTACCCCATTCAATGTAGGATGAAGGGCGTCAGATGAAGGGCGTCGGATGGGGCGCAGCACGCCCTTGTTGCCTATGTACTAACCCATAGGGCTGAGCAGCCGCTTATTTCCATGACTCACCTACTTCAGCTCATTGGGCCTGGTTCTAGACATGCTGCACAGAGGAACACCAAATGGCCTGAAGTTGTTTTTTAATTCATAAAACTAGCAGTCATGTAGATCGTGCTTTCCTCCATGGCTTTCCTCCATGGCCTATCTAGCTAGCGCCTTCCCTATAATAACCTTCTACGCACGTCAACACATCATCGTGAAACAATTGCTCCTTGAAGTAAACATTCAACATACAACAACACTCCTATCATTACACCATGGGTGAATCGCCGCCGCCGGCATCGAAGAGGATGCAACGCATCGCTGCACAGCTCGGCAAACTGTCGCTAGAGCTCGTGGAGCCCATCATTTCCACTTTGCCACTTTACAAGGCATTGGATCTCATGATGGTTCCTCTAGGACCTGATGCGGGCACAGGCCATCTTTCAACCCATGGCCAGCTGAGTCCTTTGGTTCAAGCCTTCATTTTTAGCCCAGCCTGGAAGCACATCTTTAGAAACACCGAATTAGCAACACAGATCTTGCTTGTCTGGGAAGGATTGAACCGTATTTTCAAGCTCTGCCACGGAAATGGTTATAGCAACATAGTCAAACAGACCAACCCTGCCTTCTTCCCTTGGGCCAGGGTGCAATCGACTTGGAGAATCTTAGACCAGGGAGCAGATCAGATCTCCGACGGACACTGGCTTCTTACCAAACTAAAAGCCGCTCTGTGGTTGATGGCAGTCCCTGGAAAACAAACCGCCATATTTTCCAACCTTCCTTCCAGCGCAGCATTCATGCTTTTGCCCCCAGAGTATGGCGCCTTGCCTAACTCCCCCATGATCGATGCGCATCTTCCTGAAGGTAAATTTTCATTCGCTGGAAATTCAGTTGTTCGCTCTCCACAGCGCTCACACCAAGTTTTTGCAGACCAATCCAGCCTTCCGCCAGTCGAATTGTCCATAGCGACTTCACGCCCTCATGAATTTCAGACGACAGGATGGGACCTATCACAACTTCTCAAATATATAGGCGACCTCGAAGAGGCTTGGAAAAAGCTTAAAACCAGATGGGCTTTAGAGCTTCAGTCCCTTGAAGCTTTGTACAAGCGTTACCCGACCATGCTGAAGGCGGCTCTAAGGCCTCAAGTGTCACATAATCCTATGAACGAGGATCATATCCCAAGAACGTTTCAACAAGCTATTCGCAAGTTGGAGGGATTAGGCCTCCAGGGGAACGGACAGTGGCGTTTCCTTTTCCAGTTTTCTCACCACTACCTAGTGCCCTACAATTGGTGTCTGCGTCTTTTCATGATCGTGATGGGTGAGAAGAGCCCCGAAATTCCTCCCGAGTTTGCTCTGGACTTAGAACGAGCTCTCCAAGGCATTTCACATGTCCAAAAGTACGGAGGAGGTGACAATCTAGAGTACCCGAGAGCCAGATGCGCCCAGGACGATGTGCGCCATATGGAATTTGAGATCCATGTTAATAGGACCACGCTTCTGCCAACCTCGCAAGCCGAGCTGCAGTGGCTAACCTCGTTCCTCACCGTTGTCAGGTGGATGGAGAGCGAGTATTCTGATCTTGCCGAGGAACTACGCCGTCCCGTTGCTCAGATCCGTCGTGTCGGAAAGGGAAAGGGTCAGAAAAGGTTCACGCTAGAGCCGTCAGATTACAAGTATCTGGCGGAGTCTTTACCAGCTCGAGAGGTCGCCGCGTATTTGAAAAAGGATGCAGAGCAAAGTAATAGGCCCATGACCACCAACCAGGCTCGCTATCCGAGTTTGCTCGCCTTTTCTATGCCTGATTTTTCAACGCCGAAAGCCCAAGAAATTGCAAATCATCTGACACCACAGGAAGATATGTCGAAAGATATTCAACAGATTGTCTATAACAGCACGATAGAAAAGATCAAGCGCCACTTCAGGAGACCACTCTCTCCGCCACCCAAGGATAGCGAGCTTTTGGTGCATGAAGTCCTCGATAAGAACGAACAATCCGTTGGAGCATCATCGGGATCAACCGAATGGGCTGAAGCAGTTGAGGCTTATGCCGATGCGGTGCAAAAGAAGCCTGCATCTCCATCTCATCGCTGCTATATTTGTCGGCACACTGTGATCCATGAGCGAGATCTGCATCCGGTGTTTACCGCCATGTGCAAACCCTGCGGTGATTTCAACTCGGCGGGCTCTGCCATGTCGTTGCCAGGAAAGCTCAACCTCAAGGGGAAAACCGCGTTTGTTACCGGAGGCAGAATCAATCTTGGATTTCACACGGCGCTGAGACTGCTTCGATGTGGTGCAAGAGTCATAGTCTCCAGCCGATATCCACAAGACGCGTTTCTTCGATACCGGGATCAACCAGACTCTGCAGAATGGCTAGAGGATCGGCTCCGTATTCTTGGAGCGGACTTTCGCACTGCTCATGACGCTTTTGAGCTTGCGAAACTCGTGAAAGATACTCTTTCAACATGCGCAGTTACTTCGAGACACGCTACTCCTACCTTAGACATCATGATCAATAATGCAGCCCAGACGCTGACGGATGGCGACAAGAAGGAAGAAACAGCGGTTAGCAGGGAAATCGATCTCGCTGTTTCCCTGCCTCAGCATCCTGCCTTGCCGGCTGTGGCATCTTATACTCCTCGCGTCGGGGGTGGTGCATCCGCGACTAACTTCATCGAAAATCAGAGCAGAGGAAGTCTTCCATCAACAATCATCTCTCCATCAACCATCCAACTTGCCCCTGAGAAATCTTCCTGGGTCCAGGGCTTGACAGAGATACCCTATGCTGACGTCGTGACCGCCCAGGCCGTCAATGCTTTTGTACCGCTGATTCTTATACGTGAGCTTCTACCACTCATGTCCCGCCGTCAAGATAGACAGCCAGGTCAAATAATCAATGTGTCCTCTCGTGAGGGTATATTCGAAGACAAGCGGAATCATTCTGCTAAGCAAGGCAAGCATGTCCACACCAATATGTCAAAGGCTGCACTGAACATGATTACTGAGACGGAGGCATCATCGTCATGGAAGAACCACCATGTTGCCATGAATACTGTGGACCCTGGTTATATGAGTGCTGCTCCAGAGATGGAACACGTCTTTGGCGGTGTGAGACCTCTAGGCTGGGAAGATGGTGCTGGGCGAGTATTGTGGCCAGTCGCGATGGCGTACGGCGAGGACAGGACCGCTATATGGGGTCGTTTTTTGAAGCACTATGGAGCCGGGAGCGTGACTCCGGGCCTTGGTTAGATTATACATATAGCTGCACCGTTATAATAGGTACTATAACGCCTTTGGCTTGAGCTTTTCTCTTGCTAGAGCCGGTATCTTAACTTAACAAGAACTATGTCTAGTATCAACTCATCTTCATACCAGTCATTGTGCCTATTCAACACCAAATTCTAGTTTTCGACCTAGGCTCCTGATGTTCCCTGGGAATGTAGTAGGTTAATGATCTACCGCTAGGTAGATCAAATAATGTTGAATAATTTTCTATCAATCTGCTTTCTCGGACTGTACTAGGTACTTGCTTGGTGGAAAGAGTGAATCACTTCATCTCTTGACTTGATTGTAACAGGAGTCAACCAGTACCCAAGATTCTCCCGCTGTGTCCATTCTAAGATCTTGGTGAATCCCAGTGGGGTTCTCGGGGCGAAGGTTAGCAATTAGCTAGGAAGCTAGCGCAGGAAGGTGGCCTGAGATATTCTCGGTGCATACTTCGACAGTGAAACGGATTGCATAAAGGCTACTCTAGGGTTGCCCGTGATGCGTTCCCAATCTCACCTTCGATTCCCGGTAAAATCATTCATGCAGCCGCCGTTCCCCAAGGTCTCCATCTTCACGTCCGAGTCAACAGTCTCGAAGAAGGCCGAGTACATCAACCTGCTCAAATCTAAGGGGGCCCATATAATCACCGGCGATGTCACCAATCCCAATGATGTCAAGGCAGCATACGAAGGTGTTGACACCGTCGTCAGTGCCGTGGGCCGAAATGTCATCGACCAGCAAATCGAACTGATCAAGCTGGCAGAAGAATCCAGCTCTGTCCAGTGGTTCTTTCCCTCGGAGTACGGCACAGATATTGAGTACGGTCCTGAGAGTATCAACGAGAAGCCCCACCAGCTCAAGCTCAAGGTTCGCAAGTATATTCGCGAGAATATCAAGCGCGTCAAGTACACGTATCTGGTCACTGGACCATACGTGGACATGTTCTTTACGCTTAACAAACTAGCTCCCGAAGCTGGCGGCTTTGAAATTGAGTCGAAGAAGGCAGTTCTCGTGGACGGTGGAGAAGGTAGAATCGGCTTCACAACAATGCCTGAGTAAGTTTGGGAGACCCTACTACAACATTCATCTAGAGCACGTGCTGATATCATTTAGTGTTGGAAAAGCCCTGGTGGCGGCTCTCCGCCATCCAGAGGCGTCGTTTAATAAGGCTCTGAAGGTCCAGTCTTTCGTCGTGACACCAAAACAGATTCTGGCCGAGTTTGAAAAGCAGGTCGGTGGCCCAAAGTGGTCGGTGACTTCCTACACTCTCCAGGAGCTGAAGGATGCGGAGAAGAAAGCGTGGAGCGAAGGGAAGTCATACGCTACAAGCTACACTCTACGACGGATTTGGTCCGAGGGAGGAACCCTGTACGAAAAAACGGACAATGAGAGCATTGGGCTTCATAGCTCTCAGTTAGAGACGCTCGAGGATGGCGTGAAGAGAGCGCTCACCACTGGCTGGTAATAAAAACAGAGTATATTACGGTAAAAAAACGTTTATAGCACGTCATATATCCTATGTCACAGCTATTCAAGTAGGTGAATTAAAGCGTACCAAGACTACCGATCCTAAATCTTAAGATGGTATCAGGACAATAAGCCTAACAATCCGCAAATCGCCGATATAGAACAGCTTTCTTTATCGCTTTTGCGATTGTTAGTGTAAATCCAAACTCACGATTGAGTCATTGTTAGGACCAGAAAAGGAATGCGTAGCAGAACAGACGGAAGGCCGCTGCGTTGATACGAGAAATGAAGACCCTGACTTTTATTTTTCTATTTTTCCTGGAGATAAACGATACAAACAAAATCCCAAATGCTACTACAAAGACCCAGCTCCAAATATCTCATCAGCATGTCGGCGTTCTCATCGCTACGTCAGCCTCCGACAACCAATGTAAAAACGTTAAAATTGCTGTGTTCACTCACACCTCACTCCTCACCTTCCTCTACGGCTCTCAGACAACGAATGGTGCTGAATATGTTCGTTGCAGCATACAGCCTACCCGGCGGCGGAGCGGGTGGCAGAAATTTCAGATAGACATGATCATTCGGCGTAAACAATGAAGATCAGGGTGTCTTACAGACTCACATAGTGTCCCCGGTTGGTTGCTCTCAATAGCCAAGAACCTACCCGAATTGAAATGAAAAGTTTGCAACAACTGAAACTTATCTAGAAAACCCAGAGCCCAGACGGGTAGGAGTGGTCGATGAACAGAATGGCGTTGGACAGATCCCGCTGCCTAGGTAGGTCTAGCCTTTCTTCGCCTCGCTTTCATCACATGTTGGCGGCCAAAATGTGATAGGATTTGCCGATACGGCACCCCTGGATCCGTGATGTAACCGAGTGAACCAACACCAGATGAATCGGGGGCGAAATTCCGACATTCCCCCACCACAAATCTAGATGCCGGTATGCATGTTGGTACCAACACAGCGGATTAGACGCATAGACCACCCGACGATGGTGTTGGCGAAACTCAACCCAGGGAGGACTATTGGGCGATATGTCCCAGCCGTGGCATGTCAAAAACGGTCGAATTGCGCAAGGAACAAGACAGAATGACAGTAGCCTAGGTCAGCCTTGCTCTCCAAATTAACCAGCGGTTCATCAATATAGCCCGGCCTCTTGAGCGTGTGTATAGTCAGTAATATGAAGACGTACGCATCTAGTGGAGACTTCGCTTAACTACTGGCTGTAATTGATCGTGATGAGATTATACTTCCGGGGAATGGGCTTATGATCCGAGATCTCATAATGGCTATCGACGGCGCGGCTAGCTCGCATTCCTAACACTGTTGGGTGTTACCAAAAGCAATTTCTCCAACGGCTGAGAGGGTGGGAGTATCAAAGACAGCTGTCAGCATTATTATAGAGAAAAACACTTGTGAGGATGACTGCCCGGCACTCGGCCACGGTGGAAGAAGGGTCAATGCAAGGGGAGATGGCTGAGTTGGGCCATCGCTAAGCAGTTGACATGGGGTCCCAACAGGGTCCACGCCAGCGATATCCATGCCAATCTCAATGGTAAGCAAGTCGGACCACCACGGAGGACATACCACGCAGTGAAAGGGGACATGTTCTGTTTGGATTGAGATATCCGCCATGGCGGGGTGGAATACCTCATGTTGAGCCCGATATACCGGATTTCTGGGTGAGCTGGCAGGCAGATGGTACGACGGAGCCGGCAGGTGTGATTGTCTCGATGGAATCACCAGCGGCCGCCGGGCTTGGGTCGTCGTCACCTGCTGTGCCTCATTCAACCCTGCTCTCACTCTCTGGAAGAATTTTTTCCACGGCTTATTATATTAATTAAAGGGTTCGGCCACTGACATACGCCTTCATGCCCGACCCAAACAGACGGGTCGGTCCGGGAGGCCGGAATAGAATCCGCAGTGTTACCTGGCAGCCTGTTGCAGGGAATGTTCGCCAGGATCCAGCCCAGCTGCAGGTGGAGAGGCAGGTTGGAAAGATCAAGTGCCAAGAGCTCCGACTGACACGGCCCTGTGCAAATCTACCTTTGTTTGGCGTTGAATCTTGTCTTACGGCTGCGTATCGCACCAACAGACTTGGTATTATTCCCGAGCGTACAATTCAAACTCTCAATTACGGTAGGTAGGGTTTAGTGATGGGTGCGCTAAATCTGAAGGGAGCAGTAGCGAATCCTCCTCCACCCACCTGGTCCAGCGTCCCCTACCCTCCTAGGATGCGAGCAATCTCTTTGTTCTGGATAGGGGGGGTTCGGTAATATGCACATGAGAGGCAACCCAATACCGGGAAACCAGGGAACGGTATTTCAACAGACCCCACGGCGGTGCAGATCTTGCGTCTCCATGTAACACTGCTACGACGTTCTGGGAATGGACGATGAGGGGACTGCAACCCAACTGTCGAGTTAGTGCTGAACCTAAGCGAGACAAAGGCACCGATCTTCTGGAGCCGGGAGACCAGATAGAGAGACGGGCACTCCGTAGTGAAAGTGTATTTCGTGGGTAGTATGGGTGCGTAGAAATGGAATCCTATTGATGCACTAAGCTACTACCGTTTAGAGGTCCAGTGCCGATTAGTGAGGTGTACGATCGGGGTAGTGGTCACGGCAGGTGCTAGTGGCAGCACCTGTTACAGCACAATAGCCCGGGCTAGGGCCTGGGCCAGGGCCTATTGGCTGCTACAGCGGGCCAGGTATCAGCGACGGATGGATCACTGATCACTGATGTGCCAGCGCTGGCTCCCTGAGACCAAGACACGAGTCCCATGTCCACGGCCATGGCGCAACGTGCTCGAACTCTGCCTCACCTCCCCGCCCTCTCGCAGCTTTGTGACACCGCCATACATTCCCGCTGCGCTCCAGCCATCTGGTCACCCCAACGCACCCATGCGCTAAGGCTGTACACCTGAACTAAAGTGGTTGACCTCCGCAGGGGTGTTTCTGGGGTGTTCATCGTCGACCCGTCTGCTCGGTCGGTCCTTGTACTACTTACCGCGCCCTCCTCCTCCCTTCTCCCTCCCATCCCATTACTCCCGCCCCCTTCATGAGTTGAGCCAGGCACCTACGAATCGTATGTATATTGTCCGTGGGTTCAAGTGGTGTGCTGAGGTACATGACGAGCTTTCTCATCTCTACCACGCCAGAGAGTCGAGCATTCACGAACAAGACAAAGCTTCGCCGACTGCCGTCATCCTCCTTAGGATGGTCTTGACTTGTCCAGAGAGGAAACGGATTTGAGCTGGATACTACATCAGCCGCACTCTGTGCATGCAGATCACCCATTCGGATCAGAGGACCTCCTGCGTCACGGGTCTCTCCTACCTTATTGGTTTGGGTCGAGGCCGGCCTTGAGAAAATTTGCTTGAGCGACAGCCAAGGGTGTTTTGGCTGGCTGTCATGGCGCACAACGGCGAGGATCAAATCGGTGACGGCCCAGTTCTGCCGCTTCTAGCAAACCACCAAGGGAACCTACCTGACCCTCTTCTGGCCACTGACATAGCTGAAAGCGATATTGACTCCGGATATGGCGACTCGATTCGCGACGAGGCCGGTTCTATTTCCAGCTCCATGAGCAATCTTTATCCTCCGCAGTATCATTACGGTCGTCGCTACCACGGCCTAAATCCTGGTTCCTATCAGATTCCCGATGATGACCTGGAACAAGCCCGTCTCAGCATGGTGGATTACATGTTCCAGCTGGTCCTCCATGAACGCCTTCATCTCGCCCCGGTACCAACCAGTGCCGTCGTATTGGACATTGGCACCGGCACTGGCCACTGGGCTGTCCAGTTTGGTGACCAATATCCCGACGCCACCGTCCTCGGCATCGATCTCAGCCCCATTCAGCCCCAGTGGGTGCCGCCCAACGTCCGTTTCGCCCTCGACGATGTCGAGCAGGACTGGCAGGACGATGAGCCCTACGACTACATACACTGCCGGTACATGGGCGCCACCTTGAGCGATTGGCCGCGCCTGTTCTCGCAAGCCTTTGACAACCTGCAACCGGGAGGCTGGCTCGAGCTTCAGGAGTTGGTCAACCTCGTGCTGACCGAGCCGAGCCAAGACCCCGACACTTCCTCCGCACCATCACACCAGCCTGTCCCGCCAGAGCACCCCATCGCCAGACTAATCGACAATCTCACAATCGCGTTCGACAAGCTCGGCCGCCCGTTCAACCCAGGGCCAAACTTCAAGCGCTGGTGCGAGGAGGCCGGCTTCCGCAATGTCACGGAGCACCGCTTCACGGTACCCATCGGCGACTGGCACCCGGAACCTCGCCTGCGCGAGCTGGGGTCCCTCATGGCCGTCAACATCGCCGAGGGCGTCGACGCCTACACGACCAAGGTCTTCCAGGACACCCTGGGCTGGGAGCCCAAGGCAATAGCCGATCTCAATGCCGATGTGCGGGCGGCGGTGCAGCAGTCGGGCAGAGAGAGGTTGCTGTATGAGCTGGTGGTTGTGACGGCGCAGAAGCCACGTCTATAATGACTTGTGGCTCCTCTTCACCCGTCACCTCGGAGGTTTATTTTGACACTATTTTGTTCCATTATCGGATAGGCGTTTTTGTATAATAGGCTGGTGAATCTGGGGTTCACATGATATAATGATGTATAACGACTATATAGGTTGTGGGAGTTCGGTTGCACATGGGATTAATATATACTTGCTCATTTCGTGGTGGTGCGAAAGGGGAGCGCATGAAGGGACGTCTGCAAAAGGTAGTTCATTCTCTGCCACCAGAATTCACTTGATGAGTGAGAGCGCGGAGCGGGATCAAACGAGGCAGTAGCTTACTCAACGAAATCCAAATACCTACCTCATCGGCTGCCGAAGATTGAGCGCAAGTGATACGACCTCCAGAGCAAGAATTGTGCTTCCGGCTTGCAGAAGACATGGTTGAGGATGGTGGATTTAGAGATTTATCACATCTTGCCCTTGTGAGGTGGGAGAATGAGTAGACTGGTTCAAGAGCGCCGATACCCGTCCAAGCCTGTAGAGATTCATGATGATATTTCCCCACCCTCAAGTAATCCAACGCGGTGGGCATGAGGGCATGCTAACATTTATACATGTTCTATGAGCCTCTCGCATAGCGGAGACATGTAGTTGTTACATTATAGTTACAGTTCTACTCCATTGTTCATCATCAGAGCTTAAAATTGACGTAAACGGCCCAGTATCCTCTCCCTGACAACCTTGCTGGCAACCTCTGCGCCGTGCTGTAGGGTGATGGCGCCAATGATTGCAAGAACAGCACCATTCATGACGACCTCTACACCCGAGGAGTCGAGGTTGTGGGGCTGTTGGAGAGAAGTATCAGCATATATTGGGACAAGCAGGGCCTAGATCCTCAGGCCAATTGGGATTTTCACTTACGAGTCTAGGCTTCCATCGAACCACGTTGGGCATACCAACGCTCTGCGCAAGCTTGTAGATGCTTTCCTTGCTGGCTACGGTTTGGGGAGTCCTCACATTGAGGTTATCGACTTGTGACAGCTGCGGTGACTCGAATGGTTGTCTCTCGCCCTCGAACTCGTCGACGGCCTTGGCTCCCGGCAGCGGCTCCTTGCTCACAATGTCTTTTGCTGCCTCCATGACAAGGGTCATACGACCTATGGGGGGAAGTTTCGTTAGCCCATATTCCAGTTGGTCAACGCTTCAATTGGCACCACGCATGGGGGTCAATTGAGAAGAGGTGGAGCGTACCCATAAGTGCCAGCTTGTCATTAAATCCTCTCCTTCCCTGGTCGAAGCTCTTGTGTGTGATGGCGAGCCACTTCAGCTCGTCGGGGAGCATCCTGCTTCCATTGGGACCCAGCAGCTCGTCGTACATCTCGTTCAGGACGCGGGGGTCGTTGTTGACTGCCCAGATTTTGTTCTGGGGCTTCTTCGCAAAGTCCATCCGGATCGGTGCGCTCATGCCCTCGGGTGTGACTTCCCATCTTCCCCTTCGTGCTCGGTAGGCCGTCGAGGCATCGGGGGTGGTGTTGGTGGTGGCAGCGGTGGAATAGCAGGCGCGCAGGCTGGCGGCTCTGAGGACCTGCTGGCCTCGCGCCAGACCTGATCGGCACGGCTGCATGGCCATTGTGAGGGAGGCGAGAGGCAATGGGCGGAGTGGTGGGCGGTCGGAGTTGGAGATCGAAATCCCTGCTTTGCAGAGCTGCTCGAAGCAAGCCAAGAATTGGTCGCGAACATTTTCTGAGGTCACGTGGTCTGGTGACTCGTGAGAGTGACTCTTTAGGTACGTACCTTCCGACATGCGAATTGGAGGACCCACCCCCGAACTTTACGTCGATAAGGTACTAACCTTTCTGGGCCGGATTGCTTTAGTGCGAGGTACGTACTGGCACAAACCATCATCAAGCTCCCAGCCGTCGCCCTTCTCTCAGCCTTCCCTGACATGAAGGAAGTCGCTGGTTTCCATAGAGTATTATGGCCCAGAGTTTCCAGTTCTTTTCCCGGCTGCCATGAGTTCCTAATTTCCCATGGAAGGAATTCAATCGGCATTTCTTGGTCTCTGCAAATGAACACGAGCTAGAGACGCGCTTGAATCTGCGTTGTTCCACCACATCAGTACGGACAGAATCGTTGGACGAGTAGCCGAACCGCAACGGCAATGGTTTCCACAATGGCCAGTTCCTCGCTCTCCGAAGACACTCTTCGGTCCCGACTAGCAGCTGCTCTCCCAAAGGGCTTCGCCTTCGGCATCCATCATGTCTCGACACCTCCAATCAAGTCCGAAGCTCTCTACGCCGCTCCCCCCAAAGAACGACCAGAACGCACCTTTGTCGAGAAGCATTTTCTCGCCGTCTCAATTGACCACCCTTCGGCCGAAAATGATACCCAGAAGATTCTCGTCCTCGGCCTCGAGATCTACATCTACACCACAGCGAGAGCTACGACCATCTTCGTCTCCAAAGCAGACTCCACAGGCTACTTGCACCTGCTCAACCTACCCAAGGGAACTCCGAGCCCCATCCGCACGATAACCGCCACATTTGTCGAGTTCCTTGTCCATAACCGTCGCCGAAAGGGTACCCAGCTGGTCGTCAGTCTCTTTGCTCGTGCTCAAGATCAGTATCTGTTTCCCGGCAGCGTCGAGTACAAAGGGAAGCATGTTCTAGACGATCGCGGGCTTATAAAATGGTGGTGCCGGGTACTCAACCCGCTTCTCGATGACCCGGTGGATGGTTATATTCTCGTTCCGGGGCTGGAAACGAACGAGATGAAGGCCTTCATCCCCAAAGGCACCAGCCAGTCGGCGCGCTGGTCGGTCGGCCACCCCTTGATGCGCATCTCCCACTACGCTCGGCAGTTCGACTGGGTCCCGCCGCGCTGCCTCATCCCCCAGTTCCCTGATGACCCAAAGTCCCGCTTTCGCGATGAACTTGATGCCGACGCGCTGAACTCGGCTATTTACCGAACAACTGGAAACTGGAAAACGGTCCGCACACTGGACACTTTCTGGGAAATGATGGCCTATCGCCAGGAATGCTCGAGTGGCCGTATGACTGGGTTCATCTGGGCTGTTTATGACGGTGTCAAGTCGAAGGCAAGCGACGAGGATACAAAGCCTGCGGTGGCGGCAGATGTAACAGATGAGCCACCATCAACGCCCTCTAAACAGCGGACGATAAATATTGCGCCCCAGACTACTCCCCGAAAGCTCTTCCCGTCTCGATCAGACGCTAAGCCATATGACGAGAGACACGAGCTGAGGATGAGAAAAGCGAAGGAGAGGAAGCGGAGGAAGAAGCTTACAGGCCCCATTATCCCGCGCAAGGTACGAATGGATGCCTTTCAAAAGATGAAGCGCCTGTTGGATCGCCCAACCTATACAGCCTATTATGCGTGGGGTGTATCTGGCCGTGGAGAACTGATCGTCAGTGAAGCTAAGTACAAACGGATCATTGATATTCTCCTACACTTGGATTTTGCGACCCTGGAAAAGTCATTAGCAGGAACTCGTCGCTGGCTTAGCGAGGTCGGCCTCGGGGCGAGTTGGGGATATACTGTTGAGGGTGAGAAGGAAGTTTCTATCCAGGAGGACACTCAGGATGCGTCCGGGCTGTCGCAGGTCAACAATTTGACCACCCTGGTTAAGAGGAAGCGGAGCGATACCCAAAATGACAGCACACCACAGGTGAATGTCTTGGGAGCTGGGTTGATCAGAAAGAAGAGCAAGGCGGAGGAAGAACCGGCGAAGCCAGCCGTAAATGTCCTGGGTGAAGGACTCGTGCGGAAGAAACCAAAAGATTGAATCAAGGATAGAGCAAATCAGCGCGGCGTTTGGATCTGGGAAAATTGGACAATTGATGTCAGCGCACAATGCAGACGAGGGCATCCAGCATTAGGGTGAAAATGAAGAGTTTTTTTTGGACATGGTCATGGTCGAAGCAGTAGACATTGCTAGCATACAACTTTATTTCCTGACAGTATTTTTAATGAATAACTGAAGGATAAATCAGACAGGCTTCGCCTATCACTCTGTGTATCACATGTGACCATTCCGAGTAATCATAGCGACTTGATTATCTTCATTGCACTTACACGAGGAGTGCTACTAACAGCGAAGGGGCCCCTAAGAGAGGAAAGCCAACACAGGCAAATCACCAAGGCTCAAGTGTTTAAGTGAAATGTTAGAGGTCATGTTCTTCATTTTTATATGCGCTATCTTCTGTTTAAATGGATTCTACAAGACATACTAGGGGGGGAAGAGGGGGAAACCGGCAAGAAATGATCAACTACGACTTGAGAAACCTCATGTTGACCGGCGTGATGGCCTTGCCGCCCGCCAGCACGGCCATGATATTCCGCATACTCAGCTCCTCGAACCCCTTGTGCGTGTCCACGGTGCCGCCCGCGTTGTGGCAGGTGATCATCACCTTGCCCTTCCTCGCCAGCTCGCGCAGCCGCGGGTGGACGTTGGGCTCGTCCGGGTGGACGTCGAGCGCGGCGGAGGACAGCCGGCCGCTCTCGAGGGCGTCGGCCACGGCAGCGTCGTCGACGAGGCTCCCGCGGGCGATGTTGACGAACCGCCCGCCCTCGGGGAACCAGCCCAGCGCCGTCGCGCCGATGAGGGCCCCGCCGCCCCCCTCACCGGGGGGGGTTGCGGGCGCGCAGAGGACGACGCAGTCGGCGGCGGCCATCAAGCTCTGGAGGGAGTCGTGGCGCTTGGCCCCGCCGAGGGGGTCCTCGACGGAGGCGGGGAGGCGGACGACGTCGTAGTAGTGGATGACCATGCCGAAGCCGTGGTGGCAGCGGGCGGCGACCTGCTGGCCGATGTTGCCGAGGCCGATGACGCCGAGGACGTTGCCGCGCAGGTTGCGGGCGTGGGCGGTGGCCTCTTTGTGGCAGGCGGAGAAGTCTGCCGGGTCGTCGGACTGGGCTGCGTTGATGCACCAGGCGAGCTGGCGGAACGTGGAGATGATCATGGCGACGGCGAAGTCCGCCACCGCCTCGGCTGCCGCCAGGCCTGAGTTGCAGTAGATGATCCCTCGTATGGCCGTTAGTCTTACGAATCATACAAAAGAGTTCTCAAGGGTTCTAGCTGGGTTTCGTGGGAGCTCACCTCTCTCGCCCAGGAGCTTGGTATCAGCCCAGTCGAAGCCGGCCCCGGCACTGGCAAACACCCTGACGGTTGGCGGGAGCAGATCTACCAGCTCGCTGTCCCACAGGCCCATCTCACCGCCAGTGCCCCAGAAGGGGCGGAAGATGGCGTGGAAGTCACCCCATCGGTTTTCCTTGAGGGCCTTGATGAACTCTGGGCGCTCGCGCTCCTCGGCCGAGGGGCGGACGATGTCGCACTGGGCGCTGAAGAGGGCGTACGTGTCCGGGTTGTACTTGATTGGGTCGCCAATGTGCAGGACCTTGGGCCGGGCGCCAGGGCCCAGCTTTGTGGGCAGGACGGGCGAGCCTGGGCTGGACATGTTGGAGAAGTAGGGGATGATGGGAGTCTGCCTGGGTGCTGGGGAGGTGGAGCGCGGCGTCGACGCCGGGACAGGCGTGTTTGTAGGCTCGGCCATGGCTGTATTAATACTCTAGTCAAGATTCGACGAGCAGGCCCGGGTGCTTATTGCCCGCAAGCGAGGTGTGCGAGAGTGCGAGTGAGAGAGGCGATGTGAGGCGGTCAAATCGGCTGGCCGCAACATCATGCCACCGGCAGGCAGGATTTGGAGTCGGCACCCAACGGCGAGCCTCTGGATGGGGATGGATGAGCGGGTGACCTAGCAAAACACAGCGAAACACAGCGCAGCACATGGGTCCGTCTGCATGAACAAACCCCGCAGGTCTGGCCTTGCCTTAAGTTGCCTTGCATTAAGCTTCTGCGCTGCTGTGTGAGGGGTCCGTCATCAATCAATCCGCGTGGGGGGCATTTGCAACAGGCTGACTGCTTTTCTCACGACCAGCCCATTGCCAGCCGGGTTTGGAATTGAAATTGAATGTCGGCCCGCTCGCTATGGTCAGATACCACAGTACCTACAGTAGCATTCTACGGGCTCGAGGCATGAAGCATGCATCCGGTTCTCGCCCTGTAGGCAGATGCACGCCGTCACCTGCTCCGATCTGTCGGGACCGGTATTCGACCTGATTGATGGATTTTTTATCCAGGCACACGAGCTCTGCATTGGACCTGAAACGTACGTTTACCGTAAACATGCTTGATTTATTCCTGTGGTACGACCGGCAATTGGCCGGGACGGAGGTGTTGGCACGGTGGACAATGGATTGCATAAGGCTGCTCGTTCTATGGACGTAATTTTCATAGCGTATCCAACAATCAATGATTAATCCCTCCTCTACCTGTTACTCAATTGCTTCCCGTTCATTCTAAAGCTCGGCCTGAGCTTCCCCGAGTGTTGCCTCCGAGATTGACCTGTCAGCCAAGGGGAGTGCCAGCCGGCCAACACTCACCTCTCTGGGCCATCCCGCGCTCTTGAGTGCGCCATCAACGCTTTGGATCAAGTCTGTCCACGAATCACCCCCTATTACCGAAGCACTGACCGGCAATTGCTCTGCTCTACCGCTAATGATGGATTCAAATGGAATCTGGTCGACTGCCAAGACGTATTAGCACTACCGACTCCAGCCAACGAGAACAAGTCAAATAACGCTTACACGGAAGGACCAAGTGCGGCGAATCTAGCAGTACCGGCAGCAACTCATACGTGAGCCCTTCAATTACCTTGGGGTCACTATAGACGGCATCAGACATCAATCGGAACTGGGCCGCTTGCGACAATCCCGGAACTTACTCAAGTTTATCTCGACGATATTGCGGTTGCGAAACTCCACGTGGGAACACTACAAGACTTGTAGGCTTCCCGTTGAGGATGGTATCATGAAACCAACTCCTGAATACGCTAATATGCGACAAATCCAATACGTTCTGATCCTCTGTCACATTATCACCGTAATCCCTGATGGAGCCCACCTGTCAGAAACTCCTCGAAAGTCGAAGGGGGAAAAGCAATCATACCACCTAAACCGAGTATTCCGTTCGACAAAGGCTTCACGATGAAACTTTTTGCGATATTCCTTCTGAAATTGTCGATACTTCTGAGCTTCGTGATAGCACAGACTCCGGAACGGAGCCAACTTCATAAACTCTCCGAGCGAGATATCGCCAAAACCATTGGGGGGTTGCGCGGCCCACAAAGCGGCGAGACTTGTGTGCTCGACTTTCACTTTGAGGGCAGACTCGAGTACGGAGATGAGCTTGTCAAAGGATTTGGACTGTTTAATTGGCAGCTCTGGGCTCAGGTCTGTCAAGTACAAAAGTCGGTTCGCTTGCGGCCCTCCTGGGGCGGGGCCCCTTGGCCCCAACGCTGCTTGGGCGACCTCATAAAGAGACTGTAGTTCACGGCTAATAATTTCCACACCTTCAGGTCTTCTACCCTTCCTCATTAGCATCGAGTTCCTCGTGGTATAAAGCAGCATATATGGGATGGTACTGACTGCATGTCGTTCGGTTTCGGGACAGTAGGCAAAGGTAATCGCAGAGAATAGACCCCGCCGGGCATCGCAGTATTTGCTAATGCTCCGACCACTGCTGTACTTTTAGCCCCAGTCTTATAATACACCCGTTGAAAAGACTCACCATGTTCTCCCAGCGCATGCTGCAGCCATGGGTAGCCCGCTATGGCCGTTACAGCACCTGGTGAGCTGTCATCCGCCCTCTGATACCCATCAGCACGTGGATTCCAAGGAGCAGGAACGTCCACCCATTCCTGGCCAGACTCCATCGGAGGGGTCTTTGTCTTGCCCACAATCACGGCTCCAAGGTCTATTAGCCGTCGAACAAAGTGCGCCGACTCACCGGCCGGCTCTGGATGTAGTAGTTCCCATGAAGCGCTTGATAGGGTAGTTCCCACGCCTTCCAAGGAAGCCGTATCACAAATGGACACTCGAACGCCGGAAAGTGGTTTACTCGGAGATGGATGGCGATGATATAGTCGTGAAGGCACGGGAATTGATTTGTGCAGCCCATTTGTCGATAATGCGTTCAGTACTCTGAATCTGCACAAATAATCAGTGGTGAGACGCAGCTTCGAGTGGGTGGGTGAGGGTTACTGTTCAGGCTCATTGACATCTTCAGGAATCACACCAAAGACGAAAGCGTCATACTCATCTTCATAAAGCCTCCAAGCCTGGTATAGGTTTGGGCCATGCAAGATGTACGGTCCTGAGGGAAGGTCGTTGAACCCTTTGAGTAGGGAATCGGATGAGTTCAGTTGGAAGATGTCTTGAGTAATTCCCAGCTTGGAGGGATCAGCATGCCGGCCATGCTCGTCGGCCTTTTCGACCAGGACCGAGCCAAACTCTGGGATGAAAACATCGTCCACGGCGTCTAGACCTGCCAGGAGCCCCTCCAGATCATGACTGAAGATCTCATGCGTGGCTAAAAGTGTCACCGGCAGGATTGAATCGGGGTTGATTATGGCGGTGATAGTACCCTTGTATTACTTCAGTCAGCTATGGTCTTGATTTACAAATTACAGCGAGTGAGTCTATGGGGCGAATGGTTAAATATACCAGCTTCTGTGGATGGATGAGATAATGAATCCCGGCGATAACGACAGTCTGGAGCGAGACCATTTTCATTTAGGGAAGGGGGGGGGCCGACTGAATCCTCGAGGCCAAAGTCGATTTTCAGAACAGCGTCAATCAATAAAGGAAATCCGGAGCTGGCATATCTGACGACCAGCTTGGGCAGCACTCGGGGGTCATGGAACAGTCGTCGGGTGTCAGGGTGGTTGGGTTCACAACTGATGGGCAGTACTAGATGACTTGGCCGCTGATTCTTTCTTTTTCCAAGCCTAATTTCCGCCGTCGCCGAAGTACCTGGACCTCAAAACAAAACTACTTAAAAAGAGCAATATTGAGTTGAGAGGCATGACAGCTGATGATGAAGATGATGAATTAGGAGGCTGAAGTCACACAGCTGAAGTCTGGGAGCTGGCGCCCATGGCCAATGAAATGCGTTGGATCTGTTCGAATTATGGGGCAGCGGGATTCTCCTGACCTCTGGCGCATGATCAGAAACAAGACACGCTTCGATCAGCCAAGTCATTGATAGCATGAATCCAGGCGCATTGGTTCCGTTCGCGTTTTGGGCCGGGAAGCCGTATTGAATTGCATCACATTATGCATGGCCTGACAGCCTCTGATAGGTAATTGCTATCCGGCAGACAGGTCCACGCTTTAAATCAAGGGGGTGTGGGGTAGGCTGGTGGGCATGGTCACCACCAGCTCGTTATCAGTTACCGAACGTCTCTTATCGCGCGGAATCCCACCAAGAATTACAAGCGGTTCTTCATCGGCCGCAACGACAGCTCCGAGCCGGCCCTCGACGGCGGATACGGACGCCGAACTACTGTTAGAGCTGTTCCTAGACAAGACGATTGATCTCGGTGATCTAATCATGCTGCTGGGCGTGCATGCGTTGGGTTAGCAGCGGTTTGAGGATCAGGAGAGGGCGGGGGATGCACCGAAAAGGATCTTCAAGTTTCACAGCGATATTGAGATGTGAATTTACCGGAGAACGTCGATATCGTGCGCCTCTTTGCCGACCCTGACGTGGAACTTGAGTTCTGGAACAGCGCGCGTCCTCGAATTCCCTTCTTCCTTCCCACCTTACCATGAGCTAAAAACTAACGTCTCTCCTTCATTCCAGGGGTATGTCGCAATACATCCGTCTCAGCCTCCTCGGCGTCCCTTTCATCAACACTGTGACGGAGTGCACCGGCGTCCTACCCTTGCGCGTCGACAACTACAAAGCCCCTGACGCAGCCAAGAGGGATGCGTGGCTTGAGAGTGAGACAAGCCCGATGTGGGAGGAGGCGGTTCTGTTGATGAATGGACATTCGCTCAAGAAGGTAAGGATGGGCTGTAGGACAATGGATGGGGTATAATGCCTCCGGTAGCTGATTAGGCATACACGTCTGTCAGATTGAGAAGGGATGGCTGTTTTATATAGTGCGTGTGACCATTGATACAGATAGACAGAGCTTAATACATCAACAAATAACATTAGGGGTATCTTCCTTGCTCCAGCAACAATCACACTACATGTAGGTAAGAACATGGCTTTCATCAGACGAGGCATGTCTCAACATACTTCAAACCTTTCCGAAACAACTCAACACCCTTCTGGTCTGCGATTGTCCTCTCCGCCTCCTCCTCAAAGTCAGCACAAACATCATTGATCCTCTCCACTACCAGATTTACCCGCCCCTTTCTCTTCTCCACCGATGCCCCTACGAGCTCCTCGAGGAGGGGGCATACGCCCGCGGTGACGGGACCGACGATGGGCACCATCCCCAATAGGCCAATGGCGATGCGGAGCCCTAGAAGGATGGTCTTGCTCTTCCCGCCTATTTGGTCCTGGAGAAGCTCCCGGAGGTTCTTGATGGCTTGGAAGATGATTCCCATTTGCACGCCCCTGTCCATCAAGTTGCGCTCCTCGGCAAGGGCCTTGAGATCATGTATATGCTCGGTCGCCCAATCTGCAATAGCACCATTTTTGGTGGGGAATTCCGGTGGCCTGTACGAGAGGAGGATCAAGGCGACAAGACTGATGATAAGCCTGGTGGTCGAGCGTTTGATGTTCTCCAGTGTTTCCGCCTCGGTCTCGGGGACACGTTTACGCATTTGTGTGATCCTCCGTGCCGCCACGTGAATAATCCTGACCAGCATGCGAGGGTGAAAGAAACGCTTGACGTCCACCGTCAATAGATGGCGAAGAACGGCGGGCGGGGCGAGGCCGATGAGCTCAGCGGTCAGATCATGATATTCCACCTTGAATGACAGCTCAGCAATCAGATCACGAGGTCCCTTCTTGAGTGGCAGAGACTTGATGGGTGACAGCGACTTGATGAGCATAGTTGCCAGGTCCCGCTCCCTCGTCCCCCAGATCAGCAGCTGTAGGATGTTGTGCGTAGGCTTGGTGACATTGACCCGGGAGAGATGCTCGAAGAGTCGAACGCGCCTGGTCCGGCCCAGAGACCAAAAGGCGTTCGGGTCGGGAGGGGAGATTCTGACGTCGTGGTAGAGATAGGGAGCCCTGAAAAATATGCTGTCGTACTTGCTGAGGTCGATTTCAATCGGAATTGTCTTATTATCGGGCCATCGCAGGGGCATTACCCTAGCCATGTGAGGCGGAAGAGCTGGAGCAGGTGCAATCTCGTTGTGTAGCAGCCTCGACGGTCGTATTCTCCTTCTCGAGGATTGGTTTTTCTCGCGCCTCTTGTGCGCTTTGCGGGGTGGACGCGGATGATCGGCGTCTGCGTCGAGGATAATGGCCGTTTCGGCCATGTTTGCCAGAGCGTGTGGGCGCTTTGGGAGGAAGATGAGATTGGAATGGGAGAGGGGGTGAGGAAGGGTCCCTTGATGGCAAGATGCAATGAGACAGCTCCCCAAGTATATATACACATGGCATCATCACTCAAGGTGCCCGCAGGCCAGCTATGAACCCACCAAGCCCTCAACAACAGCAGCAAGCTGGGCACAGCCACAAGCTGGTCGAAGTGGCATGCAGGGCATATCAGCGAGAGACGGCATAACGAGGGGCCTGTTCACTCTCGTTTGAGCATGGTTGCATCCCGTGACTGCAGCACTGCCTCCCCCTCCCCCTCTTTCTGCCACCTCGCCTGTGAAAACCCGTCGACTTGTCTTCAACATAATAACGACAGCGGGGGAAGATTCGGAGGTGGAATGAATGCCAAGAATGAATACGAAGGTTCCGAGCTGCTGAGCATAGCCACTACTACACAAAAAGAGTATCGGAGTCATCCGGTGCTTTTCGTCCCGCCCGATTACCGTATTGCTTTGTCGGTGCTGGATGGATGTGACGTACCTAGTCTACATACCTAGGTACGTGCTGGTAGGTTGGTCGATCTGCCCCCGTCTCTCTCGAATGCCGCCTCCTCTGCATAGAGCTTCAGTGTGTATGATCGAAGTCTACGAGTATTGATTCTAATCATGTACCTACTTACAAGAACGACAAGAGTAATAAGAAGAATAAATATCCCCGTAGGTCTCCGTTTCGTCGTGCAGTGATCGCTCCTCCTCCTCGCCCCAAGCAATAGACCAACATTTGCCTAAGATTATTGCGGCAGTCTTGGAGCCGTCGGATATAACTATTGATATATTAATAGTACGTTCGATATTTGGATTCTCTACGTACTAATAAGCTAGCCTCATGTGGCAACTAACTTGTCGAGATCGGTGCAAAGGCGCAGGCAGAGCAAAAACACAAGGAACCTGTACTGGCCCACAAGAGCCGCAGTCCCTCAACTACCGGTAGAGCCTTATACTGTATGTAACTACTCTAGCTCACCCGTTCCAAAACATAAGTTCTTCAGCAGGGATAATCCAAGCTAGCACAGCATCTCCGCGATCCGGTGCCAGCATAACCAGCACTTCCTTCTTCGGGTGGTCAGCCCAACCTGTGCCCGGCTTTATATCACGTCCTAACCTACCTATCCGGCACTAGAAGGCTGGCCATTAAGACATATGATCATAATTGTCCATTCAGGAGTCAGGGCCAAGGACCCCAACACATGGACTACATTATACGTACCCTGACAGTGTCTGAAAGGTAATTGCTGTGCGACGACAGCTTTAAATCAAGAGGGTGTGGGGTAGGCTGGTGGAAATGGTCACCGCCAGCTCGTTATCAGTTACCGAACGTCTCTTATCGTCCGCAACCCCACCAAGAATTTCGAAAGAATCGAAAAACTCCCCGACTCCAAATCGGCCGTCAATACAACTAACCGCCGCAAATTCTTATCTGTAAATTTTAAGGATCCCAGAATGGCGAAACAAAGAAGTGAGATTTTTGGAGAACCCAAAATAGGAAATTGGAACATGGATTCGCTGACCCCCGCAACAGCCGTATCAAAGCACTCCCGTGCCGCTCGCCGAGCTGCCTCACCTACTTTCGAGACGGACAAAGCTCTCCAGGACTACAAGCCCCCCGCCCGCGCCTCTGCTCCCCGCCCGTCGGTCCTCGCCATCCACCAATCCGCAGGCGTCGACAAGAAGCCCTCGAAGCGCGGCCGCAAGAGCCAACTTTCCTCCAAAGCCCGTCGCCGCCAGGAGCGTGGCTTGCAGATGGCCGAGGCCATCCTCGAGCGCACAAGCCTCAAGGTCGAGAAGAGCAAAGTCAGGGGTCGCTCCGTCCAGGAGAGGAGCAAGACTTGGGATTCCATCAACAAGAAGGCCCTGGATGCCAAGGAGGTTCAGACTGACGACGACGAGCCTGAGCAGGATGCTTCCAAGACTGCCAAGGACAAGGACTGGGAGACCGACGAAGATATGGATGGTAAACAGGACGATGCTGCTGCTGAATCTAAGCCTGAGGCTGCAGACGAGGGCTATCTCGCAGTTGATGCCGACGACGACGTGATCCTATAGAGCATTCGATTCGTGGCATTCGTTTTGGCATTGTGGTTTTCATTCATGGCGTTACTGGTGCATCGTGGCGTTCAAAAGCGCTGGGCAAGGTGATAAAGAGATTTTCACAGTTGACTTCTGAAAAGCTCCTCTTTCTTTCTTCTTTATTTATATATATATAGAAGTCGAGACGTCTCGACCAAGTATGTGGTCGAAGGTCGAATGATATCCTAGTTGAGTGATCAAATAAGCTTCACAATGCCGAATTATCGACATATATCTTGGAATAAATCCCATTGTTAGTACACGCTATCCCTCTCAAGGAGATACTCTCAGAGCAGGCGGCTCGCGGGCTTGATGCTTCCAATTGACGGTGCTGGTCGACCCCTCACTTCTTCTCCACCGTCATCCTCACCAACTCGCCAACTTCCCCAGACTCGGCCTTGACATGTCGAGCACCCAACACCTCAAGGTTCTCACGGACCTGCGTCAATACCGACAGCGAATCTTGGCGAGAAATCTGCTTGCCCCTTTTCTTCTTCCCTAGTATAATTTCGACTCTCATCCCTTTTTGCAGAAAGCCGCCAATCTGCTTCATCTTGGTCTTGAGATCGTGGTCGCTAATACCCCAGCTCAGCTCCACATCCTTGCGCTTGGTCTTCTCGTCGGCCTTCTTCTTCTCCTGCACCTTGAGCTCCCGCTCCCGCAGGTGCTCCTCCTTCTTATTCACGATCTGGCACACCGGGTACTGGGCCAGCTTGCCGGCGGCCTTGTCTGCCGGGAAGTACGGCTGTATCATCCGCAGCGACTCCTCCGCCGTGTTCAGCTTCGACATGACGAACTGGGGCGCCAGGGGCCCCTCGACCTGCCCGTTTTCCAGGACCATGATCCGCGGGTCCTTGATCTCGTGGTCGCGGGGCAGCCGGTCCCGGCCCGACTTCTCAAACGACTGTGCGGTTGTGTAGCGTCGGTCGTATCCCAGTTCCTCGTCGGGGTTTTCCTCGTCTTCGTTATCCCGGGACCTGCCTCGGCGAGGTCCCTGTTCCCGTCGCCGGGGAGGCGGCCCCCTTCCAGGTGCCCCTACTCCGAAGACCAGAGGCCCAGGTCTCGATGGAGGCCCCGCGTAGCAGCGAATCTGAGGTCGGGAGATGGCTGGCAGATGGGGCTGCCACACCTGTGCTCGAAGATGAGAAAAGCATGGGCGGACTGGCTCAGCATGCCGGGTGGGGGAGAAGAGGATTGATCTTGTGATGCATTGTCTGCCGCTCATTGTACCAGACTGTCGGGGTATGAAGGTGCCAAAAGGTGGGAGTGGTCAAGGAAGAGCTAGCAATGCGTATTAAAAGGTTTCGGGGGGGGATGGACGCCGTGTGGAAGCTCAATGCGTTGAAGAGACCGACCGGCAGCTGTCGCTTGGATGAGAGAAGCTGGGAATTAATTTTCGGCTGGGAACGTCACTGTGGACCTCTCCGGGCTGAAGCTCATCCCAGCTCAAGCATCAAATGTTGCGGTGTCACGTGGGACAGACTCCCAACCTTGACGGTACCAATATCCAAACGTTTGCTCATTTCTACGATTCAATGCCGTCGCATCGATTTTTCAGTGCAAACAATTGCCCACATCTTTCTACCGAAGTGGTTGCAAAAGACCGATGTTGATGCTGCAAGTTGAGTTGCGCACCACCATCTCTTTGCTACCCTCTGATTAAGTAAGCACATATCTGTAAATCGAGCAAGGGAACTTAACATTTTCTTATCGATATCTACAACTGCAATATCCAGCGAGGTCATGGATTGTAGAGAGGTGCCGATATAGCAGAATCATTCGTCGCAACATGCTCTTCTTGGGTATCAGCACTCACATTCACTATCTACATAGGCATGTGTGTATGTAACAGCCCACCTCCGCCTCCGAGATAAGATTATAGATGGTGCTTCGATTTGTAAGACAGCTGTGCTGCACCACCATCTCAAACCCATTCCGCGATCGGAAAGCGTCGGGCGACGACACGCCAAGAAAAGTCCCTGACGCACGCCATCTGGACCCTGGTCTATTTTCGCAAGGCTAGAGCCAATACGCTGCCAGTTGCCGCCCATTGCGCCGTGCTTGGCCCTTCTCTCCAACTTCCAAAAGAGATACTCGCAAGCAACTAATGACTCAATGACTCAATGCACTGTCTGCTCTTATTTGGCAGCTGCTCAATAGTCGGGTAGGTGGGGGCCAAACCAGAACTGCGACGATCCGATGGGCGCAAGATGGGAAAAAGGAAAAAAAAAAAAAAAAAAAAAAAAAAAAAAGATGGAAAGAACCCTTGAGCAAATTGCCTTTACCCCTCCACGTAACATCAACCCGGAATTCCCACCACCTCCTCCCTCCTCCTCATCCTCCACCTCACCAACCAAGACCACACACAGAAAAAGGAAAGAAACATGGTCGCTTCCGGCGAACAAATGGCGCAACTTATTGGGCCCGAGTCCTCGATCACCGAGCCAGTTCCCCACTCCGCTCCGGTGCCAGTCTAGATCCCAATCCCATTCCGCGTGTCTTGCCTGTGACAATGATGCTATGATATCTAAATGGAGTACACTACCCCCCGTCCCGTCCCTTCCCCCCTCCCCTAACCCTACCTCTGCCCCTTCATCCACGGGAGAGCTCATTTATGTCACCTGTCACCATACCTGAACGACCCAGCCCGACCCCAAGGTTCTTCACATGGCCTCGATAGACCCCGTGGTAGCCGCGGAGGTGGCTAGGCGCTCCGACGATGGCATCGCCTTTCGCGCGCGGCCCGGCCACACCCACCACACCTGGGCGCGCACTTTCTCCTCCCTCCCCGAGCTGTATATCCAGCCCGAGTCTGTCGCCGAGGTCGAGAAAGCCATCGACATCGCCAGGGTATGCCGGCGGCGCATCACCACCACCGGGTGCGGGCACTCCCCCTCCAACATCACCTGTACGTCTAGCTGGTTGATCAACATCGACCGCGTCGACCAGGTCCACTCCATCGATCCCGAGACGGGCATAGCTGTCGTCGGCGCCGGCATGCGTCTCTACGCCCTGTGCGAAGAACTCGATCGTCATGGCCTTGCCATGCCGAACCTGGGCAGCATCACCGAGCAGTCGGTTGCGGGGGCCATCTCGACTGGTACGCACGGCAGCAGCTCCCGCCACGGTCTGATTTCAGAAAACATCGTTGCGTTGAAGATCACACTTGCGAGCGGCAAGACGGTTTCCTGCTCCGCGGACGAGAACCCCGACCTCTTCCGAGCCGCCCTCATCTCCCTCGGCGCATTGGGTATCATAACCGAAATCTCCATCCGCGCCGTTCCCGCCTTCAACCTGAAGTGGAAGCAGACCATCGACTCCGACCAGAAGCTTTTTGACGAGTGGAACGGCAAGTTCTGGGAGCAGAGCGAGTTCGTCCGGGTGTACTGGCTCCCATACACCAGACGAGCAGTCGTCTGGCGCGCCGACAAGACCGAGGAGGAGCTCACGCCCTACCACGCCAACTACTTCGACGGCCCGCTGGGCTTCCACATCTACCATAACGTGCTCGCCCTCTCCAACTGGATCCCGTCCATCCTGCCCTGGGTAGAGTGGTTCGTGTACGGCATGCAGTGCGGATTCGCCAACGGGACCACCGTCTCCGCCTCCCAGCCCTCCCGCCAGGCCCTCCTCCTCAACTGCCTCTACTCCCAGTTCGTCAACGAATGGGCCCTCCCCCTCCACAAGGGCCCCGAGGCCATCGGCCGCCTCTCCTCCTGGCTCAACCGCCTCACCCCTGCCGACCGCGGCTACGTCCCCCATAACATCCCCTTCTCCTCCCGGGGCCTCTACGTCCACGCGCCCCTCGAGGTCCGCGTCACCGACTCGACCGCCAACCCCTCCCCTCGCCCCTTCCTCGACCACTCCTTCGCCGACGGGCCGACCCTCTACCTCAACGCCACCCTCTACCGCCCCTACCTCCGCGACCCCCCGGCCCGCGCCCGCTTCTACGAGGCCTTCGAGTGGCTCATGCGCGACATGGGCGGCCGCCCCCACTGGGCCAAGAACTTCGAGTCCTCCCGCGCCGACGTCGAGGCCGCCTTCGGCGCGGACCTCGAGGCCTGGCGCGCCGTCCGGGACAGCGTGGACGAGGAGGGCATGTTCGTCGGCCCCTGGCACCGCCAGCGAGTCATGCCGGAGGGACCCAGGCTGCCCCGCGAGGAAGTGGAGACGGCGAGGGAGAAGACATCGGACGGCGGGCTCCTGACGTCTGGAACAATCTCGTAGACATACATACCATAACCCCCTTCTTCCTCCCATCGCCTTAAGCTTGAAAAAGCGAACCCATGAATCTTCTCCCTTGTCTTCTCCGCAGCGTTTGCCGCGGAGCTTATTGCTTCATACGTTCATAAATCTACACGTCTACCGCCCTCGCCGTTTGTTGCTCGTTCCAATGCAGATCTAGTGAGCGATCGGCGAGTGACGCCATGCACCATATTCATCAACCTCTTTTACGGGTGTGAAAGCAACCAACAGCTAGGAGAGATATCACGTCCATACGTGGGCTCTATATATACGTTTGCGTCTATTGGGAAAGGCGGTTTCAGAAGAGAAACAAAAAAAGACAAAAATGATGAGGCTTCAGGTGGCATTTCCCGCGGTTTGAGGCTGACCATTTATTTACATTGTGATATGTATTCACACCCGACTCCCTCTTATATCCACCGAACTCCATCGAATCCCTGACATGCCAAAATAGAAGACGTCTTTTTCTGGAGGCTGCATTCTCCATCGCAGCCCAACACTTCGGCCCAGTCCCAATAGAAGCCTGAGACGAAACAATTATGAGAAAAGACAATGCGCGAATGATCCTTTGTCCGTTTACCCAGATGCCAGCTGATGCCAACTAGAAAAAATAAAATAATGAAATATAGAAGGAAAAAAAAAAAAGCTCAACCACCCAACTCATTCTGACCCTTAGACTCCTCGGCTGACTTGGCTTGCGGTCGTCCTACTCCGCTCCTCTTCCTCCTCGATCACGTCGCTGAGTCGTGTTGGATGGTGATGGCGGGGCACTGTCTCCCAGCCTGGGGCACCGTATTCCTCTCCCGCGTAGTCTTGGGGATTTGAGTAAGCTCCTGTCCATTGGGGTGTAGGGCCTGATGTAGAGGGTGGGTCATAGCTCCCACTTGGTGGGTTGGTTGTAGCTGGAGTATCATACTCTTCCACTTCCACCTCAGATCCTGAGTATGTCGAGGGGGGAGCGGCGACGGGGATCTTGTTTCCATGAACATCCAATAAAGGCACTCCTTTCACATCCTTGACGAACTCATTCTCGCTTGTCCCGCCTTCCGAGGTTGCACGGTAATGACTCCGCGCAGACTGCGAGCCAGCGTCCGGCTGACCATATTGGGCTCCGCTGGGGCCAGCTGATGCCGCGGATGATTGGGCGACATTACTCTGGCTTCCATGATATGACTGGCTGTATTCTGCCTGCTGAGCTGCTTGATCTCGCAGGCCATGCGTCATTGGAACAACTTGAACTCCTCCCACAATGGTTGGTTGTCCAGTTTGTAGTGATAACAGTCTCTCTCTCTCACCCTGCTCTCGACGGCCGAGCTCCTCCCAGGCCCGTCTAGCTTCATCTTTGGAGATGGCAAGCTCTTTGCGCATCTCTGCAAGCTGCTTCTGCGCTAATGAGCTCCCTTGCTCCTTTTCAACAGCTTCACGAATCGCCTCGTCCCGGTTACGTCGTTCTTGATCCAGAGCATTTTCCAGCATGGAGTTCACTTCCTGTGCTCGTTCCAGTTCTGCTCTGGTTTCAAAAAACCACCTTTGGAACTTGCGCTCCGAGCTTGCGCGCAGTCGTTGCAACTCCACGACGGCGTGGAAAAGATTGGCTCCTGCGGCAGAAAGATCTGTTACTTGGCGACTTAATTGCTGGTTGATAGGATCGCGGTTCACGGCGTCCTTATTTTGCTCCAGCTTGTGAATCCAATAGCTTGTCAAGCCCTCCCAGTGCGCTGACAATGTCTCCCATCGCTCGAAGGCGTGTGGGAAAGAGTTTCGAGGTTTTGAGCTGCCGGATGTTCCTCCAGTTTGTGTTGAACTTTCACCGGCTTGGCCTGCTGTCGTCGGCCGCTGTTGTTGTTGCTGCTGGGCGTGTTGGTGGTGGGACTGATATTGCGAAGGAAGTTGCTGGTTTGCAGCATATCGTGAGGTATTGGTGCGTTGGTGAGAGGCTATTTGCTGTGGGGTGGTTGGCTCTGCCCCGGAGGGTGGCGATGACTCGGGGACAGCATGTCCGCGATGTGTAGTGGAAGGGTGTTGGGCGGGTAGTTTGCCACTGGGGCCATGAGCAACGCCAGCAGACCGATGGTCTGCACTTCGCTGTGCTTCTTCTCTCTGTCGCGTCTCCTGTTCCAATTGCTTCTCAGCCTCTGCTCTCTGCACACGCGCTGCCTCTCTGGCGGCGCGCTCCTGCATGATCATTCTAGGGCCTCTGATTCCAGGTGAACCTCTGGGGTTTGGAGAGGCTGTAGGGCGTTGTGGTGCTGGTAGGCTACCCCCATTGGAAGCGATGGGAGCTCCGCCACTGCTCATGAGGTCAGCCATGCTGGCAGACTCCTCCTCGAGGTCGGGCGTAAATTGGTTTGGTTGTCGAAGAGCTTCTTCAAGGGTGAAAAGGATTGCACTGTGGGTATGCTTGGTAATTCGAACCACAGGGTGCACAGGATATGGATCTTGTGAAGTTTGAGGACCCTGTGATGGGGATAACTCCGAGGATTGCTCGTCGGGATCCTCGCCAAGTTCTTGCGAGAGGACTCGCCGTGTCCTGTGCCTTGTTGGTCGCTCTCTGGCGGCTGGTCGCAAGTCAGGCTCCTTCTTTTCCGGGTTCGACGGCGCTGGATTACCCCGCTGGCGCGAATGCTGAGAGCTAAGAGCGGCGAGAGTAGTTGCGATGTGGGCCTGGCGAGTTCTTGGACTTGGGGTTGCCTCGAATTTCGGGGTTCGACGAAGTCGGTGGGAGGAACCAGGTGATGAGACTCCCTCAGGGTCTGGAGTTGTCACCCGTTGCTGTTGCAGCGGCGTCGGCTGCTGGCGTTGCTGGTGGTCGAGCGAAGTCGTGGGCTCGTGGGTCTCGTGACGGTCGTAAGAAGATGGGTGACGTGTGTGAGACAACTCTGCGGTTTGAAGACGTCCCGAGGATGCTGTCGACAATGCGGCAATTGAATCACCGCCAGGCGTCTGGCGGCGATCTGTAAAATTCAATTACCGGCGGGATATGCGAGCACTATACACACTTGGTGGGTGGTGGTGTAATAAGTTTGGGTTGTGTAGCGGTGTTGGAGATCTGCGGTGAAGATTGACTTTGGTGGATGGTGCTAAAGAGGCGATGATGCACCTAGACACCGTCGCACCAGCAATGGGTTTCAGCACGAAGAAAGCAATTGCTGAATGAAGCCACAACAGAAAATGGGAGAATGCACGGCTGTAGCAAAAGGAAGAGTGAGCAGAAAAGAATTGGAGAACCGCGTCGAGTCGTTTGCCGGGGATCCCAGGTGTGCCCAAAATGTGGTGGCAGGAGAGGTTGGGAAATTTGGGGGGCTGGTGAGCGAGCTGCCACAACGGCCGCTGGCGGAGCGCCACAACCGGTTCTCGACTCTCTTGTGATTTGCTTATTACTCGGCCAGCACCCGTAGGTCGACGGTTGAAGCGAAACGGTTTGCCAAGGCAGCAAGCAGCGGGGGAAAAACAGGCCGACTGATGCAACGCGCACGACACAACCAGTCAGTGTGCGACACCCAGAGTTAGTCGCGATTGAGGTCGATTGCGTCCAGACCGGCGGGTGGATCGAAGCAGCAGAGAGCCACACAGCTACAGCAGGGCGTCTGCAGTCTGCCGTCCGCTTTATGTAGCCCGCCAGAAAGACAGGTTGCCCTCGTCAATCGATGCGCGCAGAGGAAAGGGGTGAGGGAAAGCTGGTGATGGCGAAACCCAATGGGTTTTTGGGCTTCGCTGGGCTGAGCAGCAGCTGAGCAGCGCCGCTGCTCCTGGTTTCGAGGGCTGCCCAGCCACAGAGGATTAGGTTGGGTCAATTGGCGATCGGACTGGCGCGCACTTCTCCTGTAGGTCATGCTCGCAGCAACGCAGCCACGAACAGGTCAATTCATGCTGTGGGAAGCAGTTCGAGGAAGAACTGGCGACCCGGATGCGCAGCGCTAGAAATGCGACAGAGCAGAACAGAAGGGTCCTCGCATAGATACATGGAATCATCCGCCACTGGGCAGGACGGACGGACCACCGACCCCAACGAGGCCGTCAGACTGTGGAGAAGCCGAGTCACCACAGATGCTACATGTCGCCTACGGCTAGCACCCTACGGTATTAGCGAGGACATGGTACCTGGCGATACATGTGCCAGCGCGCTGGGACCTCCCTCGACGCTAAGCAGGGCACCGCGACCACCAACCCAACCTTACCTTGCCTGGCGCCTGAACGCCGAAGGCTGGCTGGATTTCCCCGTTCTGGTACCATTACGTAGCTGCGTCGAGCTAGATGTCATCATTCCTTCTCTCCCCGGCGACTAGCTCCTTCCTCGAGCTATCCAAGCTGCCCGGGCTATGCGCCTGGGCAATTCCAGCTGTCTGGACGGCTGGAAGACCGATCTGATCTGATGGAAGCACTCACCGCACTTTGATCGCATGCAAATCATAGCATTCAAATGCGCTCTGCACACTCTGCATGACACGTAGGGACCAACTCAGACTGCTACGCTACCCAAATGGCAATGTGCGCGCCGAGGCGACGCAAGTGTCCGTAGCGCAGCTCCAGTGCTCTTTCCGTCCGTCGGGCCGCCAGCCACTACGCGTGAAGTCTCTGAAGGTACCTGATTAGCCCTTCGCAGGCAGAAGGTACGAATACGGTACCTCCTGTTCCAGCAAAGCAAAGCGACACCCGCCAACGCCTAGGCGCCTTAGGGGCTTAGGCAGGCAGGCGTCCAAGTGATAGCCCGGGCGCTATTCGCAAGGACCAGGCCTCCAAGACCCTTTTGGCTGCAATTTATCGCTGAGATTAAACGCCCTGCGACCTGACCATTTGCCTTTGATAATCACCTTATGTCCTCATCATGACCGCCTCACTTTTCTCGAACCTACATTGCCACCCAGAGCGGGCTGTCCGACATGCCACGCTCTAATTAGCATCATTCTCCCATATCCTCCCTACGAAATTTCATCGTAGCATGATTTGCCTATTTTCCATGCTAGACACTCCACGGACGGGGAGAAGCGAGTAATCAAAGTGTACGAAACGGAGCTGAGATCTGCCAGGGGTCCCTGAGATCCGATACAACCATGTGAGACACGCTGCAAGATGTCTCCATGTAGCTCGTACTCCGGCCCATCTTCTTTACCTAATAAAGGTGATGGCCAGAAGCTCAGATGTGACGAAAAAGCAATGCCGGTGGGTCGTTCATCTCAATCACGACAGTCGCGTTCTGGACGCGTCTACACAATGAAGCCTTTGTGTGATGAGACAGGGCACGGCAGGGCAGCCCATGTCGTGGAAATTGAATTGATCATCTGTGGAGGCGAGCACGCGCGAACCCGAGCTGCATAAATGAGATCCATGGATGGTGCACTAGCACAACATGAACAAGCTGTGAACCATACCCTGGGCGTATCACAACTCCTACTCCTTTCACACCAGCCATTGGCCGTTCTCGTCTTCCCAGCCAACCTCCTGGTAGGTCCATTTTTGGAACGTCGGCTTACCATCGACCTCGAAATGCATCGATGAGATGTCATTTGAGAGCCTTTGCCTCTTGATCGTATCCTGTGCTCCGTTGATCTTGTCCACCTCCTCGGCGCTCAAGGTTACGAGCTTGATATTCTCCTCGATGCGGGCCTTGGACTTGCTCTTAGGAATAACAGTGATGCCTCGCTGCACAGCCCATGAAAGGGACACGACGCCAGTCGAGCATCCGTGCGCCTTGGCAATGTCGCTGAACAGTTGATGGCTGAGGATGAGGTTCTCTCCGTCCTTTTGACCACCAAGTGTGCTGGAAGGGTTTCAGGGTTAGCTTTGCGGTTTCTAAAATTCACTAGTTCCCCATACACGATCGGCAGACATACCTCCAGCTCATGACATGGATCCCCCTTGATTGGCAGTAGGGCACCAACTTCAGATTAGGATTGAAAGCATGCAGCTCGACCTGGTTGATCGCCGGCACGATCGTCTCATGCTCACGCAATTCCTCAAGGAGCTTCTCAGTGAAGTTGCTGACACCAATGGCCCTGCACTTGGGCCCAACGAGCTTCTCCATCGCTAGCCATGTCTCGATGAAAGTCGGGCTCTCGTATTTGCCCAGGGGCTTCTTCTCCGGCTCTGGAGTCGTCGCCCACGGCCAGTGCATGAGGAAGACGTCAACGTAGTCGAGGCCCAGGTCTGCCAGCGAGATGCGAAGCGCCTCGGCCGGGTCATGATGCCAATCACCCCAGAACTTGGTGACAACAGTGATCTCCTCGCGCGGAACTCCGCTGGCTCGAATCGCGCGCCCAACAACGTCCTCGACACCGTAGCGCTGGGCGGTGTCGAGCAGGCGGTACCCGGATTTGAGGGAATGGACGATGGACTCTTCCAGCGCCTTGCTGTCGTCCGAACCTTGGCTCCCTACAATGATGTCAGAACACTCGGGATCTGTTGATTCAGGTGGGTGACATTTCTTACCCTGCCAGGTGCCCAGCCCTACCGCAGGAAACTTGTCGCCTGATTATAAATCCGGGGTTAGCCAACTGGCACGTCCATAAGCCGACTGCATCCTACCTTGGTTCAGCGTAAAGGCCGTGGTAGTGATTGGGTGGTCAGCCATGGTGACAAACTAGAGCAACTTCGATTTGCCACAGTTTCCTGGAAAAGTTTGATGGATGGTAGGATGTGTTTGTCAGTTGGAAAACGCTCGCCATACATCATCCATCCCACGATAAGATGCGGGGGACATCGGCTCTAGTGGAGACGGCTGCAGGCTGCTTATGCTCTCAGTGGAGAGAGCGGAGCGTTCAACGAGCCGCCGTCCATGTCCGAGACCGACGACGAGGCTGTTCCTGACCACAGCAGGCTTTGTGTACCCAATGAGCGCAGGCCATCAACCTCCTCTTCCAATATTTCACCGGCCATGAAATATGCCTTGGCGAACTTGGACTTCCCCGAAATGTCCCGGCAAATTATGAGAGCGAACTAACATGGTGGATATGGATAACAGGCCTCCTCTGCAGTGGACCAGCAGGAACTATCTATTTTATAACATGGGAACTAATAGTGGCTGCCACAGGTGTAGAGAGGAATAAACAACCTCTTGTTACACGTGAAAAGAAGAAGTGCTTTCGACTGGTGCAAGCTTGATTCCTAAGCCAGACTTCCCGTCATGAATTGCCCACATGGGGCATAACTCCTCGCAGACTAGGGACCACCTATTAACACAAACGAATGATGAGGGCAAACGGAGAGACTAATCCCCATCGCCTCCGTTTAAACCCACCTATATCCGTCCTTCTCACCATGTCCATGTAACCCTTCACGCACAACCGCCAATCAACTGCCACATTCGGTCAGCTCGGGATAGGAATGAAGCTAGCCATGAAGCGCAGGCACAACATAAGATTCAGCTAGGCCGCCGGACGTGGGCTCTAAATCCACCTGATTTAGATGGACACATCGGCGGACTTACAAGGGCCTCTCTTCAAACTTTCAAGTATAAAAGGGGTCGGACCTCCGTAGTTGAGAGAAGATATTTGTGCCATCATTGCATTATTCCTAGGGTCACGTCTCATATAACATTTTCCGTTTCCTAAGCACAACGACAATTGCACACAAGCAACATGCCTTCGGTTACTCATTCCCATTTCAACGTCGATACTGAAGGCCTTGAGGTCGCCAAGGCCTTCGCCGACGGCATCCGTGGCAAGACAGTCATCGTCACCGGCGGTAACCGGGCTGGAGTCGGCTTCGCCACAGCACGTAGCTTTGTATGTGCAAAATGCCCTATCGAACATCCCGTCCTCCCGAAGAATTGAAAAGCTAACCTTACATCACAGGCCTCCCAATCACCTGCCCACCTCATCCTGGCTGGCCGCACTCCTTCCAAGCTTCAGGAGTGCATAGATGCACTCAAGGCCGAGTTCCCCGGCGTGGACTACCGCGCCCTCCGCATCGATCTAGCAAGCCAGAAGTCCGTCCGGGCCGCGGCCGCCGAGGTCCTCGGATGGGCTGACATTCCCGCCATCGACATTATTGTCAACAGTGCCGGCGTCATGGCCATCCAGGAGCGGACCATCACCGACGACGGCGTGGAGATGCATTTTGCGACAAACCACATCGGCCACTATCTCTTCTTCTGCCTCGTCTCGCCAAAGCTCATCAAGGCGGCCGAGGGGGCGCCCAAGGGAGCTACTCGCGTCGTGAATGTCTCATCCATGTCCCCCAGCGTCACAAACATGCGCTGGAGCGACAGGAACTTTGATAAGAAGAGCAAGGACCTGCCAGAGGACGAGATCCCGAATATCGAGTTCCTCGAGCTCTGGGGCTACGAGGATGTGGAGAATCTGACATACATCCCCGTCGAGGCCTACGGCCAGAGCAAGGTCGCCAACGTCCTGTTCAGCATTGGCGCCAACAGGCGATTGTTGGAGAAGCACGGCATTCTCAGCGTGTCAGTTCACCCAGGCTTGATCGACACCGAGCTGGCCAGGGACTTCCCAGCGGACAGGTTTGCGGATGTCAAGGAGATGGTCAAGAAGGGTGTGTTCACCTACAAGAGCTTGGGCGCAGGTGCGGCGACCAGTCTGGTTGCTGCGCTGGACCCTGCTCTCGCGATTGGAGTTGGTGAGTCAAGGGACGGGAAGGAGAACTATGGGACGTTCCTTGCCGACTGCCAGATCACAGACATCGCAAGACCCGGGTCCGTGTCGAGTGCGGAGGCTGAGAAGCTGTGGAAGCTGTCCGAGGAACTGGTCAAGCAGGAGTTCTCGTGGTAATGGACAGAAATAGGTTAAGAATCCTCCCTATTCGATAGAGACAAATTATCACCCAGAGTAAACCCGAATAATCAGACCCTGAGATCTCAGCGGTGACACGTCACATTATGGGCTTGATGAGCTCTTCATTCGAAGATGGCGGGTGACCACGACCCCCCGGGGCTCCAGGATGCGTCTCCCCACACTTGCTCTCCCATTTCGCCGTGAAGAAAATTAATCCAGGGGAACCTGCGCACACAATTCTCCGTCTCCTCCCAAGTCCCCAATCCTAAACGACCCGTCATCATTCGGATTCTGGTATGGAAGAAGGACGGATCCGGGTCGTCCAGGCACCAAATAGCGCCGAGGAGAGAAAGCCAGAGAGTGAGTTCTCCTTCATCGTCTCCCAGTCCCTCTGCGAGAATGTTCCGCAGAGTGGATGTGACTAAGGGAAAATCTAAGATCCGACGGTTGTCATGCTGTAGAGAGATTATCATCATGAACAGTGTCATGCCAATGTGATATGCTGCCTCAATATTGGACTCTCTCTTGGGAGCACTGAGATGATGAAAACGTAGAAGACGAGAGAATATGGTGATATTCATTTCTTGGAAGCTGACAAGATCAAATATCTGCTGGCCTTTGTTTTCGTTGAACAATCTGGCAACACCGCAAACATCCACCAGGAGATCCTCGAGGCTCGGATCAATATTTTTGTGCAAGAGCGTGGAAATGACCTTTTTTCGGTCCAGGTCAAATCCGTTTGCTTCCAATGCCTTGTTGATCTGAGGCATAGTGTTTCGGTAAAAGGTCTGGGGCTGTCCAGACTCCAGGCAATAGGTAATTTCAGTCCTAGATGATAACAGAGGTCAGATGACGCGAGGACACCACATAGAGAGACTAAAAACTTACTTGCAGATCTTGTACAAAACTCCAGGATTGCTTTCAAATTGTTTTAAACCACCCCGTAGGTTAACAATCCTTTTTAGGCCTTCCAGGTGCAACTTGGCTGTCTGCGTCTGTTGCCGGATATATTCCTGTGTGATGAGCGAGATGATCATGCCGATTGTTGAATCTTCCAACGCTTTGGAACTTTCAAGTCGCTGTTGTACTATTCCAAAGGTCCTTCCTAGGTACTGCAGCGCCGTTGGGGAGTCTCTTCCGTGAGTGAGAAAGAATTCATTGAATGCCTGCATCAGAGAAACGCTGCATTGAGAAGCTAGATGCCTAGTCAGCACACGGCGACTAATTCCACAGCAACTGGCCTCGGGTAGGTACATATATAGTGTTATATGTTGCAGACTGGCCTTACTTACTCTCTGAGTCGAAAAACATGACCTTGAGATATATTGCTTTGGCCTCGTTTATCGGGAGGCCAAGTCTAGTAGGGTACATCTTCTCTGCGACATAGCCAAAGTCTACCGAACCCATTATCTTAGCACGTTTCATTCCACTAGTTACACTTAGAAGACTTACAACGGTCAGCGATATCTAGAGACTGCTGCGAGAGCGGCGGGAGCGAGATGGTGAGGAGCACGCTGCCCAGATTTCTAGGGATGCGCGTGGTGCGGGGCGGCTGTCTCTGGGTCAAGGCGCGCTCGTCTCCAAGGACGCGTTCTTGATATCGATCGGTCCGTAATTTGGAACGGCGAGGGAGGACTCGGCCGGCATTCTTGCCCTTCATTACATGGCTGCGGATAAGCTTCCGGGTGGTCTTATCAACGCTGGTGCTGTCTACGAATTGGAAATTCTGCGCCATGTTGGAGCCTGCCACAGCGAGAGCCCAATTAGCGCTGCAATCGACTTTAATGTACCTCTCGAAATACGATGATGAGTCTGTGATGCGGATGAACTGCAGCTGGACCGTTGATGAACCCAAAATGCCACCAGGCAGTCGGATGTAAGCGGGGTTTAGCCGGAAGCTCCTTAGCGAGGACCCAATTGGACGGCAGGGACTTCACCATGATGCTCATGATGGCTGACGATATTTCATATGCTTGTGGGAATTTCCACGATCTTCCGCTTTCCTGTTCATTAGATCTTGACCAATGTTAAATGTACATACTAAAATTGGTATTCTTTCTCGATATCCTCCGCGGACTTCATTCACCCTGTCTGAAGTTGCCTTACGTAACAAGCGACTACAACGTCAAAGCGGTGCCACATCACAACATTCAACATTGAAGTCAGCAGGTCAGTCACTACAACACGAAGCTACGTGAATAAAACCTCGATTTCTCCAAAGGTCAATGAACTAAATCAACATGACATATCATTAGACGAGCATCATATTCCACCTTGAGTTTATCGGCCATGGTACTTCCTATGATTCATGTTCTCCGGAGTACGAATAGCGAGTCTAGGGTAGGATTCTTCTGGATGATTCCAGTCCCCTTGCCTCGGACGCTCGAAGAAAAAGAAAAAAAGAAGCCGAAAAAGAAATAATGCTGTTGGACCCTGGGTGTTCAAACCCCTTCATAAGTTTTGTCTGCAGAATCTCACTCCTGCATGTGAGGAACCAGGCAAGATCGACGTGATATATGACAGCCACCAGCGCTCTGGCTTTGACCCTGTCTCGGGTATCCAGCTTGTCAGCGTAGTCAAGCTCTTTGACACCGGCTAATGCACACACAGCCCTCCTCCCAAGATCTGAATTGCTCGAGCGCGTACAAGCCTTGCTGAGCCGAGCGGGGAAGTTCTCCCACCCCCTTGGAAGCTCTCCCATCCCCTTGGAAGTTCTCTCCTTGGAGGTTCTCCTCGTCATGGCTCTATGACCAGCTTCGATGGCTCAGGCATTTCCTGGAGCTACGATAATCTCCGAGCCGTTTATTGGTTGTCTACCCTGGACATCTCCCCTTCCACCCCTCCCTCTACTCTCCATCCCATCGCGTCCTCCCTTACCCGCGTCGCTTCTCTCTCTCAGCTGCCCTGACGCTCGGATAGGAGATCGACAATGGGCTTGGCCGTTGCTGGGAGGCTGATAGCAGACGTGTCCTGTCGTGGACTCGTGTCCTGACTTGCGCAGGGACCTGAATCAATAGGGTTCGCGTCATCTCACTGCCGTATGCACGGGGCTTCCACACACACATCGCAATCTTTTGTGCCTGGTTGTCTTGTCCCTGTTTCCTCAACGCCCTCCCCACTTTCTATCTGCATGTTTGTGTGTTTGTTTAGATGCTAGCTGTGATGGATGTGGGCTGAGCTCTGGTGGTCGTGCACTCCGCTTGCCGCTCCTCAGCTCTCATGACTCCTCTGGTATGCCCGGGATGACCGAATACTCATTCTTCTGCATGATGTATTTCCCAGTTTTTCTCATCCACCGAACGGAGCGGAGCTTTAGACTATCGCGTCTCCATGACTTGATCGAGAACTTTGGAGATGGGTGGAGCTTGGAAGGAGTCCCTGGCGTTGGTTGCCCCGGCATATCTATTGTTCTTGTTCCTGGACCTCCAATCCCGGCCAATATACATATCATAGGTATCGCGTTATCCCTCCCCCTCCTAGACAGAAGTCTCACCTACTTACCTAAGCTGGCCCAGTACTGGCTGCTGGCATCTACGATGGCAACTGGCCCTCTTGCCCTCCAAGAAACCTGCATTGGATCGACCCAGGGGGCTGAGTATCTCTCCATACAGAGATGCAAGCACGGCTCAACGACGTCTGTCCTGTCCCGTCCTACCCTCCTCTCCTGATCCAGCACGGGTCGTAGATCAATGCAGGTTGCATCTCTTTTGATTGCATGAGAACACACATCTTGTGCAGCGGTTCCTGGATCGGAAATAATCTGGAAGATCTGTGCTCGCTGCCGGTGCAAAGACACTGCTACCAGGTTCCATACCTCGGCGACACTCCCGGCGGAGAGTTCGCTGCTGTGTTAGTGTCGAACCACTATGCGTGTCTCACCCCATCTTTCTTGACTCTGATCGATCATGGGTGGCTTTTTTCTCGGGAAAATTTTTCCCTATCCTGGGATTCGACGTGCCCTCGGCAACAACACCACAGCTGGAAATGAGAGCCAAGAGGGAGCCCACAGGATCTTGTGTCACGGACAAAGTCCTTTATCTGGGTGACGTTGGGGCCAGCTCTGCTGTTTGTTGTTATTCGTGCTTTTCGAGCCATGACATGACGACAGGCACGGCCCTTTAGTCAGAAGAGACACACATACGTGCTACGTAGTACGAGGAGCAAGCAATGCTAGCCGAGTGAGGGCAGAGCACGAGTGTATCATTGCACTGCCTTCGAGGCGAGTGAGGGACCGACCGTCTGCCGAGCCGTTGGTGTCCGGGCGGCGGCTCGTCGAGGCCAGCGTCTACGTAACGGAGAGGAAAACACCCTTGCTCTCACATCTAAGACCCCAGCGCGGATCATCTGCGAACTGCTCAGAGCTACACAATGTGAGAGCAAAGGATGATTCTTACTGCTGCGACTAAGCTCAGTAAATGGTGAAATAGTGAAAAAGCCCGCCATGAGAGAAGAGGTAGCCGAGGGAGCCATGGTGGCAAACCTCCCAGCCAGCTGAGAACACGAGGGTGATGCAATCGACGGACGGGGTGGTCCTCGGCGCATACCAACTTGCATTTCATGGGCTCCGGGCAGCAAGAATGCGCCGGGCCTCCCAACGGGCTGAAAGATGGGCTGCTCCCCACCACAAGGGCTTCTCTACAGAGGAATGTCTCCCAGCTCGCCCAGGTCGAAGTCAAGGGGAGGGTGGGGGAGGGACAGAGCGACAGGCGAACCCACTCGGACCAAGCAAAACCCACCACTCCACTGACAGGTTGGTGTCAGTGTGTTCAGTCGTTCGAACTGCTGTCTCACATGGGACTGTTAGACTTGACTAACCACGCCATTTGTTTTGTTTGCCACAGGTTTTATTTGTATATCATGCCTTTCCCCATCCCTCGTTCCTTGCAACCCCCTCAACCCTCGTTGTAATATTGCTCTTCGTTCTTGCCTATGCGACTGTTGTGAAAGGAAGAGAGAGAGAGCGAGGTCCAGCACACACAATGGAGCAGCAACCTAGCAGATTGGCAAGCTTGACGCTTGTGTCAAAGTATTATCCGGTGGCCAACTACTCCTATCCCCGGAATGAAACCACCTCTGCCAACAGCGGGACCAGGACTGGTGTCGACAGATCCTCCTCTGGATCCTTGGGATCTGTTCCAGGACTCATCGACGACAGGTCGGACACTGACACTTCCGCTGAGGAGGAGGATCACTATCACACCCAATCCTCAGACTTGTGGGATAGCTTTTGGGATCAGAGGGCAGAGAAGACGAGACTCAGCCAGCAGCCAGAAGTCCAGAAAAAGAAGCAGTACCCGGCCCTGATTCTTTCCATCCCTCAACGGTCTTCTCGTCTGTATCCCTTTGAAGGGGATGGTGGGATCAGAAGCCCCGGGTGGCCGTTGCCCGACGCCCCTGCCCAGAAGAACCGACCCAGACAGCCAGCAGCCAACTACTCTCCCTTCCCCAAGCCGATCGCACTTCCTCCTCGTGTCGGGTGCCCGGTCCCTTCATGGCAGAGCTCAAGGTCAAGGGAGTGCCCTCGCCGACCCTCGCGGCCTGACGAGAGCCTCCTTGCGCCATGCATCCCCCAGCAGTCCCCCGTCAAGGCCGTCTTCCCCTCCTCCTTAAAACCCCAGGCCTCGGCCAAAGAACAAAAATCTACCGTCCTGGCACCAGCATCTCCAGTAGAGCGACCATCTACTTCTGCGGGGTACAACCAGACCAAGACTTTCTCTCAACACCGCCCGTTGACTCCACCTGAGATGCAGCGCCCAAGGACTGCGCACGCCTCGCGCCCGTCAATCCGGGCTGTGTCGCCTGCCGAAGTATCCCGTCCCAACTCCGGCCGCGGGATGACCTCCTTTGATGCCCAGCGATCAGAAATGTCGTTCGGCTATCGTTCATCAAGGCCATCGACCCCAAGTGAGACGGAAGGCCACTCACTCTTCAATACCAACATCTGGGGCACCCCACATGAATCGCCCAGCAAGACTGCCCATCGCTATACAAAGTCACATCCCTCATCCCACCACCGCTCACGGAGCCGGCTCATAGAAGAGCCAATCGTCCTCACTTCCGAGCCTCAATCCGTGTTCGAGGACGACTCGGACGGCGAGGACACGAAACGGTCCTTCTTCCGGTTCCACAAGCGGTCCGGGAGCGACATCAGGCGCTCAGCACGCAACTCGGCGAGAAACTCAGACCCGGACGCGCTATCAGGACGGCGCGCCCGAGCCAGCACCGCCCCGTCATCGCCAGTCAGGCAGCCGCAGCCAGAGCGCAAGCGCAGCGCAGTCGACGTCCTCAGCTGCATGCTCGGGCGCCGCAGGTCCAAAGGCGAAGACGACTGACTTGTACGGACCGTACAGTCGCTCATTCTAATCACACTCAAGAAGAGTGTTGTTTTCCTCCTACGCTGTCTTTTTAAACTGTACATTCGAGGGATCCGACCCGCCGGAAAACCCTACCCAGGATCATCCTTACCAAGTCAGCGTCACGACTGACCTTTACACTCACTAACTAATGTCTTATCAGCCCAAACAACGGGCAACAACGGATCTATCTTTTCCTTTACTTGTAATTTTCCTTATCATCTTTTAGAATTGGAGGGGGGCTTAAGTACAACAGTCTGTACGAAATGATGAGGAGGCCACGACTACAACGATGACGAGGTGAAGAGAATCCCAACGACCGCATATCAGAGTCAGCACAGTCTTTCAAATCTTCCAACTGGGTAGTAATTTTCTTTTTTTCCCGTGGTGTTTTTGTTTTGTTTGTTTTGATTAGAACTCGATTCTGTACTCTAGGAAATAAATTTCGGACAATTTCTCATTTTAATTTTTGATTGTTCTCCTGTGTCTTCTCGCTCAAAGTCTCACCGAATCTCGGTCCGAATAGTCCATGTCTCAAGGAGAAATAAGAGGGAGGGTGGTGTGTAACTCGATCCGAGTGGCTGGCGCCACATGTATTATTCTTTTCGTCATGTATAGTAAAGTACATAAAAGCCATGTCTACAATCTCTAGAGCATAAAAAAGAGAAAGAAGCAGAAATCCAAACTCATACACACATTCCGTAACGTCCCAATCATGCCGTGAACCATTTTACCATATTAGCCATGCCGTCGTAAGAGAAAACGCCACCAGGAGGGGTGAAGAAAAGCACCCAGCCGGGAATGTGAAACAATGAAAACACAAAAACAATATGCCCCAAATATGACCCAGATTAATAATTCCCAGAAGACGCCGGCCCCAAAACAATTTTGCCCTGATTTTAAATGCAAAAATTCCACATCATGCTATTATGACGTAACATATCGTCGTCAAAAGAAGAACATTTATAAAGAAACGAGACAATAATAAACAAGACGAATTGAAGGTGGGGAGAAGGAGGAGGAGGAGGAAACGAGAATCAGACCATGGATCGATCAGACCGGCGTCTCATGAGAGGCTTCTCCGTATACCGCCTCATGCGGCGGATACTGAGTGTCTTCTCATCCTTGCCAGGCACGACGCCAAAGAACCAGACGCTCTCCTCGCGGGGATCGACGCCGGGCTCGACGCCAAGCCTCATCTCCAGATCGTTGCGGGACCGCACGGAGCGGAAGGCAGCATCCTGCGTGAGCTCATCGGCGCAGCAGAAAGTGATGAGGTCAGCCAGGCTCTCGACGGAGCGGGGGAGGAGGAACTGGCCGCGCAGTGGCAGGAGGGACAAGAGGCAGGCCAGGTAGAGGAAGAGGAATGTGAGGACCACGCCGTAGACTGGAATGCTGGGGAACATGAGCACTCTGCCATCCTCCCTCGTAAGGGCCATGAACAAGCCACCTGACAGGACGGGAATGGCGAGGAAGAGAACTCCCATAAGTGAAGCCACAGCGACTCTCCAGTGGCCGGCCCTGAGCGCATGCCAAGATGCCTGGATGGGCAGGCAAGCAGCGTAGTCGGCCAGGAGTGACTTGTGGGCGAGTGCACCGTCGAGCTTGAGCAGCTCAGCCCAGGGCTGGACAATGCGCAGGGATAGCTCAGCGCTCTGGAAAATGAGCCACAGGAGCATACCGAGGAAGGAGGGGAGGAAGCTGTAGAGGAAATTGGCGGCGGAGAAGCCGGCGCTGGTGGGCCTGGCTGGGAGGAGTGGCTCAAAGCCGGCATCGAGGCGCGTCTGTGGCAAGAATGAGACAATGAACAGGGCGAGCAACAGGGTAAACGACCCCACGATGAGTGCAGCGAGAGGGGCGCTTCGGAGGCACCATGGTAGGTAGTCGAAGCGCGGCTCAGCCAGACAGGAAGTGACGGATGGCTGCTGGATGCCAATGTTCAGCTCGTGCTGCGACGAGTGCAGGGAGGAGTCGTGGCTGACACGCTTGGCACCGGCAAGTCCCTTGGCCGACATGAGCTGGCGGACCTGCTCGGTCCCTGCAGGTGTGCCGGATGCGCCAATGCTGTACCAGATGCCGCCAGTCGGCATCTCCTCCTTGCGCCAGTAGCCCAGGCGGTCGAACCACCGGTCTTGCAGGGAGTTCCTGAACTGGCGGTCGGACCTCGTCGAGGAGGTTGCACAGACGTCCTTGTAGCTGTCGGTGGCATTGCTGCGGTTGAGGAGGGGGATCAGGTCGGCGATGGAGCGGACATCCCAGATCAGGCCAGTCCACTTGCCGAACCAGTAGACCATGAGGATCGCGGTGGCAACGGTGAGGAGGAGGTAGAGGGCGACGAGGGTCCACACCACGGGCTGGACCGGGGCCCAAATCCACGCACCATTGTCGAAGATGCAGGTGAAGGCGGCGCTCTGCAGAGGGATCAAGAACAGTGCCAGCCAGGCGGCGACGCTGAAAAGCTTGAACTGCCAGGGTCCGACGAGACGGGGCCACAGGAAGCTGGTGGGATAGAGTCCCTGGAACAGAGCCAGGTAGCGCTGTCGTGCGTCCTCGCTGGACAGGGACACGAAGGGCAGTACGCGCAGGGAAGTGGATACAATGGCCTGGGCGTAGAGGAGGATGGGAGCGGCGAGGAGCTGGGGTAGGATGCGGAAGAGGAAGTACTTTCCGGAATAGATGGTGCCGGGATAGTCGGTGAGGCCATTCTGGCGGTCGGAGTAGATGGCGGAGAAGATGAGGGCCGCGGTCATGAGCAGACATAACGTCATCAGAATCAGCATAGAGAAGGGCCGCAAGATGCGGGGCTTGTAGGTGAGAGGAGGGTATGTATTATCATTAGGATAGAAGTTCTCGCGCATCTCCTTGGTGACGGGGACCCAGTGCCGGTCGGCGCCGGGGACTCTGCGAGAAGGCGGCAGAGGCGTGACAACAACCGGCCGCGATGCTGTGGTTTGCGGCGGGCCCAGGGGAAGCGGCGTCAGCGGAGGAGTAGGCCGCACGATCAAGAAGTCGGTCTTGGGCTTCTCGCGCACAGCGGGGGGTTCTTCGTCGCTGCCCGAGTGCCTCCTTGGCTCCCGGAGACCTGCATATGCGGCCTGCGGCACGGCCACGGGCGAGGCATAGGCCCTCTCTTCGTCCGTCATCCTTCGAGGTGGAGGCTCCACGCCTGCCATCTCGTCCTCAAAGTCCCCGTCAGACAGATCGTCGTCGTCGAAATCGTCGCGGCGGTTCCGGGTCAACGCCTGGATGGCATACTGGATGTATGGGGTGTCGTCGACGCCGGGAGTGACCTTGCCCGCGGCAATGACCAGAGGGTCCTTGGGCACGGAGGCCATGGTTGCGTTCTGCGCAGCCAGCATGAGGAGCTGCGACTCGTCAAAGCGCACCACGGGTTCCGAGGGCGCTGTGGATGGTGCGCCTCCCTCGCTAGGGAATCGAAACGAGCGGCGCGCCGGCTGGAGGGGATTGTGTCGGTCAGGACCGTAGATCTCGGGGGTGGAGGCCGTCATGGGCGGAGGAGACGGTGCGGGAGGAATGACGGAGAAGTCGGGAGTAATAGACTGGACAGAGGGGATGAAGTCCGAGTCGGAGGGAGTCTCAGTCTGGCTCCGGCTCTGGTTGTGGATCAGTCTCTGCTGGTGGTAGTAGAAGCGGTGACGGTCCTGCGGTTGCTGGATGGTTGACTCGGAGTCGGATGGCTGAGCTTCAGCGGACTGAAACTGCTGTGGCCACTGACCTGTATTCGAGGCAGCGAGAGTCAGTGACACCGTACACGATTCCGTCCAACAGATATACAATGGTTGCAGTATGTGGTGGTGGAGGGGGAGGGGGAGGGGTGGTGTCGGTCGAGTGAGACAGAAGGGGACGTGCCTTTGCAGGAGTGTGTAAGTGCAGGTGTGTTCGAGTGTGAATCAAGGTAGCCCTCACACAGAAGTGTGGGATGATGTAGGTAAAGTGTAGGAGGACGAGAGGGAAGAGGGTGTGAAGGAGGAGGAGATCTGTTCAGGCTAGATCAGAGTGTGCAACGTACGAGGAGCTTCCACATAGTCGAAATTGAGATTTTGGAAGTTCATTGCTTGTTGACTGGAAGTGTTGGGTTAGTTCGAATATGCAGGCAGCCCTCCACACTGATAGAACGGCCAATGGGTTAGCGGGACATGCAATGCAGAGTGGGAAAAGAGGGTGCATGATGGGCTGCGAGGTGACTGGAATGAAATATGGTTGGGCAGTTGGGCGGATTGTGAGAGGCTGGACGGCGATGGATTTTCAGAAGGTTGGGCAGGTCCCGTCCCAACCACCGCGAGCTGCAGCAGGACCCCAGCACCTGGTCCAGGGGCCCTGCAGTGTGCCGTCAGATGCTGCGCGCCGACGGACAATTGCGCTGCCTGCCATTTCGCTTCACCAGCGACACGTCTCAAAAATAGCTGCACGGCGGGATGTGAAACGCACAGAGGCGCATTTTGACATTAGCAGCCATGCGCAACGGCCGAGGTGATGTTGTTGGCTGAGAGTTAGTAGATCACCGCCAGTGCCGTTTGTCGGTGTAGCGCCAGTCACATGCCTCCACCCGCCCGTGGCGTAGCGCCAACACCGGCTGCGTTGGCAGACAGACCCCTCTAACGTACAGAAGCTTGGCTGCTGCTGCTGCACTCCAGATCCCCTAGAGCATCATGTCCATAGGGCGGATGCGACCCCCGGAGCCTTCAAGACCCAGTCAGCCCTGGCCCCACACCTTCCCGACTCTCGGGTGGCTGAGAGCCAAGTCGGCCCACAAATCCGGGTGGCTGGGCCCTCCTTCATATTACAGACAGCTTCAGCTCCCAGCAGTCTCAGTTCGTAGAACAATTTGCAAGATGAACCCTTACTAGTGCCGATCTGAAACTTGCAATTCATCTCCAGGGCGGAGACATGCAGCGACTTTTTTCATATCAATCGACTGGGTATATGGAGGAGACGATCCCGAGTTGCTGGTTCTGCCGGCTGGCCTGACTGACTATGGCCCGGTACCAGGGGTAGGGTACGCAATTCCGCCAGCCGTGAGTTCAAACCAAGCTTTGGTGCCCGGCTCTATCACACATGCCCCGGAGTGCGGCTCGTGCTCTGTTTGTTCTTTTTCTGGATGACGATGAAATGGCTGGCGCTTATGGAATTGTTCCAGGCCAATTTGTGGTCCGGTCCTCGCCCAACCCAGCATGTGGTGCGTGCAGGCTTTGCTTTTTCTCTGGACAGCGACAGAATGGCTGGAGATGGACACATCATCGGGTCTCTGTTGGCCCAATCTCTCGGCCTCTGGCACCTTTGCTCACCTACCTCACTGTTGAAGGCCGAGGGAAAGGATGGGTCGTCGAGCTACATGCACTCATATGTGCCTCCTAGCCTATAAGAACAGGATCTTCAGGGCCACATCCAACCTAGATGCGGGGGAAGACGAACCAGGACCAAACAACTGGGAAACCGGTCGCATCATTGGCCGGGTGCAGCTGGAGGTTGAGACCATGCGAACTATGACGAGGACCGGCGCTGACATTTGGCTGACAATTGATTGCTGGACGCTCCACTGCGAATGACGTAACGTCCAGTAGATACCGGATCAACTATATTCCGTCTACTGCCCTTCCTGTCTAGGTTTGGCGGCGCGGGTTCAAACGATGGCACTAGACCGCACAGGGTAACAGTGCGGGGCTTCCTGCTTATGCTACGCTGAGGAATTCTGCCCTAGAATTGCTCGATGATTAAGAATTAGAAATTCGCCCTTAGACAGACACATAGTGCCAGTGTAATTGAGTGGTAATGGAGAGTCATCCTCAGCTCAGCTAGATAGCTGCGAAATCTAGTCTATTCCAGCCCATGTAGTGCCTGAACCTTCGCAGCCCTTCTCCGTGATTGTGTATAAATGGCTCGCTTCTCGCCTTGGTCTGCCGTTTTGAGCATCTTCATCGGCATCACAGTCTACTTCTACTACAACCAGAACCAGACACTCAACATTAGCTCACTCACCACCAACCAATCCACCTCTACAGAAGACCATATGCTCAAGGCAGCCAGAACCATGTCCAAGGCACTTGCAAACGCAAAGATCACCCCCCACAGGTCCTCCACCCGTGGCCACTCCGACCATGGCTGGCTCAACACCTACCACAGCTTCTCCTTTGCCGACTGGTACAACCCCAAGTTCACCCACTTCGGCTCTCTGCGAGTCCTGAACGAGGACCGTGTCAGCCCTGTCAACGGCTTCCCCACGCACCCCCACCGCAACTTCGAGATTTTCAGCTACATCCTCTCCGGCGAGCTCACCCACCGTGACTCCATGCTCTCCAAGGGCAACGAGGGTGGCCAGTCGGACAGGTTCTACCGCATGCACCGCGGCGACGTCCAGTTCACCACCGGCGGGACCGGCATCGCCCACTCGGAGTTCAACGAGCACAAGACGGACACGGTCCACTTCCTCCAGATCTGGGCTCTGCCCTGGAAGAACGGCCTCAAGCCCCGCTACCACACCCGCAGCTTCCCCGACGAGGAGAAGCGCAAGGGCTTCGTCAACATCCTCAGCCCCCTCAAGGCCGGCGAGGACGCCACCGAGCAGGAGGAGGCCGACGCCGAGCCCGCCCTCCCCAACTCCATCCCCATCCACGCCGACTTCGTCATGGGCGCCGGCCTCATCGCCCCCGGGAGCGCCTTCGAGTGGACCGTGGGCGCCAACGCCACCCAGCAGACCAAGCGCAAGGTCTACGTCCACGTCCCCATGACGCAGAACGGCAAGGCCAAGATCCGCCTGGACGGCCGCGAGAGCGCCGAGCTGGCCGAGGGCGACGGTGCCTTTGTTGAGGGCGTCAACGCCGGCGACAAGCTGAGCTTTGAGAGCATCGGCGAGGTCGAGGCTGAGGTCGTCGTCCTCGACACGGCTTGAGAATGTGAAGCAAGCGAAAGCAAAAAAAAAAAAAAAAAAGTTTCTGGGAGTTTTTAAAGGAAGATATTTCTTTTTTAGCATGTAATCATCAGTTTTAGAATAATCCCAATAGTATTTATGTCAAATTCATTCTGCAATGATGCGAAATTTGTACCCTTTCATTCGTGACATCTAATCATATTCTCGTAGAAGATATACTTATTGTAAAGTTGGGAGTCTGACATGGATAAAGTAGAGTTACGTTTTGGATGCTCGGTATGATATGCGTAGAGAAGGAGATTTTGTGACCGACTGTTACAATTCGTAGTGATAAGCTCTAAATATCGCAGAGAAATGTGATTCCTGGGAAGAGGTAGGGCCGCTTGCTTATGTGGAGATGGTTGAAGTTGGGTGATTTCCACAGCCTGGTGACTGGATTTCCCTCACGGGCTGGAGCTACGGCTGGCTGAGATGGATTCACATTGATTTAAGTTGTTGGAATGCTGCTGACGAGGCTGACCAAGAATTGGCCGGTGACTGATCGCCTTCTTGGCATCTAGAGCTCCGAAGTAGCGTGATCTAGAGGAGGACCCTTTTCTCAGCAAGGCATGGCGCCGTGATATAATGGATCTGACAGGTCGAGGCCGCCTGATTTAGTCCTGTCCGTCTTTTCTCGCCCCTGGCAGATCATTGCTTGGCTTCCGAACTCTTGCATTTGCAATTACCACATTGGCTACACCAACGTTCTAGCATTTGCACACTATTGAAATGCCTAGACTACCAGCAGCCACATGCTTACGTGCCCCTCTCTCTGGTTTGGTCTTCAGAATGACCGAGTCGCGCATTTTCCTGTCTGGAATGCTCCATAGCCGGTCTAGGGCTCTGGGATTTCGCGTGATACGATACTTTTCTCTTCCTGGCCCAGGGCAACTTATCCCTCTGTCTCAACGGCGTCGATGGGCCGACAAAGAAAGAAGGGGAAACACAACGAGCAGACTTGACTCGACAGGCTATGCAGTGGGGCATTTCTGCAAAACTTGCTTATTTCTCCCTGTTCCTGCATTATTATTGGAGTTTGTGGCTTCAGAAGACGGTGCTAGCCAATCAGCCTAACCCACGCCACTCACGCTACTGATCAATAACCGCCTCTTAGACCTCTTTATGTCGTTGTTGGTGATGGGACTCAGCACCAGTAGCCCACCTCACCGCTCGCCTTAGCAAGGCTCTGAGCATCTCTGGCTGGCTGGACTCGTCACTCACTCCGTGCCCCTTCATTTCCACCCGCATAGTCGCCATGGGCGTGACGTGAGCAGCGTCGTCGTCGCGGCTGGATTGAGTAGAATATTGGGACGGGAAGAGGCTGACGACCCTGGCCATTAGATAGCCGTATATTGAGGTTTCAATGGCCCGATGCCACTTGGGCGTTTTGATCAATCACAGATGGAGGTGCCTACGAACTGCCTGCGTCTGGGCGTGAGAGTTGGGGACTGAGTATGGGTGGGCGTAGTGTGAGTGGGCGTCCCGCAGGCCCATTAGCAGCGATCCAGTTCATAGTTCTCCCTTGGCTGCCTGGATATTTTTTAATCTTTCCTTTTCTCTTCTTTCTATCATCCATAGATCGTTGCGAAGTTGTGAGAAGGCTCGGTTTGTGGCCTTTGCAAACGTCTTGTTTGCGTCCTTTCGTTCGTCATTTGACGTCTGCACACTCTTTGAATCGGCCTCGGCCGCCCATCAATCACTAATTGTCTATTTAACTTAATTCTCTCATCCACTCGAATAGAATGTCTCTGTCACTTCTCGCCCGGGGAGTTGTTACCGGCGGCTTCGGCGCTCTGAACGGTTACTGGGTTGGTGGCTCCTTTTTTTATCATCACTGCTGGGCTAGCACCAGTGAGAGCTAACACGTCTTGATCATATAGGGCCAATATAGCGATGATCGGCTGAGCCAGTATTGCGACACAGGAATTGAGTATGTGACTCTGAGTTTTGTGAACAAGGCACCGGAACACAGTGCATCCGGTTACCCTGGTACGAATTTTGCTGGACACTGTTGGGCTGGAACATACAAGAACAAGGACAATGTTACCTCGGAGCTGCTCAGCGAATGCTACTACATGAAGCAGGATATCAACTACTGCAAGTCGAAGGGTGTCAAGGTTCTTCTCGGTATTGGTGGTGTTTACAACACCGGCGACAGCAACTACGCGGTTTCGACCGAGCAGAATGGCGACGATTTTGCAGATTTCCTGTACAATGCCTTCGGACCGTACAAGAAATCTTGGGACGGACCTCGACCTTTCGATGCCAGCACTGACGACCACACTTCTGTTGACGGATTTGATTTTGACATCGAAGCCACCTTGGGTAAGTGCCGTCTCTCTCTTGGTGATTAAAGAGCCCCCTTTCTAGTTCTTGCGTATTTATGTGTCAATGAACGATACAGAAAAGGTTACGCATTCGGGAGACGAACTCACTGCTTTGTGATTGAATTAGTTTCTAACGTATCACAGATAACAAGCCTTACATTAGCATGATTGAGAAATTCCGCAGTCTTGACTCCTCCCTGATTATCACCGGAGCACCTCAGTGCCCCTCCTCGGCTCCTTATTTTGACATGCAAGAGATGATCCAGAAAGCAAAGTTTGACGCGCTCTTTGTCCAGTTCTACAATAATGACAACAACTGCAATACCGACGACAAGTTCAACTACGATGACTGGATCAATATCGTCGACTCTAGCGACAAGAGCCAGAACGCCAAGATCTTCATCGGTCTTCCCGCGAGCAGCGATGCGGCTTCTGCGGGTTACATCGACCCCGCGGCAGTCAAGGACCTGGTGTGCCGCGTCAAGGATAAGAAGCATTTCGGAGGTATCTCGCTGTGGGATCTGACCCGTGGTGCGACAAACGTCGTTGACGGAAAGACTTTCAACCAACGTGTTCAGGAGGCTTTGAAGTATGGATGCGACCCGGTTCCAACTGTGTCAACTACTCCGGCAGTCGCAGCGACTCCAGTTTCATCCTCGTCTGTCTCGTCGACCCCTACACCGGTTTCGTTGGCTTCAACAACCTCTGCTTCAGCTTCGTCAACGCCAGCTTCGTCTATCCCCTCAACCACTTCAGCGCCCGTTTCTACTCCATCATCTACTCCAGTCTCATCCGCAGGAAGCACCACGCCAGGAACCACGGGAGCTTCTACGAGTATGTCATCCGCCGTATCTAGCACACCCTCATCGAGCATTGCTGCTTCTGCGAGCACCCCGGAACCGAGTAGCACTCCTTCGTCGACTGCTGCCGCTGCATCAGGTGCTGGAGCTTCCGGAACTCCCTCATCTAGCGCAACTCCTTCAGCCAGCGAAACTCCATCAGAGGCCGCCAGCAGCTCAGTCAATGAAACTCCCTCAGCCAGCATCACTCCATCGTCCAACGTTACTCCTTCAGCTGGTAGTACTTCCTTAGCGAGCGGAACCCCTTCAGACAACAGTACGCCTTCTGCTAGCGTAACCCCCTCGGATAGCAATACGCCTTCTGCCACCGTGACTCCTTCAGACAGCGACGTTTCTTCGACTAGTGAAACCCCTTCTGCAAGCGCCACTCCTACAACCAGTTCTACTCCTTCTGCCAGCAACACACCATCAACTGACGTTGGTACATCAGCTGCTCAAACCCCTTCTGCCAGCGAAACCCCTTCTGCCAGCGAAACCCCTTCTGCTAGCGAAACCCCCTCGCCCAGCGGAACTCCTTCAGCTGTTAGCACTCCTTCAGCTGTTAGCACTCCTTCAGCTGTTAGCACTCCTTCAGCTGTTAGCACTCCTTCAGCTGTTAGCACTCCTTCAGCTGTTAGCACTCCTTCAGCTGTTAGCACTCCTTCAGCTGTTAGCACTCCTTCAGCTGTTAGCACTCCTTCAGCTGTTAGCACTCCTTCAGCTGTTAGCACTCCTTCAGCAACTGAGACTCCTTCAGTCAGCGAAACTCCTTCAGCTACCGATACTCCTTCCGCTAGTAACACTCCTTCCGCTGGCGAAACTCCCGTTGCTAGCGGAACTCCTTCAACTAGTAGCACTCCTTCAGCAACTGAGACTCCATCAGCCAGCGAAACTCCTTCCGTTAGCAACACTCCTTCCGCTGGCGAAACTCCCGTTGCTAGTGGAACTTCTACCGATGGAGCTTCTTCAACTGGTGTGACGCCTTCGAACAATGCTACGCCTTCAGGCAATGCCACACCTTCGGCTGACGGAACCCCTTCAGCTAGCAACACTCCTTCAGTGAGCGTTGCAACTTCAGCTGTTGAAACCCCCTCTGTCATTGAGACTCCCACTTCCGGCGAAACTCCTTCGGCCCAAGTTACCCCTTCGGCTGTTGAGACACCTTCGGCCAGCAACACTCCTTCAGTTAGTGTTGCAACTTCAGCCGGTGAAACTCCATCAGCCACTGTTACCCCTTCAGTCGTCGAAACCCCTATCGTTGAGACTCCTACATCTGGCGAAACCCCTTCTGTGAGCGAAACCGCTTCAATTAATGGTACCCCTTCAGCCGGAAACTCTCAATCAACCGGTACTCCTTCAGCTGGCAACAGTCCCTCGGCTAGTACTATTCCTTCAAGTGGTGTTACTCCTTCAGCTACTACAGGTGCCTCAACCGGTAGCACCTCTTCATCAGCTATCGGAACACCTTCGGCTACGTCTGACCCGGCTCCTTCCACCACAGCTGGCTCAAGCACACCTGGGGCGTCAACTCAAGGTAACACAGGAGCCAGCGGTATTGTCTCTGCTTCATCGACACTGTCCTGGTCCAACTCTACCATGACAACACAAAACACGGCACCGGCCAGCCAATCTACAGGGGTTCTCACATCTGCAGGATCTTCCTCCGTCATCGGCACTGCGTCAACCAATACTCAAGGCAGTACTGCACTCGCTAACACTCAAGGCGGCGCTTCCTCTACCCTGCTCGGGTCTAGTTCTACAGCTTTAGCCGGAAGCGGTGCTGCTTCCAGTACCAGTACCGGCCTGGTTTCAACCACTACCGGTGGGGGCTCTAACAACAACGGTGGTCAGAATGGCAATGCAGGTTCAACGGCAGCCGACACAACTAAGACGGCCGGAGGCTCGGCAACCACCCAGGCCAGTGGTCCTGCTACTACTCAGCCACCCCAAGGTGCGAACGGCTGGACAACGAGCACTGTATTCGCTACCACAGTCAGGACCATTACCAGCTGCCCAGTGTACGTTGACTGCCCCAAGGGTGGTTATGTCACCACTGAGACCATTGCGCTGTACACTACAGTCTGCCCCGTCACCCAGACGGGAGGCGTACCGCAGACGCAGCCAACTGGCCAACCCAGTGCCCCCTCATCAAAGCAACCCGAAGGCAGTGCCCCAGTTCAGACAAGGACTGTTGGCAGCAACGTCCAGCAACCGACTCAGTCCACTGCCGCCAATGGCCCTGCTACAAGCAACGCACCCAATAATGGCGGCAATGCAGGCCAGAGCCGAACCCAGACTCAAGCCCAGACCCAAACTCAGACTCAGAGCCAGGTCGCGGCATCAAGCAGCCAGACCACTCCCGCAGTACTTCCCACTGTTTCAGGTTTCAAGACAACCGTCGTTCTGCAGCTTGCTTCAAGCTCTACAACCGCCACCACCACTGCCAGCCAGAAGGCCAGCACCACCGCTGCACCAGCCAAGGCGGGTGCTTCCAATGTGGCGGTCGGGCTGGGAGGAATCGTGCTGGTCATGTGTCTTCAGTTGCTCGCCCTGTAAAAGTGATGGCATGAATTAATTTGGTGTTTTGAATATTCTTAATTTTTGGGTTCACAGTTATCTTAGATCCTTCCATTTTCACACGTGCGGTTGGTACTTTATATTCCTCAGCCAAGAGCAATGAAATCTACCTGTTTATCTATTATGTTCTTCCAAGTAATTAAAGTGACTCTCGGACTCTTAGGCTAAGCCAAGTGATGTGATCACTTTTGTGTTAAGAGCCAAGACTCATATTTTCTTGTTGGCACTGAGTAGCGACCTTTCTTCGTGGGGACTGATTAACCGAAGCTTGTATTTTCACATCACAACGGCTACTTCCAAATGTGTGATGATCCGATATCTAATCTCGGCATTTCATTTATATGAAACTTCTTCAATCGCCATCACCCAGTGGGGGGCGTCTTCCCTAGGCCCTGACAGTACTTGGCAATATCCTCCTCGTTTGTTTTTGCTATGAATCCGTTATTGCTGGTCACATAATTAATACGTCTGTGTCTCACTAGCTAATAATTGTCAGGTTAAATTCCTAAAGCATCACTGTATTATCACATGCCGGCCCTGCTAAATAGTTGGTACTTTCACTAATTCTCTTTTGAGATCTTGCAATAGCAAAAAGGCTCCTTGTCTATGCAAGAAAGAATTTCCCGGCCTAATTGCCAAGGCCAAGGAAAAAATAAGAGGGTGCGAGATGGAACCTAGGCCTAGTAAGCAGATGATAGGACAGGCCAGCCCATCGACCCATAAATGTCTCTCGTCTTCTCGTTAACATAGACTTGGAGGATAAAACAACAGACCGCAGAAGTCAACTTCTGACCTTTCTATTGTAGTTGGGAAATGATTCTATGTTGGGTCCTATGAACTGATTTACATGTCACTCAGCTAAGCTTCCTTTCGCGGCCACAAACTTCACTCAACGACACCGCTCTTCACCACCAACATGTCAACAGACACAGCTACGGCACGAGCCATGGCGCTGCCCGAGATACTATCCGAGGTATTTGCCATTCTTCATGGTCAAGGGGACTATTCAAGTCTAGCTTCGGCAGCGCGAGCAAATAGTGTATGGTTTGCTTGCGCGATTGATAGACTCTGGAGCCAGGTCGAAGGGGATGCCCTCACCAGCATCGCCAACATCGCCGATAGTCGTCGTCGACAGCTTTACGCTTCCAAGGTTGAGGGTATTGCATTTGACGGCAACAAGCGTGACATTCCAAAGGACCTTCCCGACGCTTGTTTCAATAGGATCAAGTCAATTGACTTTAATTCTCCATACTGGCTCCCTCAGGGCAGCGAACATTTAATCAAACCCTACATCCAACCAAGCCTACAAAGTTTTGCTTTTTACGGCGAGGACTTCTCTGACGAGATAGTCTTTCAGCTTCAATCCACGTGCCGCCGTCTTCAGGTGCTCGTCATAGACAACACGGAAATGGATCACAAGAGGCCAAAACTCACCGGGGAGACGCTCCTCCAATTCATCTCTCAGACAGAGTCACTCCGCGACCTGAATCTTTGGTGCGGGGGACTCTCAGATGAGCTCTTTCTTTGTATTTCGGAACTGGAAAACCTATCTACACTGAGCTGGTGCGATTCGTTAACGCCCGAGTTGCTATCGAAGACTGTCGCCCAAAACCCCAACCGTTTTCCATCTCTCGATTCGTTCACCGTCCCCTGTGCGCTCTCATCGATATCTGTGTCTTACATTGTCACGATGCTCCCTCATCTCACCAAAATACATTTGGAATTTGAAGACAGTGAACATGATATGCTGACACCGCTTTCGGCAATCGAAAACTTGACTCAGCTCGAATGCACATTTCATTGCAATGTCTTGTTTTCCGCGCCACAACTACTGTCGCTTAAATCTCTCAGCAAGCTAACAATGCTATCTATCCGGTTTGGGGTGGACTTTGACCGCCGTGATACGACAAGCCCGTTCAGTGATGCAGATTTTCACGACATGATATCCGCACTTCCTGGTCTGCGGTGTCTGCGGCTGGAATTCTTGGCTGATCTCACCGGTGCAGCGCTGTTGTCTCTCTCGGCCAAATGCCCCAAACTTGAACAGTTTTCAATGCGAAGGGGACTCCGCTGCGATCTAAGATCTTTGCTGGACCAGGCCGGGGAAGAGCCACTGCTCCAACATTTGAGAATGCTTTACCTGGCGCGGATTTCAACAGACAACACCGAGTATGTGGGACTAAAACCTTCAACCACGCAGTTGTTTACTAATGTATGAATCTCTAGCTATTTGTCTATATCTGCTGCTGAATTGGCCGGCCAAATCATAAGGTATTTTCCGAAGTTGGAGGATTTCGATATAGAAGATTGCGATGGGCGTGATGGCCGCGTTATTGACAGGTTTTGGGACTTGGTCGAGCATTAGATAATCCCTCCCTCTAGTTGCTCACTGATGTGTCGTTCGAACCAAAGCGATGAAGTTCTCTCTATAAATTATACAAGAGTCAAGATTTGGGAGAAAATTTTACCTTAATCCTTGGTTTGTACCTAAGGACTGACTTGACCATTAATATGTGCCACAAAAGAGTGACTTGGATGAAGAGAGAGTATCACGACGTAAATAATCCTTGTCGAATTCTCTAGGCGTGCGCAACATTCTCAAGTACTGCCTATGGAACGCTTTTCTCACTTACACGTCCTGTCATTCTTTCGATTTCCGGCCCATTCACCAAGGCGAACACAAACCCTTCACCAAGCTGCTGAGCTTCTTCGTAAAATGCGAGGTACTTTGTACTGATTGTGGAGGGAGCAATTGTAGCTGCCTTGCGGCATTTCCCCTTCCCTGGTTCGCTTTCAGCTGCGATCAAATGCAAATGCAGGGGAGTCGGGGCGAAGAGCGGAGGTGGTCTCGATAAGGCTGAGCTGATGCTCCTGGAGTCACCTCCCTGTTCTAAAAATTCAGATTCTGGGTTCCATTTGGCGATAGTGCCCCTTTTTGGGGGGATTCTGACCACCATTTCAAACCATTGTCCGCCAACCATCAACTAAGCGATTCCCCAGCCTTGTTGGAACGGTGGGGTGACTTGAGGGGCACAATCTCAGCTTGGGGGGAATTATTGTTGTTGTTGCATGGGGGCTGCTGACTGCATGGCGATCTGTCAGCCGCAAGTTGCATCGAGAGGCGTTCAGACGAAGCCCACGGACGGTTTGGATGACCATTAATCGCACCCTGGTGATTGGTAATACACAGCTCAATTGCAGCTTTGTTGTGGTTGCAAGTACTTATTCAAGATGGGAGTACGCAACCTACAGCCCTGGCTGGTTCCAGCCGTAACTTCAAACCAACGACTTACAGTTAGTCCCTATTCCAATGTCTGAACCTCGTTACTGTATCAGTGCGGAGCTGCATGATAGACAAGATGGAAAGGAAAGACAGAAAATCTCGCCGAAGACGATAGACACCACCAGAGTAGCCAATCATGTCGCGCATTTCTTTGGGTGCCTCGAGATTTGCGAGAGAGAGATCTATTTCAACGCCCTACCCAAGAACGAGCAGGACCAAATAAAGAATGAACTGCGACGAGTCCGAAGACTGAAGGGCTTTGTCGCTACTACACCTGGGTGTGGTAGAACGCCAGCAGCGAACGGAACTTCACCAGGATCCAAAGGCACTGACCAGCTTTGCCTTGTGCGAAACGTCAATGAAAGTATGCAAGCATGGCGAGAGGGTCGAAAAAAAGAGATCGACAAGAAGTTGAGAATTGGTAGACTAACACATTGTGACTGCCCAAAGAAGGCCGAGGACACCTTCGATCCAATCAAGGAACATATCCATATGAATGGCCACGTGGTTGAGAATGGGCATTCCTCCAGACTGAACCACGGTAATGTTTTGCCAAATGGGACACCAAACGATCATCAAGACCAAGGCGGTCCACAAAAGAAAGAGAAATCCACATATGACCCGGACAAAGACATCAATGGTTACCTGATGGAATTCAAGTTGCAAAAGCTCACAGATTCAAGCCCAGCCTCTTATGTTCGAGACGACCCAAACCTTGACAGTGTTACTTTAGCTGGTTCCTCAAGAACAGAAGGAGAGCGTATTTGGAAAGGAAGTTTCCCAGGTCGAAAAGCAGCTATGCACGACCTTGTAGGAAAACCATCCAACGACCAGGACGTTTCCAACTTCCTCCAGCGCAACACCGACATGAGTCACTTGAGATATCTACATTTTCCCGCAAACAACATGAAGGTCAGTGATACAAGACAGAATTTTCTATCGAATTTTGAGCATTAAAAATGAGTTCTTGTGCTGATTCATATTTTGGAACTAGTGGGTTGAGGTACGAAATTTTTTCGTATGTCTTATTCAGGCACGACGCTCACTCTACTTATCTAGGACGTCATGTCGCTCTATTTCAGAGATTCCGAGACCGACTCCGAGCAAAATACAAACACCAAGAAAAGAACACCCTCAAACACGGTGCTTCGAAACGAGTACTGGAAGGGCCGAATGCACGGGAGCCATGAATCTTCCATTCACGCGAGACATCTTCGCCCCCTTTGTGAGCTGGTCTCCTCTAGTAAGTGGATAGATTCTGGGAAAGGATTGTGCAAATATAAGCTATCTAGACTAACCCTCTACCTCCAGATCCAGAGGAGGCCGAGCAGTCTCCAAGAAATGTAGTTCTTTTTGTATGTCGGCGGCCACTCTGCTTCCTTGGATATTACTAACTGTAAATAGATGCCCATCCTCCATTGGGATACCGACCGAAAGGCACAAACTTTCTCTAAAGTGATTGATAATCTCGTTGGGAAACACAATCTGGAGATCGAACAAGGTGAATGGGAGGCGGCAGAACGTCGACGAAAGGACAGAATGCTCGAAGAATCAAGCCCCTCAAAGCAAGCGGCGAGGCCAAGAAGATGGGACACGATCCGAAACATTGACACGCTGCCCGGCGCGGTGATGGCATATTCAAAGAAGTACCCTCTCAGGAAATCCAAGAATCTCAAGCTGACAAGAGACAAGTTCGGCCGGCTCTTGTTTCCTAAGAAGCCTCTGGCACAGCTACTTTACGACGCCTCCAGGTTGGTTGAAGAGATGGACAATTACCGAGACAAGATGATGCTGGAGAAGTATCTATTTCACGAATCCCCCATGCACCCTCGGCGGACCCTCGATCAAGCGTACTACCATTCGGTTAAGAGTACCAGGACCAGGGACCGTGACCAGGTTGTGTACCGAGAGACTACGCCCAGGGAAGACGCACTTCACCAATGGAAAACCGAGGGGGACAAGGTCCACTGGAACTGCCATGAAAGGGGCGACTTCCCGAAGACGAACCTGACATCTTTCGAAGTCCCGAATTTAGACGCGAGAAGGTACAAGCTTCTTAATCGGCGATGCCACGAGTGTGCGTCCGCCAAACGCCACACGGAGAATTGGAAGGGAGATATAAAATGTCCGCCAGTGGAGCTGGATACCTCCGAGGATGAAGCACAGCCAGATGAGAGCAGCAGCCAGAAAGAACCTGGCGGACACCGGTGCAAGTTCTGCAAGTCTGAAGTATTCGGATGCAGCTGTAGGCCCATCCGGGTCCGCAACGAGGACGGGGAGTTGGTGGAACTGGGTGCCGACTCGGCCTCGGCAGGGGGTCTAAGGTGCCCTCGCTGCCTCGAAAACATTCGAAAACTATCGAGGCTGATCATGGTGGACCAGCTCTGGATGTGGATCTTGGATGAAAACACCATTCTCACCTTCTTTCCAAAGAGATATGGCGTGAACAAGCAAGACGCATCAGGGGTACACAAGTCCATTCGCGAGCGTGTCGAAAGGGCCAGAAACAACCAGATCAAGACTGTTTATGACTTGGCACTCATCATTCTCAATGAATGCACAAGAACTATTTTTGATGAGACAAAGACCAAGGATAGGCGGCCGGCTGTTCTCGACATATTTTCAAGGGCAATTGGCCGTGTCGTATGTGCCCCCATTCATCATTTGGAATGACTCCGCTTGTTGAGTCAGACTGACCTTTTTGTGATAGACACACAAGCAAACTCTCGCCTTCAGTCATATGTGGGAGTCAGCAGAAAAGCTTCGCCGCGTATCGCTTGCCCCCGACTCCCACCAGCATGCGAATCTCGAGGAGCTTCACATCCCTCTTCTCAACATAACGCCGGAGGGGATGCTTCAGAGAGAAATAAGAGACATTCTAGATGAGCTTGGGATAATGCTGCACCTCGTGAATGAACAGAAGCGAGTCATCGAAAAATTTATAGCTAATGTTAGCACTATAATCGGCGATGGAAAGGATGGCGCTCAAACTACAGGCTCCGACAAGCCAAATCCATCCCAATGGTTTGAAAAATCAGCAACGAGGCTGTTGACAGACACGGACAGCCGCCTCCGAGAGTTGGAAGGGTTGAAGGGGAGTGCTATTAGCACTTCGGAAGGGGTGAGTCTTTCCCACAATCGAAGATTCTAAACGGAATAGCATGCTGATAGTGAGAAAAGCTCGATTATCTTTTGTCCCTGAAGCAGCAACAAGCTAGCATCATCCAAGCTTGGCAATCAATTAGACATGGGGAAGAGGCTGTCAAGCAAGGACGGGCGATTATGGTATTCACCACGATGACGATCCTATTTGTAAGAGGTTATCCCAGTTCTCCATGATCGGCGTCCCAGATCTAACAGGTTCAGCTTCCGGCCGCATTTATTGCTGGAGTGTTTGGCATGAACAATCCGGAATTAGATCCAGACCCTACAAGGAATAAGAAGCCGGTCACAATAGCTTTCCAGCTACAAATCATGTGTGAGTAAACGATTCCCGAGGATTTGAGGATCTACTAACAAGGTGGTGCTAGTTGGCGTCACGGCTGGCATCATCCTTCTCGTCTGCATTCTCGCATTCAGCGCATTTGTACGGACATTCCTTTGGTCTATATACCGTGAGGGAACTACATGGATACTTATAAGATTTGGGATCTATCGGTTCTGGCTTCGATGGGGCCAGAATTGGAGCAGTGACAACCGCTGGAAAGTCACAGAGAATAAAGTGAGGGAGCAGAAATCAAACGAGAGGAGTGCGGCGCGGAAACGATTTGCGCGAGAGGTGGAGGCTACTAAGCATCTTATGGCTATTCGGGAGAGGAAAAAGGCTCGCCGCAAGGTAGATGTTTGAGCGAGAATCCTCAAAATCATCTCGTGCCGTTTATATTCGATCCCTTAATGTTCACTCTATGCATGTCAAGGGCAGCCCATTTCCTGTGAGCTTAGGCGCAGTTTCGTCTGGATAACTGATAGTTCGCAAAGCCGATATACAGAATGATCATGGACAGCTTAGTTTCCAGTGACCTCAAAGAAGTAGACGCCGAGATAATATTGGAACTTTGATCACCAATCAGATTTACAGCTCA